GCCCAAGATCCGAAACGGTGACCCTGTTTGGGTAAGAGAGAAATTCCTCCCTCTGAAGGAGTCTGTGAGTTGCCCATGCGGTGCCAAAAGGGAAAATCCTCCAAGCCAAAGAGAAGAAGAGAAGATTTGTGTTCGCAAAAGCGAAAGGAAAAAGCAATGTTTGCGTGCTGCGGTTGGGTACATTCAAGGATCGGAGTCCACCTCTCGATCTGCTCCCCTCCCTTTCGCCGGGATACCATCCCTGTCGTTTGACAAGGGTCTGCCGATTACTTTTCCCCCCAAAGAACAAGAACCCCATCCCCGAGGGAGAGACAGATCACTTTTCCTGCATCTGTGCGTTCGTGTGTGTGGCTCTCTCGTCTCGCTGACGCACTGGGTGCTGGGTGGGCGTTCCCACCACCAAACTCCTCCTCTTCGCATCTTGCGATCTCGCGATCTTCACGCGGCCGGCAAAACCCACCGCGGGTACGATGCTCCGTCCATCCATCACGTCCATCCCACCCGTGTGCCGGGGGTGTCCTCAACCTCGTCACTTCTCACGGAGGAATTCGCTACCGCCGATGGGAAAACTTCTTCCCACGTCGGAGGTTTTTCTCGATCGGAAACCCCGGGCGCGTGCCGCATTGTTTGTCGACGACGAGCCGGGAATATGACCAGATGAGAGACGATGTGAGATTTCATCACTTCCAACCCAGCAAATCTACAACCGGAGATTTACAACGCGCGTGGTAGCCTGCCCCCAAACGTGGCTTTCGGCGGCTTGCATTGGGGTGACTGCACTGTGTAAGATCGTGTGGTTGGTTAGAAGCCTCGTCTCTCTGCAGCCCGTCAGCACGCCGCATGAAAGTCCGCGCGGCGCCCACACAGAGAAAAAGACCCCCCATGTCGATCTGGACCACAAGATCAACCACACCAGCTGCGCATGAAATACCGCCGGTTACCTGCATTCGCAATATCTCTGAAGACTCGGCTAGCAAAACGACACCCAAGACGAAAGGATGAGGATGCCACTTGGGGTAGAATGCTACCGTAGCTGTGTAAGTAGACGAAGAGGGGAAAAGACGAGACCGGGCAGCGCGTATTCTTCGGAACGGCGTTCCCAACCAACATCGGATGAACTGAAGATCAAACCAAGACAGCCATTCAGGCCCGCTGTAACATCAGACGGCACGCCGAGAGAAAAGTGTGTGTCCTGTCCGTAAGTAGGTATTGCTCGTTCGCCTCCAGAGCCCAGTCTGTATCGATCCTCCGCTGCATCTACCCGTCTGACGACATCGCATGCGTCAGAAACCTGTCTTCATTCAATTCCACCGGCCGTTGTCCCCTTCTCACAGTGCTTCGGTCTTCAAGCCATGACGGAACCTACACCCTTCAGTCCTGACTCTCTCTTTCTCTCTGGTTCCCTCTCCAGAAGAGGAACAGGAAAAAGCAATGGTTAAGGCAGACATCAATTCAGGCCCCAATCCCGATGTAACCCCGTCCCATCGAGAAGGTTTCCAGAAAAGCAACGAGCACGTGGTCCCCTCTCCGTTGGGGGGCGTGTCATCTGCGCTGCCAACTCATACCTGTATCTGTCCCTCAATCTCTCGTCCACCTTGGCCCGCTTGCCGCGCGCGCGCAAGGCCGGAGTCCGTAATCTTCACGGCGACGACGGCTGCTGGCGGCAATACCGGGCGGCAAGTCGCAACAAACGACGACACCCTTCACCCCCCTTTTCAATGAGGAAAACACACATAAAGTCAAAATGGGAAAGAAAAGATTAGATTTGATGGGCTTGTTCTCGCAGGGCCGAGACTGACTTGACGGGTTGATGGTCCAGGGTGTGTTCTGCATGCCCAAAGATTCCACCGAAGAAGAGACCGACATGAGCATGAACGAAGACGAAAATATCCCTTCGCTTGTTCTTTTTTTTTTTTTTTCTGTCCTTGTCGGCTGTGCCTGAATTGTATGACCACACACATCACAATCGGCTCACCTCCACAGAGGTGATAGTCCAGCCTCGTCAATAGTTTCCTTTTCGCCACCATCTTTCGGCCGTCGAATCTCTCGCTGTTGGGACTTTCCGGCCGAAGCCGCCCCGGCGGCGGTTGGCAAGACGAGGCGAGCGAGAGACAGTCGCGCCGCCTTCTCCCAGCCTGCTCGAAAAGAAACGATAGCCCCTGTCCCCCCGTTACACAGAACCCTTTCCTCCCCTTTGGTCCGTCCAACGCGGATTAGTCTTGACCATTTCAGCCTGATCCTGCCCAAAGGCACCCCACAGCCTTGTTCCAGACCCAAACGAAAGCCGTCATGAACCCCTAGAGAACTTCTGTCGTTAAAGCCGTTGGCTCCTTGCTTCTTGATGGCTGCCCTGTCTTGGTGGATGTGTCTTGCGGAAACATCAGATGACATTGCCGGCCGTACCGGAAGGTAAGGAAGGTCGTAATGGCGCTTAGACTTCTTCGGAGGGCGAAAGGCGCGCATGCATTGCGACGCACCCGAAACGTGATCGGCGGCTTGAAGATATTGCTTGTGGTTGTCGTAGACATCATGACACGACGATTATGTGTCATGTCTTGGCATTTGTTTTGCTGTGGAGTCTGCGGGTGAGGCTTTCCGTCAGCAGCGGGAGTAGGCCCTACCGGGATTGAATGTGAAATCGGTCTGGTGATGGTTGAATTCTTACGACGCGGCCGCTGCTGTACTCTCAGCAGACACCTAGGGAGATGGCAACTCTGATGAGCTTGAAATGTTGCCTAAGGATTTGACTATTGCGCAAGGGAAGTCAAGTCTGATTCAACCAAGGTCATGGAGTCAGCAATCCGGCATCGTTTTAGTCCCGCAAATTTGTGCTGTAGACTGCCATAATGTGTCCAAACATGGCCCTCACTTGGAGTACTCGGGCTGTAGCAGCGTCGCTCGGGCGGCATACTAAGAAATTGACGAAACTGCAAGTGAGCAAAGCTTGTTAGGGAGGCGAGTATTGTCATTGAATCGTGCGTATTGCCTAAGGGAGCCCAAGGGTACTACAAATATCAAGTACAACACAGGGCAGAAATTGAGGTAAGTTTGTACAATGCGGATGACAGAGACAAATAGTCCTCCCCACGAGTCCCATGTCCGCCCATACAGTACAAGCAAGCAAGAATGGCAAGACAATCCTTAGTTCATAGAAACATAGTTTGAGAAGAAACTTAATGGGAGAGCCTTTGAAACAGTGCGGTGGAAAAGATAGACTTCAGAAATGCAGTGGTTCACAGCCCCTCCGGGTGACTTGATCGGCATTGATGGCCGCCAGCTTTCTCCTATTGATGAAAAGTAAACTGGAGACAACGTAGCAAAACTTCTCACAGAAATGAATTATCAAGACTCGTTAGTCTGTCGTTCAGTTTAAACCCGACTCACGACACGCAACTATATCAAGGCATCATTACATCATGGATGCGCAAGACGACTCTAGCCCGGAGGTGTTCTCAGAAGCGGAGACGATGAATGACCTCGTTGAGATAAAATGCGACCACCCACGGCTTAGCAAAGACTTCTTCGACCACGAAGATTCCAGAATGGTCCCGGCTTCTTGCCCCAAGTGCCACGACCGTATGGTGACGATGGCGACACTCTTTCTGCAAACCTGCCCTGGCAGCTGGGACAGAGGCTTCGGACCGCTCATGCGCGGAATGCTCCGGCGTGCGATACAGACGAATGAATCGTTAGGCACAATGGATATCGCAGACGCAATTACGTTCCGGTGGAAGGCCGCTCAGCTGGTTGATCGCATCGTCAGGGAACTCAACTTGCCTGCGCCAAGCAACAAAACCTGCATCATTTGGAGCAAGTATGATTGGACACTCTCGGACCGTGAAGAAGACCAACGGCCATGTTTTGGACGTCAATACGGACGAATCTGGGCTGCATTTCGGGTTGGAGATCTGCCGGAGCCATCGCCCCAGCAGGGCCCGCCGTTCGTCCTTCTTCAGGAATACCTGGCGGCTGGTATCACTGAGGCGCGTCTTTCAGAGTAGGAGTCTTTGGCACTCGTTAAGTTAGTTCTTGAGCATGTTCATCATGCGCGGCAGTGTGACCCAGACTTGAATTATCAATATGAATTAGACGAAGCTTAAGCGGTGAGACGCAAGGGTGTGTGGTTTGCACAGAACTTCCAGGAGAGGATGCATCAACGAAAAGGAGGCTGAAGCAACATATCATCTCACTTACCCTACTATCCCCATGCTTGGTCCTACTATCAAATCACCTAATTTAAAACAGAACACTCATTTTGGGCTCAATCTAAGACGGAAGGAGTTAATTGTTCATAAGGGTACGCATTCATCCACGAAATGAGCGGGTTGGGTGCTAACAAGGGAGATAACGAAGGTGGAGCTTAACCTCAATTAGTTTGGAAGATGGACAGTAGGGTAGTCGCAAGCTGTGGTTTGCAAAATAACTGTTTGTCCATCTATGCCATCAAAAGTACACCATCTATCCAATAGTTTAGTTAAATTGGATGTTATGTATAGCTGTGAAGAAGGCCGAATGGCATAGCGTTACACAATTCGACATTGAAGACTGGGGATGCAGAAGGCCAACGAGGGATAGAGGCGGCGAAGGGGAGGAGTCGTTTAGAATCATCACTCTCATTACCTAGAAACCTTTGCTGGCGCAACTTTGAATCTTTGGTCACGCTCAAGGAAATAGACCACCTAGTTCTCCCATGCTAGAGCGACTCATTTCCTTGTGGGCTTGTGTATGTGTATGTTTATCTTCGTCGCCGTCGGTTGTTATTGCTGTCGTCGTTACCTCTTTGCTCTGGAAATTGTCTGCTTGTCACTAGATACACCCTTATGGCCATATACCCCATATACCCACGACCCTTACGACCGACCGCTGAGTCACAGACAGATCTCCGAAGCCTGGCTACTATAATAATCTGCCCAACAGCGCCCAATTCATTTTGTTCAAGTTATTATGCTACAGTAGCTTCAGTGCACATGCAGATTCGTTCACCATACAGTCAGTCCAAAATGCAGTCCAACATGAACCAACCCATCCCACCCAGCTTAACGCGCACTGCTCGCCGCCTCTCGGGGACTGCCGTTGAGCTCGTCCTGGAAATCATCGACGTCCTACCTCTTGACAGGGTCCTTGATCTCCTTGCCGCCGAGAACGGTATTGACGATGGTGGCTCGGCTTTGAAGGCCGCGATCAGTAGAAGCGCCGCCTGGTCGAGCCTGCGAGATGTGGACCTCGGCCGCCTGTCCAAGCTTTGGGTGGCCTTCAACCAGCTATCGTTGTTGATCACTGACCGGAGGGTCGTGAGCAGCCGTTTTCGGTTACCAGAGATGAACTATATGTGCTACGACTTCAAGAAGAGAAAGACCACCGGGTTGGAGTTCATGGAGAAGCTCGAGAAAGACCTCGAGACCATCTTCAATAACGCGATCCTCTGGGACGAGAACTTCTTCGGGAATCAGCGAAATTCAAGGAACGTCAGCCTCAGGGCCGTGTGCCAGTTCACTCCCGACCATATAGACCTGTCGAACTACTACCCCACGGACGGCGTACCCAAGGAGCGACCTGAAGGGTCACGTATGAAGACCGTGGAGGAGTGTATCGAGCTGCTGCCACATCTTTTCAGCGGCCATCGGCGATTGAAAGAAGCCAGGTCATCTGAGCTTCGGCATCTTGCCGAATTATTCGAAATGTATCCAGGTTATCTGATGTCTTCGAAGTCTGGATACTACGGCGTAAAGAACCCGCTACATATCCCGAGAGAGCTCCGCGGCCGAGCTCGGACGTGGAAGAAGTCCAAGTCGTACATGATGTATCATCATCCAGTATTGGTGCCTCACGACGTCTGCTTTCGGATATTCTCCGTGTTCTTTGAGAATATGCGTTTGCCGACGAGGGACGAGGACGACAAAGAGTCCAAGGACAAAAGGATGGAGAGGAAGATAGCCACCATGATTCCTGCGGACCTTCGAAAGGATTTTCGCACAGCTGCGGAAGGCATCGACTCCATAGACACCTACGAGGGCAGCTTCCCTCGCGCATGGTCTTCGGTATACGAACAGGACTATATTGACTTCCAGCGGGTAGTCACGAGGGATCGGTGGAAGGTCAGCACAGATTCCAGGAAGTACGGAAACTTCTTCCCCGCAACCACAAAGGAGATTGCATGGCTGGATTCTTTCCTGCGCTGCGTCAAATGGATCGAATCCCACAACGTCACCTGGGCAGAAGACTTTCAGAAGTATCCTTCGAGATACTACAACCGTTCCCGGAGGGGTATTGACATGAATACCTACGGGAAGACGACACCACCGAAAACAGAGATGTTACTTGAGCTATCCGACTTTCGAGATTTCATCGACAACGCGCCCGTGGAGGAGGTGGCTAGGCAACTGCAAGCCGACCACGACCTGTCAAAGCACGACCAGTCAAAGGGAACAGAGACGGCAGGGCTCCCGAGTCTCACCGCCCTTTATATGCCCAAGTGGCCCTCAACAAGGGCTGTAGAGGTGGCCAGATGCATCTGGCCTGAGGGATAGGGTCAAACATGGGACCGCCAAATAGCTGGGTGGCGATACAATAGCATGATCAAGTCCATCAAGGATCGCCTCAAGAAGCCTCAGCAGAAGGAGGCCGCAGATGGGCTGAAAAGCGAAGATGTTCAGAGATACCAGAACCAGATTCCGCAACGACAATTGTGTTATGTCTGCAGCAGGTCGCTCAGCCAGGAGCAGCGGCACAAGACACTGGGATCGATGTGCGTTGCATGCGGCGATTTCAATCTAGTCGAGAGAGCATATTCGATGCCGGGACACCTTTGGCTGTTGCAAAAGACGGCGCTAGTGACCGGCGCGCGCATCAACTTGGGCTTCCATACAGCTCTTCGCCTGCTCCGCTGCGGCGCATTCGTCATCGCCTCGTCGCGGTACCCGGAGGACGCCTTCTCGCGCTACCAAAAGGAGCTCGACTTTGAGGACTGGAAAGACCGGCTCAGGATCGTCGGGGCAGATTTCAGAGCGGCAAAAGACGCCTTCGCACTGGTCGAGGCGACGAAGGTGATACTGCGCAAGGAAGACCGGAGGCTCGACATCTTGATCAACAACGCCGCGCAGACTCTTACTGATCCTATCAACAAGGAGCAGATCGCTACTACACGAGAGAAGGAGCTACTCGAGCAATCGGGGGCGCCAGATGCTGTCAACCAGGTTGTTGTGCGCAGCGGATATACCGCGCGGGTTCGTGGTGGCGCGACTCTGCCGGGGATTTCTGGCCAGGATATGAAACTTCTTGAGGCATCGTCGCTAACGGACTCCGCTGTCATAGAGACGCCTATGTCGAATACGCAAATCTCTTTGCCTCCAGGGCCGTCTTCTTGGGTCCAGTCTCTCTCCGACATCCCGTACGAAGACGTTATCACAGCACACAGCGTCAACACCTTCGTGCCCCTCATCCTGATCCGCGAGCTGTTGCCCGGCATGCAAGACGGGCACATCGTCAACGTGTCATCGAGAGAGGGCATCTTCGAGACGGACCGCAACAGTTCAGCCAAGAGGGGCCACCACGTGCACACCAACATGTCCAAAGCCGGGCTCAACATGATCACCGAGACCGAGGCGGCCACGGCCTGGAAGAAGCACAAGGTGGCCATGAACACCGCGGACCCCGGATACATGAGCGCTGCGCCTGAGTACGAGGACGCGCGCGGTGGCGAAAGACCGATTGGATGGGAGGACGGCGCGAGTCGAGTACTGTGGCCCATTGCGAGAAGCGTCAGAGAGCAGAAGGACCCGGAGACGATGCATGTGAGAAAGGATTATGCGCCGATGTGGGGCCGGTTCTTGAAGCATTACGGGGCGGTACGTGCCGATGCTCGTATGTCGCGGTAGACGAACTCTTCAAGACAACGGGCTGGGTTAGGAGACTGGGTACAAAGTGATAGAAACATTCATACTGTGTCAAACACCTCTGGCTGACGAGAGGAATACAATATAACTAGCATGGCTGTCATCTCTGTTGTCCCCGTTTATGCTGACCATCCGCATAATCCAGTGCCCCTGTGATGTATTCAGCCTGTTGAACCACTGTCAAAACCAGAATTAGCTAGTTATAGGGTATGACCTGGTCTTTAAAGATGCACTTTCGGACCGTAAAGCACATATCATGCGCATTTGAGTCCCTTCCGGCCAATTCTCCGTGTCGGCGCCGACTCCGATCCGATGGACCCACTTATCGCCGGCGCATCACCGGGCTGCCTCTGTCGAGCAGCTACGGCGATCTTTTGGAGGCAATCTGGTTGGCTTTGATTAATTGATATACTACGATGCTCTGTACGAGACCGGACGAGCCCAATTTTCAATGGGAGTGCGTATGGTGGTGTCGACGCAGGTGCAGAGGTCGTTTGCTGTAGACTTGACAGGGCCTAGTTGGATGTGAATACCTAATCATTTCAATGAAGAAGATCCATAGACCAAGTGAGACTTCCCGATATCTCTGCATTCTTAATTTATTCCCCTGTCCCAAAGCAGGCCAGAGGTGAGACGGAGAGCAGCAAGACAACAGCTTTGTGCTGGGGTTGTTTGTTGGTCGGGTAGCTGCTGCACACGCATGTTTGGCCTGTGCTGAATGAGCAAACAAGAAAGGCATGTGCCAGATTCAGAAAACGCATTGACGCTTATCTCTTGCTTTCTATCTGAAATTTCTGGTCGCTGGTTCGAGAGATGCTACCAGTCTCTCGCTGCACCCAACTTCTCGAAGCTTCGTCTGGAGGCTGCCGACAACAATCCTTCCTCCCAACTGGGACTTCGTTCTTTCCCGTTCTTTCCAATTGGGACTTCACAGAGAGCCCCACCGGACGAGCGCCTGCCGGCTACCTACCCGCGACCCCATACTCCTCAGGCCGCCACCGAGGGTCTCGCAAACCCATTTCCCCCGACAACCACACAACGTCCACGATGCCCGAAACTTCCGTCTCCGAAGCGGCCCTTGCTGCCGTGCCTGATGAAGTTCGCTGGTGTCTCCGGTGCTTGGGATGGTATGCAGGCGAGTTCAAGGGCAACCGTGGACAGTTCTGTCAAGACGTCGACTTCGCATGCTCAGGAGCAGTCGGAGGTAGGCGCGCCGCTGATCTCCCTGGGTCTCCGTGAAGCAGCCACAAGCTCACATCCTCGCAGGCCCCGACGAAAAGTGTGCGCGATGTCCCCCAACAGCAAAGCACACGTGTCTGACAGTGAGGAACCTTCGGCTCCTACTGGTACAATTCCTGATAACATTCCCAGATTCCGGATTCTGTGTGGAAGCTCGCCCGAGAAATCATTGCTCGCCGTCGAGCCATGGTCGATTTTGAAAAGAAGAACCCGATGAGAGACGTTAGTGCTGCAGTAAGTACCCTTGTTGTGAGCTGCTTAGCACGTCGCTATAACTAACGATTGCCTCGCAGGACCGTCGGGCTCTGAAGGCCGACTTCAAGATCGTCAGAGACCGTACCCGAGAATACTATAAAGACAGCGAGAGGCGCGATTCGGAGCACGTTGAAGACTCTGAAGATGAAGACGATGCTCCCCCACGCCGAAAGCGCCCTCGCCGTTACGCCTCCAGCATTCTGTACGACGACTTCCACGCTTCTGAGCCTGAGACGGTACGCGACGAACACGGCCAGCAAGAGCGAGTCAGCGCGAACACGCACGCTGATGATGACCTGCAGAATCGTCCCCGAGCCAGCGTCGGCCCTCGAGTTCAAGGGAGGTCGCCTGCGGTACCTGACGGTACCGAGCAACTTCTCCAGGCTGCTAGCAATGCTGTCAAGAAGGTGGCCAGGCTCACTGCCATCAAGCCCGAAGCCGACAAGCGCTTTGCAACCGCGGCTCTGCAGTACTTCGGACTAGGCCCCAATGTACCGAACAACGAGGCGCCGGGCGTTTCCCAACTGCTGAGACAGACTGGTCATCACGCAGATGGCGCCGCTCGCGAGGCTGCCGGGGAGGTTTCGAGGATTTCGGGGGAGCTGAAGGATGCGCACACTCGGCTGGGCGAGGCCGTGTTCGCTATCATGGCATCTGGAGGTGTCCCGCCTGAGAGATCAGGGGACGAACAGATTTTGGGGGTGCTTCGAATGCTGAGACAGAGAGATGGTTAATAATCGCTGGCTTGCGGATCGGGCAGTGGAGTGGAACTGTCGGAGAAAATAAAGGTGAACCAGGCAGCCTGGTAGTGGACCTAGCAGAGGAGCAACTTCGTCGTTGACTCCTTGTCGCCAATGTCAGGATCGGTACCTAGCTAGGCATACGGGCTATATGAATTGGGTGTACTCGCCGAGAACCAAATCGCGAATAGAGTGTATGTATTCTCAAGAGTCTTTCGTCGCTGCCGGTCTCAGCTTGTTCCGAACGTGTGCTTCCCTCCTTTGTCCCACCTTCAAGGCATCATATCGAAAAAACCAAAACAAGTCGACCCTGCGGCCTCGAGGCAGCCACCCTCGCTTGGTCTCCCCGGTGTCCTCGTCTATCTTCTTCTCCTTCGTCCATCCTATTCACCTTCCTTGCCCTCCTCTTCTGCTTCGTCCATCCTCTTCTCCCTCCTGGCCCTCCTCTTTTGCCGTTCCGCTTCTGCTCACCACATAGCAGCATCTTTCCAGACACCCTGTGCCTTCCGACGTGATGGTCTCATCACACTTTGGCCCTGCACTTGCTACCGATATCGAGACTCGCTGGTGTCTCCGGTGCTTGAAGTGGTACGCCGGAAAATCCAAGAACAAACGCGGGCAAGAGTGCCAGGAGCTTGATTTCACATGCAGCGGAGCTTCTGGAGAAGGTCGGTCTCTCTTTCCGCTCTTGCCACTTGTTGCTGACTCCCCGCCCAGACAGGTGTGAGCGGTGCGTGAAGTTGGGAAAGTGCCTTATTGTCAGTAGCACCTTCAACATTGCCATCCAGCACACGTACTGACCAAGTGCTAGATCCCTGCGTCGCAGTGGCTCCGCGCCCAACATGTCATCGCTCGTCGTCGCGCAATCTTGGAGTTGCGCCAGCTTCATCCCGACGCGGAGATTAGCCCCGACGTAAGTCTCTTCTCAACCCAAGTGAACGCATTTGCTGACTCTCAAGAAGGATACCAGCGCTGTAGTGCGCGCCCTTGCAGCTGTCCAGTCTGGCACCGAGAATTACTACAGCCGTCTCGAGAAGAACGATGATAAGGACGATGATAGCGACAGCGATGATGCCCACGAACACGACGTCCGCGCCGGCTCCTTACCCAGCGAGGCTGATACTCGTCCTCGACGCTCCGTGCCTACCGTGAACTACTCTCGGTCCGCCCTGTACCCCGCCGAGACACTCAAGGCCTTTCGCTCGGCAGGCAAAGACAGGGTCTCTTCGAAGACCTCCGCATCGAACCCCGCAGCCGCCCCCATCCCTCGCCCCGTCAGTCGCCAGAATCCCGTTCTACCTAGCGCAGGTCCGGCTGAGTCCGTCCCGGCTGGTTCAGCCGTCTTGGACCCCGGCGGTATTGCCGGCGCCCTCGCCGTCTCTCGGCATGCAACGCCGGCACCCGCTGCTGCTATGGCTAACCCAGACCGATTCGCGCGTGTTATAGAGGCCATCGGCGAGGTGTCCCGTCTGACGGCTGCTCTGAATGAGGCCATCAACCGCTTGGGAGAGGCATTCTTCGACGCGGTTGTGCCAGGAGAGCCCGCACCTGTCGCACGTCTATCGGACGATCAGGTGCAAGATGTCCTTAGAATGCTAGGCCACGCCGGTGGGAACGTTGGAAATGAGTGAGCTCCACGAATGGATTTCGTGGAGGAGGCAAGACCCCTCTCACGGAGAACAGAAGCTTGGGGATGACGATGGCAGGGATGGACGACGACGGCGACGACAACAGAGACCACGGACAGTGGTCAAGAGTAATGGTCGTGATGGAGCGCAAGGGAGTTGGCTATAGATCGTGGGCATGTTTGGTGGCGTGTCACAAACTCACGATGGCTTTGACTAAATGAATTAAACCCCTTAAACCCCTATGCCATCGCCGTGTCACCACCCCCCATGTGGCGTAATATGTGGCTGTAGTGGCGCAGCAGCACAGCAACCCGGCAATGCTGGGTACCAATTCGCTGCCGAGATCTTCAATAAGAACATAATTGGGGAAAAATGATTTCCTTCGTCTTCGGATGCATGAAGAGTTTACTACAATGGACTTCTCCTTCACGCCTGGAAGCTGCGTATTCTGGTTTGGCGCACGCCAAGCCTTGGACGCCACACTTCGCACATAGCAGGTTCTAGGCCTAGCTTGAGCCACACCACGACGTCATAGAGCCATCACTGGCTGGCACGCCAGGGAGCTCTAGCTCCGGTAGCTCAGCTGAGGTACATTAGCTGCGCGACAGCCAGATCGCGATTGCCACGACCAAATAAAAGCTGGCCGCCGGCCTATGCCACTTTTTCCTAGCAGTCACTTTCCCCAGCTGCTCTCGCGATCTCTTTTTACGACATCAACGCCACCCCGAGAACCGCAACCCGACATCGACCCCGCACATCGCTCATCACCATGGCCGACCAACAGACTGTCGCCGAAGGGCAAGCTTCCGGTTCCAACAGCCGCAACCGACGAGTGGCCAACTCGGTGCAGGCCAAAGCCCAGGAGGTCCTGTATGTGCCACCCCTGAACTTCCATGAACGTCCGACGAACGCTGACCAACGTGTAACAGGCAGGAGGACTACGACAAGGCGAGAGGTCTCGTTGCCGACGCTGCCAAGAGCAAGTCGTACCTGTATCCCATCAAAGGCATCATCTACTTCGCAACGCACCGAGCGCTATGGAAGCCTCTGATGTCGCGCATCGGGGCCTACATCCTCCTGTCCGCCGGTGTTGTGACCGGCATGTTCGTCTTCACCTACGTGCCACAGCTTGCTATCCTCGTCTTCGTCAACGGTCCTCTGGCGGTCTTCACCACCGTGCTGTTGATCCTGAACGAGAGCTCGACAATCATCAACTTCGTCTCACGATCGTACCTATTGCAAGAGGCGCTTTTGGATACCTTTGATGGCACCTTGCTCTCGAGAGACGAGGATGGCATCGTGAAGGAGGGAAGACAGGTCCGCCCTGGCTCTGACCCGATGCAGAAGCTGGGAAAGATTCTCAAGAGCCCGTTCGAGAGGTTCAGCCCGAAGGCTCTCATCCGCTACCTAGTCTACCTGCCCCTGAACTTCATCCCCATCGTGGGAACGGGAATCTTCATTCTTCTCCAGGGTATGTCGACGGAACCAGTCGTGGTATAGCCAAGCTAACACATCATAGCCCGCAGCCGGGGCCACAGTGTCCATGGACGCGTACGTATCTCCTGATCGACTCCACCCGCACGCTCCTGTCTGACTTCCCTTGTCTAGTACTTCCAACTAAAGAACTGGTCCGCTTCCCGGAGGGCCGACTGGCTCAAGAGACACACTGGACCTTACACGGCGTGAGATTGGTCTATTTGCGCGTCCGCTATACGGCGTACTGACTAGCATGGTACAGTTTCGGCCTCGTGGCAACTGCGCTGGAGATGATCCCCTTCGTCAGCATCTTCTTTACATTCACAAACACGGGTAGGTATGCTCGAAGCTCCTGCCGAACGTCACTGACAACTGTCGCTAGTTGGTGCTGCTCTGTGGGCTGCCGATATCGAGGCCAAGAACACGTCCATGACCGACGGCACGGCTCCCACTCTTCGCGAGACGGCCAAGAATGCCGAGTAGGCGACGAAGCACAGCATTGTGGAGCCGATCTCAACTGCACCGGCCGAGGACGTGCTTCAACTTGGCACCCAAACGATGCGGGCCCCCCTCGTTTCTTCGGGTAATGGTACCACGGCATCTTGACAGCAGTCTTGAATCTTGTGTTCCCTTATCGAACTCGGCTCGCGGGTCTTTCGCGGCGAGATCTCAGGGACAGTTGGGGGGCAATGAGAGAGACGGCCTTTGCGTGCATTAGATGATGGAATTCGGTTTGGCGTCCTAAGGTAGGTCTTTGGGAAAGGTACATGGAAATTTCGAGAGCAGCGCATGAAATAATTGTTAATGACGATTTGGAACTTTACGAATGACAGCAAAGATTGAGAGATGACTTCCGCGCACTAATCTGGGCCTCCGCGTCTTGTCTCGCAGTCCTAGAGGGTCCCTTCGCGTGTCCCAGAGGCCTCTATTGCGTGGCTGCCACTCAGTAATGATTCTTACACAAGCAGCTGTCTTGAGTAGAAGCAAGACGGAGCGACACCAAGAGATAAATGACTTTAGTTGCTGGAACGGACACTAATCGATCCTGAGACGAGACACCGCGAGCCCCCGCACTGAGGACATCGGCCTTGTCACACACTGCTCAGGCACAAGCAATCTCGTTTGGCAGTACACGGATACCCACAGGCTGCGCGATCTTCAACTGAACACCGTCCACATACCGTCCCGTCTGTCACCCAAGAAGACCGGAAGAGGAAGGCCCCTGAATTCAGGTCCGGAGAGCCCGTTGGGGCCATGCCTCAGCTCCGTTGGACGTGCATCCGTTATCAACATGCTACCGCAAGTGCGACTATGGGAGATACGACACCCTTTGGTGTTGAGCGTCATGTCACGCTGTGCGTGGTGACTGATAGTGGATGTGACGATGCATTGAACATGAGAAGAAAACGAGACTCGGATCGTGGTCGCTTCTTTTATCACGGCAAGCTCAACAGACGGCGACCAGATGGGCTTCTCGGAGCAGAGTGTCTCGCACCGGAGATTCAGTTGTGCGCTCTGGCGAAGACAATTCAGGAGATGTATAGACAGTGGTGGAGGATCGCAAGCGAGGCCTCATCGCGAAGCACCTCTAGCTTCATCATCGGATCTTTGCTTGCTGGGACGGGTGGCGATGGGGATCGACCGAGGCCGTTGCCCGCTATGGCTAGTGCTGCTACCGGCAAGCTCACCGATGCCAGCAGCTCAGTTGAAAGGAACGTTGTGCTATCGTGACCGAGCAAGCCGGAATCCACCCCGCTCCATCCGATCCAACCGTGTATAGCTTCCCTGGATCGCTAGCATACGACCACAGTGTATCTTCCATCTCAGAGTGGGACTTGTATAAACCGACTTAACTGTTTCTAGGACGAGTCGGAACCAGGCGCATGATGTAAGGCCGGAGCGGGCACGATCAAGTGCGGAAGACGTGCCCTCCTGGGACGCAATGTGTGACTGATGACTCTCTTGAGAAGAGCAAAAGAGTGACTTTCGTTAGAAACTGTGTGGAAAAAGCAGTGTATCCTTCGCACGAGGGCGTCTCTCCATCGAATATGTCGCGACCTCTGTCTATATGTGCTCTACCCCCGCGGTTCATACCCACTGACCTTACTTCCAACTCCCCCTCGACCCCGCCTCTCCTTCCTTCTCCCCTTTTACAACCTCCTTCTTCCCACTCGAACCCGAGTGCTAAGGTTGTCAACGTTCGTTTCTCCTACCAAAGGCTTTCACTCATTCTATCCGCATCTACAAGCAAGAGCAGCCGGCAAGCCCTCGAACGCGACTGCCAGGTTAGCCCTCCTCCCCGTCCGACCAAAAGCGGAAGGATCTGATCTATCGTCAGCTCGTCGACATGAGAGTCTCGAATCTCATCGCCGGCATCGCGTCGGTTTCTGGGCTGCTCCCGTCTTTGGTGGGCGGCACCGCGGCTTCCCCTCTTGAGGTCCATGGCCAGCAGGACGAGGTCCAGTCCGCGGTCCTCCACAACCTGGAGCACCATGCTCGCGACCCTCAACACTCTGATGATTTTCTCAGCTACAACTATGGCTACTCGGGCCCTCCTCCGCCTCCTCCAACGACCTATGGCGAGGAGTCGTCGACGAAACAGTATGGTGCCACTACCACCGATGGTTCGTTCCTCTGTTCAGGAGAATGTGCGCGGTTGACTAACTCCCACCTAGAAGAATACTCAACAGGTGCCAGCACGGCGACAACCGCGAGCGGGACATCTAGTTACTCTTACCCTGCTTCTGCCAGTGTTACTGCTACCTCTGCATCATCTTCCGTCTCTTCGGATACCGCCACCACCTACCCACCTAGTTCCGCCTCCTCAGGCGACTCTTCATCGTCAACTAGGTCATCCGGCGCTATCTCATCACCAAACACAACAGATACTGAGTCGGGTACCCTCGCAACAGCCTCGGAGACATTCACGAGCTCAAGCTCAAGCTCAAGGGGGACGTGGAACACCACCACTCTTGCGCCGTCTCCGGCCGTGAGCTCTTCAATCTCGTCTGCAACATCAGTGGGTTCCTCTGCCAACAGTAATGGCACTGCAACTGCTTCCTCGACAGTATCCGGTTCAAAGTCTGCTACTCTGGTACCGCCGTTCACTGCGTCCAACTCGTCAGTAACCGCAACTGGTACCGCGCCTGGGACCTCAGTCTTGCCAAGTTCGTTTTTCAACACATCGTTCCCAGCTGGCCCGACTTTGACGCAACCAGTTGAGTCCCCATGGTCGACTTGGAACTCGTCTGCCAATGCCTCGCCAACGTCTTCCGGAGTGTCCCAATCTACCACCTCAGGGAACTCCATGTCCATATCTGACATCCCGATCCCTCCAGCATGGACGTCTGGTACCACGACCCGGGCTTCAAACTCGACGAGCCCATCTGCAACATCAACCGTCCAGGGCTCGACCACGGGACCAGTCACGGTAGTGCCGTCTGGTGTCTCCGGTTTACCGTCAGGTTCTGCATCTCCCACAGAAACAGACGTTCCCTTCCCGTTCCCCAATTCGACGATCACCATCTCTACTAAAGACACAGTCCTCATTTCTACAGTGTCGAATACGGCATCGGCCTTTCCAACAAGCCCTACTGCCGTGCCTCCTTTCCCCGCCAACTCCAGCCCCATCATCTGGCCGAGTGGCACCATTGCCTCCATCACTGAAGAGCCTGAGCCCTCGTCAACTTCACCTTGGAACAGTACTTTGACCTCCTCGCCAGTCATATCAGGGACCGACCCGACTCTTTCGCTGTCCCCCAACTCAACGCTCTCGGCCAGCGCTAATGCTACTTGGACGGGGACGAGTCGATCTGCGGATCCAGCGACGTCTACGTCTGTGGTTTTCGTGCCCCCTTGGCCTGTTTCCAATTCTACGACCATACCCAGAGGAACAGGAACGGGAACGGGAACAATTCTCACGACAACTGGGACTGCAGCGTCTTCACGCCCCACTCCCACAGCACCATGGCCTGCGTTCAACTCAACCACGATATCCCTCACAGGAACCGTTTCCATCCCGGTAATTACATCCTCCATAATTGTTGGTACGGGGTTCTCAAGTCCCTCCAGGGTCTTCACGTGGACAAATCACACCTCGGGTGTTCCCACTGGCAACATTACAGGCACTGGTGCATCAACCGCAACGGGGTCAGCAACCGCCATCACTCTTTGGCCAAGTGCGAACTCTACGTTGAGCTCTCAACAGAGCGCGACTGCCTCTCCGGTCAACGGGACAATTATGAATACGTCAACGTCGAATGCGACTTTCAGTAATACCGCGGGAGGGTCTTCTATCACCGCCAGTCCTCCGTTTCCAACCGGCAATTCTTCTGTCATTCCCTTCCCGACTGGGGTCAATACGTCTAGCATCTGGCTTTCCACAGTCATGTCGACCCTTGTTACACCTGTAGGAACAGGGTCTTCACCTATCGCTACGATCGCAGTTTCAACGGTGCCTAGGCCACCCTTCCCAAGTGTGAACGCAACATCTGCTGTTACCACGGGCAATGCAACTTCAACAATTTCAGGAACCGGGGTCACCGCCGATCCCACTCTGACCGGAACCTCTTCTACTGCCAATTCTACGAGACCATCACCTTCCTTACCACCCTTCCCGTCGGTGAACTCCTCTCGTCCAGCGAACACAATCATTACTATCTCTGGAACAGGCACCACGGTAATATCGACATTGACGGCAGGTACTTCCAGTACCAACTCTACCATCTCCTCGTCGCTGCCTCCATTCCCGGTCACGAACTCTACTTCATCTCCGTCTACCTTGGGCAGCATAACGGGTACGATCCCAGGCACAGGTGGCACAGCAATACCCACGTTGACTGGCGGGACTTCAGCTGGTAGTGGTACCATCACAGGTCTACCAACTCCGACCACAGAGCCACCGTTCCCAACTCGGAATCGAACGTCGACGGCAGGACCTACAGGAACCGCACCTCCAGAAGGATCTGGAACTGTTTTCTTCACAACTGAGCCCCCAGAGACATCGAGCGGTCTCAACGCCACGGCAACGACGCCGCCATTCCCTGCTGGCAATGTCACCATAATCCCAGTATCGACTGGCAACGTAACTGTTACGTTGATCTCCAGTGCACCATCAGGCGCGGTCGCTTCGACATTGACAATCACAAGAGCCGACCGCCGCACCACGCAAACCCTTACAGTCTTGCGGTCTGCAACATTGACGCCGCCGTTCCCAACTTCAAACGGCACCCTTGTGCCTACTGCCACAGGGACTGGTCCTCCACCTGGCACTGTGATTCCTAGCGTTCCCTTCAGCCAGTTGCCGAACTCAACATTCTCGTCGCTGCCATCTTTGTCGTCGTCGTCTTCGCTAGTCTACCCTTCCACTGGGTCTTCGACTACTCCTGCCACTGCCACCAACTCAACAGGGCCGACGGGGTCTTCAACACCATGCCATACGGTCACCGTAACCAGTGGCACAGTGACTCAAGTTATTACCAAAAGTGTTCTAGTCTCATCCATGCCAACCTGCACGTCCAAGTGGCAGAATACGACCTTTACAAAGTCCTCAACCGGAGCTACAAACAGTAAGTCTGAGCCTGTTCCTCCACAAAGGCCAGTAAACTGACAAATGTTCCAGGAACTTCCAGCAACACCGCCACGACTCTCATCACATCAACGACCAAGACTTCGGTCTCAGCCGAGGGAGACAGTACCACCATGTTCGAGCCCGATGGCCCGGTGGTGCCGACTACCACAGTCAGCGACTTCACTCTGCCATCCAACAAGGCCTATCCGTGGGGCGGCAACGGGCCCCTCTTCCGACGTCCTAACACAACTGCCACCGACAGTGAGAACCTTGCAGTCCGCCAGCCTGGTGGGTGGTGGTTGCGGTGGAAGCGGCATTTCGACCGATCGCGATCGAGCGCGAAGGACAGGGGGGCAGACGTGACTCACGAAACCTGAGATGTACTGAAACACTGATTCTCCTTTCAACTTCTTCTTATTTTGCTTGAGGAACGACTAGCTTTGGACATGGGAGAACCTCTTTTCGTCTTTCTTTTCTCAATGGACGGATAGGACATATACCTACACCATGATCTTCTCTGTAATAGTCAAAGGGCGTGTTGGAGTTTATCTTTTGCTAGAGTAATGGAATGAAAGTCGACGACCATATCAAATCCAAACATCCTTAACCACTAAATCTTCAAATAGTGTCATTTCCATTGAGGAAATGCAGCAGGTTGCCCCATTCGGTATGACTTCAAAAGACATTCAGGCATGGCACTGATTACCTCAGACGCAGTGCGTAATTGCAAAGTCTGCGTCACACTCTGGTCATGTGAACGCGGATAAAAGATCCAAACCCGCAGATGATCTGACGGGCTTGGTACGCAAGCTGTTGACATGTTTATCTCCGTGATTGGCTACCACTGCTTGCCAACCAGCATTCGCCACTCCGTGCCGCACGCCTGCCTCCGACGCCCGCTGCATCCAGAGTATTGAAGAAGTATCAAGCCCCCGAGCATCCGCCCGATAGCTTGGAGACTTTTCATCCCACAGTCTTGCATCGACTTGCCGAGCGGAGATGGCTCAGCAGGGTGGCACGTATAAAGCCCCGCCGAGTAAGTTTAGACCATCACCTCGAAGTCATTGGAACGGGATTGCTGACGGTCGTCAACAGGGTTGACCTTCTCCTTCGGCCGGACCCAGTCTTCCACCGAGCCCTTGACCGAAGATAATGGCTCTATCGACGAGAAGCCAACAGAGACCGACGCCGCCGACGAGAAGTCTGCCGCTGCGATGACAACGAGAAAGGGTGCTAAGAAGGTGGAAGATGAGGAGCGGGAGTGGGTGATTGTCCCCAGTAACCCGGAGGACGAGCCGGAGGAACGCGCGGAGCCGAGGGGAATCTTTGTGTCTTACGGTATTGGTTCACCCTGCGGCTGTTCGGTGAAAGGCGAGTTCAGGTTGGGGTGGGGGAAGGGTGGTGCGCCGACTGGGGAAGGGTCATGATGGGCTTGGGTGTTTTGAAATTTGTGATGGCCTCTTTACCAGGGCAATGGCAAATCGTATAATGAGAACATGTTTGAGGAATATCTGGGTATAAAGAGGTTTTAGAACGGAAGTGTTCTAACAAAAGAAAAACAATCCTGCCAACCGATCCGTTCCTCCAACATGTCGCCTCCACTGACACCAGACACCGCTTCTCAAAGTCCCTGCAAAACTTCCGGCCTCAATACTGACTGCATCCAACCCGCCTACCGAGACTCACATGCTCAGCCGGAAGGGTTGCACTTAAGGCGCCACGAGCTTTGCGGCGTGCAGACAATCTTTTCGTTGTACTTGAGCGCCGTCTCGGCCTTGTCGTCGCGCTGGTGGTTGTACGTGATCCAGATGCCCTTCTGCGCAATGTCCCTGCCGTCGGTGCTGCGGCAGTCGGCGTTCGCCTCGTTCCACCAGCCCGCCTTGAGCTGCAGCTCGTCGCGGCGGTTCTGCATCGCCCACTTGATGTCGCCCCAGCCGAGGTCGTTGCCGGTCCAGAGGCCGGAGCAGAGGAGGCGTCGAGCCGGGACTGTGGGGCCGGCGTCGGCTGGGGCTGGGGCGGTGGTTGCGCCGAGGGCGAGGAAGAGGAGGGGCTGGAACTTCATTGTGGCTGGGTGTGGTGGGTTATTGAAGGTGTGATTTTGTGGCTTGTGTCGGGCGGGAGAGGGGATCTGGGGTTGAAGGTGCAGATTAAAGACGGGACGATGGTCAGGCAAGACCGCTGGTCCAGGTATATATACAACGTTGAGCACGCGGATGTTCCTGCAGTTCGCTCTGATCGCAATTTGCAGAGCTTCATGTATGATATATTGCGTGGATCTAGAATCTAGTCTAACTTGCTAATGTCAATGACGCTTTACCTTCTAGATCGTTCAGTGGGTGCTCATTGAAGCATTATGAACCATGGACGAAGACTGATTCAGTCACTGGTCGTTTGAACACGACCAGTATATTAAGTCCCGGTGGGATATTCAAGTCCCCATGTCTCCTTTCTATCGGCAGCCCCGTGCTCCCGAACCCCTCGCGTTGCCGGGTGGTACGCCTGGGTCGTTGTGCGTTAATTGCCTCGATGATGAGATGGTGATGGACGTGTTCTATGCGCGGGCAATTGAACGGTTAGGTTGCCGACAACCGGAACGAGAAGGCCATAGAGCATCTTGCAGAATTTTCAACATACGGTGTGTGCTCGGACTTTCAAGACATTTGAGCTCGCGCAAGCGGCAAGCCTTGTGAGGAACAGCAAGCACCAAGGGTTCGGTTCTAGTTTGATGAAGCATCCAGGCCAAGCCCCGCAAGTTCATCGCAGCCACCGTAAGCGAAAAGCTTGTCTTATGGAACCCCCAGGCCTTCAGTTGACAGTTGCTGAACCTGTGGGCCACGGCGTACCTGTTACTGACGGTATCGCCTGGCTATCGTGCGCATCGACCCGAATGCGATGCTGTCGCAGGGTAGACGGCATTGAGTGACTCGTTGGCAGCTTTGGGCCCTGCAGTGCCAATTATCCCGTCAGCTCCCTTTGTCGCCAAAAGGGAACTGCCTGACCAATGAAGATCAACCCATACTGAACAAGTTGCTCAACTGGTCTGGCAAAAAGAACATACGAGGGCGTCGGGTTATGCCACTGGTAGCCATTTGATGGAATAGATGGCGAGTGAGGAAAAAAGTCTTCACTGGATTAGCTGAACTCTCTTAGACCACAGTCGTTGACTTAGGCAGCGAGGCTTATTGCTGCACGCTGGAGCTTATCCCTAATCGACAGCATTTCAAATCTTCGCAGTTCGAAGAAGAAGAATGGGGAGGGATCCTGTTACCTTCTCGTGTTGCGCTGAGTCAGTCACTCATGGCCAACCCGAGCAGCTCGTTCCCATAAGCAAATGCCTTCACGCTACGCATCACGCTGGTTATTATAAACGATCGTATCACCTTTCAGAAGTTGAGCTCGAATAATAGAACACACTTTTACAACTGCGCAACTCAATCTCAACCCGTTTAATTCATGCGAAGATGAAGATCACTTCCGTCGTTTCTTTCCTCGCCGTCGCTGTCGCCACGGCGCATGCATGCGGCTACTGCCAGTGCCAGTACTCTGATGGCAGCCATTGCTGCGTAGCGCACGGCAACGGCAAGACATGCGACGAGGTCTGCAACGGTGCCGCCTACGGCGTCACCCTCGGCAGAGAAAAGTTGTACTGCAATGCTGCGGGCGCTTCTAACTGCATCTCATGGTCTTCTTACCAAGATCGGAAACAATGCATCGTGTGTAGTTCACAATTCTTTATTCTGATCGTGGGGGGCTAACATTGCGTCACATTAAATCTCCTCTTGGCCCATGCTGTTTCGACGATGGATGGTATGAGAGCATTTCTACGCGCAGAAAAACGACCGCGGGATTCAGTTTGGTATTTGGGCGTCTGGACGGCTTTGAAAACAAGCAAGTACCTGAGTTGTTTGTTGGTGTCTGTTCTATAAAGAGCCTTCGGCCGAAGTTCAACTCACTCACGTCGTCGGATGGGACGGGAGATCGGGTGGCGTGGTTGCGTCAGTCACTTGGACATTTCTAAAAGTTGGAGACTTTCCACGAACATGTTTACGTATGCGAGCCCTTTGATGCCACTTGTAGCCAAAACAGCCATTTGACTGATATCAATCAACAAAAGCATCAAAATTGAGTTGAGCTTCGCTGCCAGTGAAGTGCCGGCGGGCAAAGATATGTCCGACGCCTCGGGGCGGGGCCGGCCCCGGCCTTACTTAGACCGGGGATGCACCACTCGATGCGCCGCTATTAAGACCCTTCTCAAGACTCTTCCAACATTGCAACGCAAATCAAAACAACTCAAAAATCGCCAAAATGCCAATCTATCACATTGGTATCTACCACACGCCACTTGTCCCTGAATACTGCTGACTTACCCTGTCACAGTCCTGTTCAAGCTCAACCCCAACACCGACTCATCCCAAATCTCGGAGATGCGCGCCGCGGGCGACGCAATGGTCGGTGTCGTCCCGGGCCTCAGGTCCTTCGCCCTGGGCCCGCCGCTTGCAAGCACGGCGCACCGCGCGCAGGGCTTCGATATGGCGTTGATGACGGTGATGGACACCGAGGAACAGGTGCTGGCATACGCGGGCCATCCCGCGCACCTCAAGTAAGGAATACCCCCGACGAGATCGATGATGTGCATGGTCTGATGGGACGATTTAGGCTCCATAAGATTCGGGAAGCCGTTTGCACGGAAACTCTGGCGTACGATCTGGTTGTGACTTGATTGGGACGGGGCGGGAGTGGAAGGGAGATCGGACGAACTCCGACAGAGGAGGTCCGGGTGGGTTCCGGTGGGTTCCGATGGGTTCGGTGGGCTCCCGCGCTCACCGTATGCGACTGCTTGACCAAGGATACTCACGAAGAACTGTTCCCAATGATATCAATTGATGGTGTTGATACCAATGGTGCGTATGGTTCGGCAGCGTGCCGACTCCGTGAAAATATTGTGATTATTATTCAGCCCGCAGTAGCCAGTCCACATCCCAGCAGACTGAACAGCACAATCGACGGTATTAAGGTTCAACTCGTTCCTAACTCCTTGGCTACAAGCCAGGATGAAACGGACACCTCATCTCCCGAAAACCCGCCTTGCCTTTTCTTGACCTTGTTTATAACATTGTTACATTGTTGCCCATACCGATTGGGAACAAAACGATATTGGCCATTCACCTCCAGACGTCAATCACCGAGTCACCATAGCTGTTTTTTGAACACGCAAACATCAAATAAAATGACCCGAATTTCGAACGTTCTCCAAGAGCAGTATCAAAAGCTGCGTCTTTCACCAACAAAAATCGAAAAGTGGGAACATGGTCTGCGAACCGACCCGTCAAAGTCGGGCGTGTTCGAATGGTGGTATTTTGACTCCCACTTGACCAACGGCGCAAAGCTGATGGTCGTCTTCCACACCAAACTCTTTGCGAGCCCCAATACCGGCTTGGACCCCAAAATCCAAGTACAGCTCGACACACCCGACGGACGCTCGTGGGCCATCACCAAGACCTACCCCGCGAGTAGCTTCAATGCGAGCAGGGAAGAATGTAACGTCACAGTAAACGGGGAGAAAGACGGTCAGATCAACTTCTTTCGCGGCAGCGATTTGAACGCATTTCAAATTCACGTCGTCGTCGATGACTTGACCATTGACGTACAGCTTATCAGCACGACTTCACCCTGGCGGCCCGGGACCGGACACGTGTACTACGACGAAGACGAGTACTTTGCCTGGCTGGTTGCGGTTCCTCAAGGCAAGGTCACTGCGACATACCGAATCGACGGCGAAGAGCCGGTGACGGCAGAGGGCGACGGGTACCATGACAGGAACTGGGGCAACGTGTCGCTGGCAAAGGTTATCAACCATTGGTACTGGGGACGGGGCACTGTGGGACCGTATACCGTCATCTCTTCCGCGACGATCAGTTCCGACAAACTTGCGTATGCGATGGGGATTTCCTTCATGATCCAAAAGAACGATACTATCGCGGCCGAAGACGCGGGAAAAGTGGTGTTCACGGCGACGGACGTCGGGATTGACGAGCAAACTGGCCGCTCCGTTGCTGGTAGGCTGCATTTCGAGTACCGTGATAACGGACTGGTCTACACGCTTGAATATGTCAAGGACGAGTTTACCTCGCGACAGAAGATGGGTGATGGGTGGTATTTGCGCTTTGCTGGCACTCTGAGGTTCAAAAAGTATGAGAGTGGCAAGGTGGTAGAGGAGCATGAGAGCCGCACGCAGTGGGATTCAATGTGGTTTGGCCAAGCTCACAGAGATGCACTCATGTATCAGAAATGAGGAGGGCGGTAGAGCGAAGACCGGCTCAATATACATGAAAAATTGATCAGAGGTTGAATCATACTACCATGCTTCACTTAGCTGATTCTGCATCCCAAAGTTTTCGTCATGGAGAATAGGACATGGTACTCCTCCATCTGTGAAAATTCCGACCTGCTGCTTCCTCAACGGCTGAGTCACCAATCAACAGGATCATGAAATTTCATTTGGTTAGATTTGTAGAAGGCTTTTGCTAGCCGGGTAGTGTAGTTAGCCATCCAGGCAGTACATGCTTTTACTTTAATCGCGGTACACTTCATACTTCCATCCCAGTATACCTAGTATTTCTTTAAGGACATTAAGGACAAGAATATATTACGATTATAGAATACGATAGTAAATGGCGATGTCGATGATAAGAACGACGACAAAAACGACGACAAAAGCGAGCACATGGGAAACATGGCCGCTTTAGCACAGGATACGGATTACACGCGTGTATGTAAACACTGCTCGGCTAGTAAAACTCTTGTCGAGTCCATAGAAGACGATCTTCGCTACTGCATACTGGTAGTCGGCTTCGATCATCTGAGTATAAGGCTCGGAGCCAGTGGGGCATGACGCGACTTTTGTAACAAGTGACGTTGCTGTTTCACTGCTGAGGCCAAAACATCATCAACATATATTAGCTGCGCCGATCAACGGTGCCCAAGCTGTACGAAACATGATAGCCTGTAATAAGAGGCCATGTATTTTACAGTCCATATTCATGCTATCCTAGTCGTGGCCGTTCAATCTTCACGCGTCTCAGTCAACTTGACGTGCAGTCATTGCATTGCCGGCTATCACCTGCACTAGTAGTATGTTACCGACAGAGAAGAGCCATGACACGCTCAATTAGGTGAGAATTGGGAACGAATGTATACTTCTCAGTCTTGTTTCCTGTTATAGCTATGATCAGGACGAGTAGTCAACTCTACTCATAATCTTTAGTTCCTGCATTCGCAGCCAAAGCAACCTCCAGAGGGGCAGTTCTTGTGAACCTTCCACTTCAGCTGGTCGTTGCAAATAAGCTAGCACAGTTCATAATTAGCCAATGCTTCGTTTCACCGGGAAATAAATCTGTGAGAAATTATTGATGAGCGGGTTAAAGGCATGACTTACGACGTTGCCATCATTTCCTAGGCCGCAAGTAAGCAAGCCTTTGTTGTCAGGGATGCAGGAATTTCCGGCACGCTTGGGTCCCTGGATGCATTTGGTCTCGGCCATGGAAGCCCAAAAGGCTGCGGCAGTGGCGACAGTAGTGATGATGGAGTTGAACTTCATTTTGGGTTGAATGGGTTGAACGTGAATGTTGGTATGGAGAAGATGTTGGCTCTTTATGTAAATAGTATGAGATTGTGACTTGATGATCGAAGTGTAGGTAAAGGTTTTGAAGACGTGCGAATGGAGTCCTTTATATAGTTTTCTTCGTGGACATTTCAGCTGCTTGCTTCCCTTGATCGCCCGAATCTCATGCCTACCAACATCCATAACTCACTAGGAACGATCAAACTTGAGATAGAATCAACAACTGGTAGTTGCGGTAGCTTGAGACCTGATTTGTGGGAGCAAGTAACAATCTCCTGCTGCTTAGTGGCACAGTCTCATCCACAGTGGCTGGGGCAATTAGCTAGTCTCTGCATCCCTCTCGAGCACTCACTTTTTACTGGCGATCAACATCACAGCTGGTGTCAAATGGAACATTCCTTCTCACGGATCAATCCTACATTTTCGGTCCCGATCATGGTGGCATGGTATGGACGACTAGCGCTAGGGCATTTGCGTGCAATGTAACCTATTCTAAGACCTGCTCTCAACAGGAACACGGAAGAAACTGGCTGCACCAAACTTGACAAGCGTACTGCACTGGTTTCACGGCCCCCACTTCGTTTACATGTATGGATCACCATCATCTACCCCGCCAATATTGCCTTAGGGGGGCCGGTAGTCCTTCCTTGCAAATGTGCCTTGCCACTGTGGCACAGCGTCACGCCGACATCACTTACAGGGGTCGCCAGATCAAAGGATTCAGATGGTGACTACACATCTGCCCAAGAATGCCCATCCGAAGGATCAAAAGTGTCACTGACACTCTGTCTCGGGTAAAACGAAGTTATTCGGGACCGAGAAGCGTATTTTAGCCCATCGCGGGAAAAGAGTGCAAGACGATCAAAGTCACTCAGCAAAAGGAGCGCGCGCCTGACACTACAATCTTTTGAGAAGTCCATCTAAATGTAATTTGTCTGCGCAGCTCATTTATGTCTTCGCAATGTTGAGCATAATACCACAATTCTACTAGTAGAGACAGTCATGGTGAGGACGACGAGGACAACGGGGACGAAACCTTTCAGTACAAGTCTCGTGGCTGGCCAGTTCGGTATGTCGGCTGTTGATGGTGCTTCTTTCATCGTAGGAGAGGGGAAAAGGGCGGCTTTGAAATTCCCTCAGTACCTGAGAAACGAGAGCAAGACCATTTGTTTTTCATGACAGTTTTTAAATCTTCAAGTTTAAATTACACGCCAATAGAAACAGCATGAAGAAGAAATCGCAGCACAAGAATTCAGAGTCATTATCAACAAGGGCAATTGAAAATGCCTAGTCGGGCTTGGTACATTTGGAGTTCCGGTGATGAACTTTCAACCCCCAACTGAAAACGCGTGTTGTCGTTTACGACAGCGCGGCCCCGTGCCAAGGCTGATCCATGCCACCGTGATGTGCGGTGGGTTCTCACGGGTGCTACTGTTCTGTCGTTCCTCGTACACTAGCGCTTTTTCGGCATTGATCCATTGGATCCATCCCATCGTATTCGCTTTCGTCATTCACTTCACATCCAACAACGTCCGCATCAATAGGGCGCAGTGGATGATTCAGGCGCAATTACAAGGCAATCAGAGAATGGTCTTCAGAACATTTTGCTGTCCGGTTGGGTATTAGGCATAGACGTGCGATAATAGGGACGACAGGAACGAAAGGGACGATAGGAATAATACGAATAACAAAATTACTGTTATGAAATGAACTTTTAGACCTAATATGACAGTTGTCCGCCTGGTTAGTTTGAAGTATCCGCCCGGATAGTAAGACTCTTGCATAAGCGGTCATTGACGCCTGCGGGTATCTCTTGGTGGACTGACACAACCCTCGACGGTTGATATCGCCGCCTATTGACCGCATCAGATGATCCACAAAGATCGAGGTCCAGTAAATTGAATTTCTTGGTATTGCAAGCTACTTGAAATCTCGAATTCTGGGGTGGCAAAGATCCTACTTGGGCGGACTAATGGTGTCCCGGCGGGACAATCGGGCTCCCGACAAAACTATTGAACTATTAATTAAACTGAAGACCTCTTTGCTTGGACTGTCAATCTTCCTTTCCAGATCTCACATTTCAAAAATCTGTCTGAAACATCATAATTGATCATATTTCTCACGCGATGCAGCTTCTTTGCTTCTTGGTGGCCAGCGCCGCGATGGCGGCTGCCGTCTCAGAAGGTCCGCAAACCGACAAGGCGGGCAGGGCGTGCCAAAACCTGAAGAGCGCCTTTGCCAACTCAACTATTCTCGCGGATGATGAAGTTTATATGGAGGAAACCCAAGGTTAGACGCTCTACTCAGATACCATCTCTTCATCCTGCTTACGGCTGTCGCTCGTAGTGCCATGGTCCGCGAGGTCTTGGCTCGGTCCAGCGTGTATCTTTGCTCCCACGGACGCAAATCAACTGTCTTCTGGCCTGAGATGCATTGTTGAACAGGAAGTGCAGTTCGCCATGCGCGGAGGTGGCCACATGCCCATTTCGAATGTTAGCAGCATTGACACGAACGGCATTCTGATATCGAGCGTGAACATGAAAACCCTCACCATTTCCGAGGACAAGAATACGGTGTCCGTCGGCCCAGACCTGCGGTGGACTGATGTATACACCGCACTTGACGGGACTGGAGTCACTGTTCTCGGTGGACGTGGCAGCCCCATTGGTGTCTCTGGTCTTTTGCTGGGTGGAGGTGTTTCTTTCTTCAGCTACGAATACGGTCTCGCATCGACGAATGGCAACGTAAAAGCGTATGAGGTACGTCAAACGCGATGTCACTTCTTGAAAGACGCATAGGAGTCAAGGAATTGACATGAAAATGGTGTGTCTTGGCTGATGGAGCCGTCGTGGAAGCCACTCCCACGAACGAGTACGCCGATCTGTTCTGGGCGCTTCAAGGTGGTGGCAACTCATTTTGTCTCATCACTCGCTTCGATCTCCAAACGCATCATTCTCCATCCGTCATGCTCGCTTCACCATCTTATGGTGGAGAGGAAGTTAAGCAGGAGTTTATCGAGGGTGTTTACAACTTTGCTGCCAATGGGCACGAGGATCCCAAGGCTGCCGTCGTGCCTGTCATCACTTATGTCAGCGGCACTGACGGGCCAACGTATTCGGCGACATTGTTCTACAACGGAAACTCCACCTCGCCGACGATTCTGGGAGATTTCCTCGGCAATATCCTGACTCCGGACAATAGCTCGAAGTCGCTCTTGTCATTTCCGATGGGGAAGTATCACCAGGCAGTGTTGCCAGCCTTTCAAAAAGGCGGTCGCTCCTATGGATCAAGACAACGATTCCACTTGCTCCCAATCTACGCCAACAAAGAAGCCATGCTGATTGCTCACGACATGTATTTTGAGCTTGCAAAGTCGACATTCAGCAACACCGAAGGAGGAATCATCGGCCTTGCTTTCAACCCCATCACTTCGGCACTTCTCGCGGCAACCAATGCCCGGCCAGGTGCAATCCAAGGAATTGACGAGTCGCCTTCATGCTGGATCGAACAAACCTATAGCTGGACAAACGAAGCTGATGACGAAGTGGTCGACAAATTCATCAGCGAGTTCAACACCAAAGTCAGGGAGCGCTTGGAGCCAATGGGTGTGCTGTATCCGTTTTACTACTTGAACGAAGCAGACATCGGCCAGCCCGTGTTTGAAAACTACCCAGATGGCAACCTTGATCGTCTGAAGGAGATCAGGGCCAAGTACGACCCTGGTAGGGTCTTCACTGACCTCATGCCTGGTGGCTTTAAGGTTGCGGCAGCTTAAATGTCACATTCGGTTTGGAGCCTAGGCCGTTTGTGATGTTAGTAGGAATAATAGTGGTGGCAGCAGTGTGGTACAACCCTTCGGAGGTCCTGAAGTTCTGAGCTCTTGTCCGATGTGCATACCATGTCACAAGGTGGAGAAGCATGTGTTCATTACCCCCTTAAGATAGTTTGAGAATCTTACCTCATATACGGAGAGCACCAGTGACGTCAGTAATTAATGCCCTCAATTCATCAGACAATACGCAATAATCAGAGTTGTAATTAGTGTGGTGTTGGGATCATCCTTCCCTTCCACTGTGCGCAGCTCCCTTGACCCCCTGGGAGTAAAGGGGACCTCTCATAGAGTCTCTGTGAGCCATCCTGGACCTCGAATATTTCCCCGTGAGAGTCATACGGCAGTCAACAAGGTGCGCCTCCAGGCGGCAAACTGCGAAGAAAAAAGTTAGAAGGGAAGAAAGAAGATTGACCCCCTGGGAGACCCCTGATTGTGCATACAGATGGAGTCTATTCCATGTTCCTCGGCTTCTTATCGCATGGCCGGCTGGTGAAGCCGCGGTAGGGCCAGCTATGTGGGCTCTATCTAGACGAGGCAGAGCAGATTCAGAAGAGTATCGTCAAAGTGCAGCTCGATCGTAACTTTCCTGTGCGACCTGCCAATAAGTACGGTAGCTACCTAGTCAAGACAAGGGGAGAGCAAGGCTCAGTTTCAGGAGGAGATCTCTTTGCCAGCGGATAGATTTTTGCAATCCGGGCGGGCACTGAAGATACAACGATAGGGACGATCGACGATAAGGACGATGACAACGACAACGACGGCGACAATAACGATGATTATAGTATAAACATAGAGAGGGATAGAAATAGCGACGATAGCATTAAAATTTAATTGTTATAAAATAGACTATTACATGTAGACCTAACATAGATAATTATCCGCCCGGATAGCAAAACTCAGCGGATAAGCCTCAGCTTTTCGAAGTCTGCTTCTCAGTGAGATGCTTTTAGTCGCCTCAGTATAGCGCGAAATGCGTATCATGGGCAGTCTCGCAGGAATCTCTAGGAATTATGTTCGGAAAGATGGATAGGAAAGATGGATAATAGACAACAGCAAGGGAAGCATAGATGGGCGAGCGAAAGGTATCCCACCCACCCTGATGAGTCCGCGTCTGATTATAAGTGTGGGCTTGGGCACGGGATGTAAACAAAGCAAATTCAACCAGGAGATACCAAGGTGTGAGATATGAATTCATCTTCGATCCGATCAACGTGGATCATAGGCTTCTCTCATGACACGTCTCACATCACCCTGCTGTTAATTCATAGGCTGCTTTGCGAACGGTCACAACTCTCAGAAGACCTTTTTCATTCGGAAACTTGCCTAATGAATATCCTTAAAAGGTACTGGAGTTCCCAAATACTTGTCTTATATTGATCTTTTCGCTCACGATTCTTCAACGACTCGACTATACCAGAACCAACACAAGCGCGCGCGCAGACAAATATAAGATGTCAGACAAACCCGAAGCTCGTAAGGCGGCTCTTCTGCGACGCCGCCGTTCTGACCTCACAGCGCAAGAGATAGATGAACTCTACGACTTGAAGCACCCCCGAAAGCCTCGTGTTGGGCGCGATGCCGACCCAGCGGTGTGGTACTGGGGCAAAATGTCACCCGAGCGTTTGGAAGAAGCATTGGAGTCCCGCAGAAGAGCAATGGAGGCAAGTAAGAGGACTCTTGAAAGAGATAAGGAGAATGAAGCAGCCGGGAGGAAGAGAGAACAAGAGAAAAGGGCTGCCAGCGCTGGCAAGGACAGCAACCGGGAATCTTCCCAACCTCTCCCCACCACCGACGACAACATCGAGGCCGACTTCTTCGACCTTTTCGAGCCGGGAAAGTCTCTCACAATCTCCACGCACTACCCCGGCAATCCTTACGGAACATCCTTCTACGAGTACCCTTCGGACAAGGAAGATGAAGATCTTTTCTGGGACGAGAGTGATATCCGTTCTCGAACCGAAGCCGTCTTCGACCGCAAATCCCAGCCTTCCAAAGGTATCCCAGGCAACATTCATGAGAAGGCGGTCCTTTTGATTGAGGAAATTCTGTCAGGCTCACCTATTGATGGCCCTGTCGTACTTCTCTGCAAGGTAAAGTCCGGCAAAGATCTTCCGAACCTCGTTGTCGCCAAGATATTCGATCCCTTGTTCTATCCTTGGGACTACCCCGCTGGAGCCGGCCCCTGGAAGGAGACTGCGAGAGCCGACATGGAACTCTGCCGAGAAGCTGGGGCGTACGACATGCTCAGAACCAAAGGGTGCCACGGAGAGGCGCACCTTGCTCCCAAGTATTACGGCGCTTACACCACTAAAGTATCTTCGACCCAACCAGCATTGAGACATCGCAACCGACGCATTGGACTGATCCTCATGGAAGCTATCGACCACGCCAAAACCTTGAAGGAGCTATGCGATGAGAACGAAGACGAGTCTCTGGTTCCAATTACTTGGAAGACGATCAGGTTCGGCAAGCGCAGCGTAAGGCTTGACGAAAATGTGCGTCTATCGGTTCTTGAGAAGCTTCTAGGAGGCGTAGCCGCCCAGATGAAAGCTGGAGTCGAGGTGCAAGCAATACGACCTGAACATATACTCATCTCTTTTGCGGAAGGCACGCCCGGGAGCCAGCCGGTTCTCCGAGTCAGTCTCATAGACTATTGCGAAAGCGTCGTCGACTCGAAGCGTAAGGAACCACGGGACTTTTATCAGCACTATTCAAAGCCGCCTCATCCAAAGACTCCATTCAGTCCCGAAAAGCTATTTCGACTTGCTGGTTGGTTCCCTTACCAGTGGCTGGAAACCAGATCAGAGTGGGATGAATGGATCGAATCTGCCTTCAATAGTGATAACTTCCTCGAGAGACCTGACATTGAATAGTGCGAAAACAACATCATCCAGGGTCGGATAAAAACTTGTCAGATGTCTGGTAAAGTGAACTAATGAAGTCCACTCCTAGCATTTTGTGGTAGAAATCGATGTAGATGTACAGAGTTACGTTGTCAAGACGCGCCGAGAAGGTGTGCTTCCACAATGGTTAGTCAAAGATCGATTAGTGCAGAGAGGAAGACGGACAAGGAGTAAGACGGATAAATTTCCTTTGAGTGGTATGGATAAGCTGACACTTCTGGGACAGGTGAGGAAGTTGGATTGATTGACGTGATAAGATTCAGAGGAGAGAAGGAATGCTACATATTTTCTGACTTTTCAATCGCTAGTGGAAATACGTGTAATTGGCAGAGAAGGAAGACGGGAGGAGCTGGGCTCTCTCAACATGTCACTCGTTCTTTCCTTTGGGATCTACTTCAAACCTTCTTGCCTTGAGACGGCCTGACTGGCACCTTCCTCGAGACTTCCATTGTCGTTGCTGCCTTCCATCTGTCTTGCCGTGTTGCAGTTCTGTCCTTCCTTTAACTAAGTACTCTTTGCTTTCCGTTGGATCATCCATTTTTCGCGCGGCCGATGGTCATTGCCACCGATCAACTCCAACCAATATCTTGTTATGCGTCTACCCAGTGAGCTTTTCTATCCTGCGCCCAAACATGCGCTGATGCCATTGATGTACCTCCACTTGGGAGCGTGTTTTATTTTGCCGTTCCAAATGCTCCTCTGGTCATCGGGGCTTCTAGTATCAAAGGGGATGCGTGTAAGCGGTCTGGAGAGGTTCTCTGGTTCGAGCGGATCACTCCAATGGCAACTGGTACATTTGGATCTCAAAGTATCAGCAGATCGTTCGCACTGTTAGCGCGTGTGGAGATAAAATTTTATTTGAGAAAATTCCGAAATCAGTCCAAAAAGCGGACATTCAACGGGTAATATACAAATAGATAGTCTCTATGACACACCGATCATGATGACTAGCCAAGCCTCTTGCCTCAGTTCATTGCCCCGCCGCTAACGCCAGACCCACCTTTGGTGTCCTTGTCCAGATAAATCCTGGACGTACACGACACGTTGCGGATGTTTGCTAATAATTACTTGGCTTTTCCAAGAGGAACCTCGAGCAGATTGTCCGACTGTTGCTTCGACGGTCCAGCATAGTCCGTTTCACTGTCTGAATCCGGCTCGTACATAGTTCCCCTCTCGTGGGTCCACGGGTTTGTGTAATCGCAGTTCTCCAGCGAATGAAACCTTCGGAGAACCCAGGTGTCGAGATGCTCACTCCGCCAGCCGGGAGGAAACCAGCCGGCAAAGTGAGTGAGTTTCTCAATGGAGAACTGCCCATACGGATGAGGAGGCTTGATGTAATCCTTGAATAGTTCATAAGGCACCTTCCGCTTTGAATCGATCATTGAACTGACATAATCAACCAAGACGACTCGCGGTTTGCCTTGTTCATCTGTCGAGATGAGGATGTTCTCCGGCTCTGGCCACCAGTGCTCTACCCCTGCGTGAAGTTGATGAACAGTGTGCTTCATGAAATTCTTTAAGGTCTTAAGGCGAACCTCCCGGGTCAAGTCAAGCTGTTTGGTCTCCTCGAAGTCAAGATATGTGGGACCTGTTGGTGGCACCAAGTGATAGCGCTCGTTGCGATCACATAAGTCTTCGATGCTCTTGCCTTGAATGTACTCGATCATGATTGCTCCAACTCGGCGAGTCTGACCCTTGAACTTTGGATAAGCGGTTGTGAGTGGAAGAGTCCAAGAGCCATGATACTGCGGTGCGAGGTGCGGAGACCCGGTTCTTCCTGCCTTCCAGAGGTGTTGATACGAGGCATTCTCGCGACTGAGATCGCCATCTGCAATGATTGTGGCTTTCCAAGGACCCTTGTTTGTGTTCGAAACATCGCCGTAAAACAATGGGTCGAAGACCTTGACGACGACAAGGTCTTCAATATTCAAGGACTCTCCATATAAGGATGGTTCGTCAATGTTCTTGGGGCTCATTGTCCATATTTCCCTCTGGGGAACCTTCGTTGACTTGCAAAGAAGAACCTGACAACCTCCCTCCGAACCACCGCAGATGAGTCTGACAACTTCCACTATTACTTGGAAATCTTCGGCTTGCTTGTCGGACTTCGGGGCGCTCTTCTTCATGCCCTTGTTGCTGTCGCTGTGGGTTGAGTCCGTCGGCAAGAGGATGGAAAATTCGTTCTTTCTTTTCGCCAAGGGTACGTAGGGGCTGTAGCGAAATACCAGTTCTGTCCGACTCATATGCTCTTCTTCCTCCGATAGCATCTTGTCATTGCTGGACATGTTGTCAGGATTCGGGTAACCGGAGATGCCATAGGGCTCGGGTGGCTCATGAGGGCTGAGGCACAGCTGCTCTCCGGGTTCATATTGCAAGTAGTCTTGCTTGACGGTAGTGGCATCGTCATTGCAAGTGTGGATGCAATTCCGGGCCCCCTCAGGCTTGGTATTGGGGGGCGTTTGAGAAAGCGTCACGGAAGGCTTGTCGGTCTCGGTGTTTTGGTCTTCTCCGGCAAAGTCTGTGGTGGGCACAGCTGGGGCGGGTGCCCAAGAAGAAAGGTTTAAATTCAACCCACGAAGACAGTCTTCCGCCAGTCCAATCGGTATATCCTGAGGGAGGGTCGTACCAGCCGGGAACACAATGGGAATATCGGTTGGAAACTTGCTGCCAGGCGGAATTTTGACACCAGGAGCAACACGAACATTGGGCGGGATGTGGACTCCAGATGGCGTGGTGAAGGCGGCCAGAATATCGATGTCGTGTTGTCTATATTGGTCCGTGGCATCCTCAAAGGTCTCGTCAAAACTTTTCGATCTCGTTGCAGGCTTGGGACTTTGGCGAAGCCGTGTAGCCGTTAATCGGGCGTTTTCCTGTGTTTCCATTTCTTCCTGTCCGTCATGGACCCGGACTCGTGTCATGTCTTGCGTCAGGCGTGCCATATCTTGCGTCAAGCAAGCCATATCTTGCGTCAAGCGTGCCATGTCCCGGGATGTGCTTGCTGGCTTACTGGTTGCGAGCGATACTTCTTGGTCAGTCGAGACGTTTTCTCCGTCCATGCGGCCAATTTCATCTTCTGAGTCACGAGATTCCATTTTGGTCTTAGACCACGATGTCTCGTGTTATGGTCAACGTGATACAGGTCGGTGGCGGCCGAAACGAGATAGAGACGTCGGAGAAACCTCTGCAAGTATCGAAAGTGTCAGCGTCAAATTCGGTTGCGGGAGGCATTTGCAAGTAGTCTTGCTTGAGGCGCGGTTGGCTCTTCAACTTTGGGGGGTTTATGGATTCAGACTCGGCTTTGTGGTTCGTGCGGGCTCTGAGAGGGAGTCGCGGGGTCGAGTCGAGCTATCTGACTGCCAGACCTAAGGCAATGGAGCTTCTGTCTCTGTTAGTCAGAAAGGCAGCAGCACCTTTGGAGAACTGTGACAGGGGCCTTCGATAGACATATATTGCGATGGAGTTGTTCGTAGAGAAGGAAAGTCTCACCGCTAGAAGATACAGACAGAAGAAAGAGGCACAGGTCCCTGTCCAGACACGGAGAGCGTGTCAAAGCTTTCTGCGGGTGAAAATAATATCAATCTGATTCGATGGGCTTGTGCGGCGGTATTCTTGTTGATTTTCGAAAGAGGAGACTTCATTTATGTAGGCGGCCAGTAAATTAAAATAGGATGGTCAATATTAAGCACCCTGATGTTTTCCTTCTTCGGGTGTTCTAAAAAGACCACACAAATTCCAGAAGTTTTCTCTTATTTTAAATGTTTTGTCAAAACTTCACAAGGTGAATTTTGAGTCCTCTTGGGCGCACGTATTACATCCTGCCGATGTATTCAACCTTTTGGGAAGCTTTCGCCCGTTTACTATTTTCAATTTTCCTTATGCACACCTTAGCCAGTGTGATAGTCTTGTCAATTGCATACACCTGGTCGTAATTCGCATCGTTGAAGCCATCGATGAAGTTGTCGACGAAGAGCCCCTTTCTCATCTGTCTTTGCGTCTGTGTCATTGTTTCATTGCAGCCACCGTGCTTGTGATTCTGAGTCGTCGTCATCGGAACAGAAAGACTAGCATGGGCAAAGTATTTGAAGATCTTCCCTCAAATCGCATGCTAATCTATCAAAACTTTTGTGTATGGTTCCATTCAACAGGTAGCCTGTCATAAGATAGGTTGCTGGGAAAACTTTGCTTGGATGCAGCCTTCGTGGTGGCACATGAGTTCGTCTCCACCGCGCCCAATCTGACCAATAACATGACGCCTCGTCAACGACACCTCTTGGGTTTCCTGCCTTCAACTCCGAGACCGAGTTGAGACATGCATAATAAAATTGCTACAAGTAATATCAGAACATACTATGGATGCAAGCTTCTTTTTAAGCCGGCTAATTGTAATAACAGCTAGGTAATTAAAGCCTGCAGGGTAGTGAAAGCGCAACATGAGCTAGAATGTGTATTTACTATAGCTTTTATGTTGAATGTTTCATTTGAAAACAAAATATCCTTAGAGGTAGACAGGCAGGCTAGGATCAACTGCTTCTTCAGTAAACGCAAGTAGGCATTTTTAATTCTGCTAAATTCATGTTGCATCAGCCTCAGTCCCCTTATCAACGCTGGCTACCTCATCTATAGTGGCCCAGGCTGATTCAACTTCCTACACGAGCGGCTGCCGTTCAGAAATTTCTTTTCTGCGTCGTTATATTATGAGAATAGATGTGGTGGGCTGTAAGAGTCTAAAAGGCAAGGCCAGAGGCAGTGGGGGGAAGCATTTTCTCCCCCAAGGTAAAAAAAAAGAAGGAAGGAAAGAACATGCTCTCCTCGTTCACCTTGATGACCGCACGGTGGCCATGCGATGACGCGAAAGAGCGCTTTATCCGTTCCAGTCTAGCACAGTCTCTCGTCTGAAGCTGCTTGGGGTCCGCATTTGCAACTGCAGGCGCCCGTCAAATGCTCTGCCGCACCCCAGGCATACGAGCCCTCTCTTTATTGGTCATCCAAGCCATCTTCGCTGCAGACATTCCTTCTTCCTCATTCCAAACTTTTGTCAGCCCGTGGAAACCATCCGCAATTTGATCTATCGGCCCTTTTTAGGTACTTAAGGCGTAATTCGCATCCAAAATCTGCAGTCTAACCAGTTTGCCCTCCTTCACAGGTTGACCCAGCCATCCGCGCACAATTAACGGACCTCTGAATCGGCCTCTTCGACACCGACACCAAGAAATGCAGTCGACATGGGCCCGCACCATCCTTCACATGGCCAACGCTCAGAGCCGCCTCCCGAGGAGCAGCAATCAGCCATTGCCGAGAATGCACGCCGCGTTGAAGAATGCCTAGCAGCAACTGCTCCCGAAGCCGGATCCCACGACACATCACGTCCCGTGACGGGCCTGCCGATGGACCGAGACTTCTACCCAGAGCTGGCTTGGGGTGGCAGAAGAGAAGGAGGGTGTCTCATGGAGGCACATGACCACCTCAGCGAGGCAGGCCGTCTTCCGGCAGTACTCGAAAGTTTGGAGCAAACCACAGGCGACGACGACGACGACGACTTGGGTTCTGGCACTGACGACGACATTGACGTTGAGTTCGAGTTTTACAACCCAGGAAAGACTCTCTATATGCAACCCTATGATCCATGCGAACCCTATGGTGTCGAGGCCTATCCGTGGCCTAACAACAACGACATTGAGCCCGCCATCGTTACCAAAAACATGTGTTACGCCCAGGAAGAAGGCTCGTTGACTCGAGAGGTCTACGATTGGAAACCGACCAGGAAGATCGCAACGACCCCACGCAGTGAGCCCACGAAGCTCGTCGTCAAAATCCAAGATATGCTCGCGGGTGGCGAGACACCCGGTCCCCAGGTGCTCGTTTGCAAGGTAGAGGAACCCTTAGAGGGCTTTCCAGAGTGCGTTGTTGTGAAGATCTGCGACCCCCTGGGCTACAACGTCGACACCAACAATGACGGAACACCCTGGAGAGAGACTTCAAGAGCCGACATACATGTCTGTTGCGAAGCCGCCACACTCGACTTCCTCGACAAAAGCCCTCATATTGGCGACAAGCGCCTCGCCCCAAGGTTCTACGGTGCCTACATCCTGAAGGTGCCCAAGATCAACCCGACTGTCGGCGAGAGCGGTACACGTGAGGTTCCCGTTCTCGTCATGGAGCACATCCAGGGCATAAGCATGTCAGCGATGTGTGCCGTCAATGACACCGGCGTCTTACGGCCTCCCACATCCCCAGCCAGATGGTAGAGTAACGGCACACATACGCTGCAGATGGATGAAAAGACGCGTTTGGAGGTGCTGAAGATTTTTCTTGACGGCTACGTCCAACAGCTATTTGCAGGCGTTGAGCAACGTCGTATTGAGCCTGAGCATATACTTATTGCGCCAACAGAGAAGAAGTACCAGCCCCGAGTCGCGCTCATCCATTACCGAGACTCGCTGATCGACTCGAAGCACAAGAAGCCTCTCAAGATGTACGAAGACTATGAACACCCGCCCCACCCTTTCACCAAGTTCAGCTGTCAGAAATTGCGCGCTTTGACTGGCTGGTTTCCATCGAAATGGAAGGAAATCAACATGGATATATGGCTCATCGAGTCCTTTAATGATGACAAATGGGGCCCGTATCAGCCTAGCAAGATCATACCCGATGGTGTCATTCTCGAGGAGATGGAGAAGAGGGGGAAGATCGTGAAGGTGAAGGCAGACGGCTGGGTGAAGAAGAGTCAAAGTGAAGGCCCGGTATTGCCAGCTTGTAGGGTTAGCCCGTCTGAGGGGTGTCGCTCCTGTTTGCCTCCGTTTTCTTCCCCAATATTCATGCTGCGGCCGTTCATCTAAGTGAGGACCCCTCACTGAGAAATCTTCACATCTGCCCGACCTTTTTGTAGGTTTACAGTAGTCAACGACACACAGCGGCCCAGGTATTTTCACAACCAACTCGGAGCCAGCCACCTTACCCGCAAAGGTCGTCGACTTGAGATTATTGTAACGAGTGTGACTGTGTGATGGGTTCTTTGACACCGGCATGATCAAGATATTCGTTGCTCAGCATGACGCATTCCTCGACGTTCGGGGGGCTAATGAGTAGTGTCCTGCATCACCCGATTTCACGTGGTTCAAGAATTGTTGCATAGGTACCTAATCTAGCCGCGAGGCATAGCCCCTGGCCCAGACGAATAACAGAGGAACGACGGCGAAGACAGAGACGACAGAGGCGATGACAGACTATGACAGAGGGAGACGGCAGTGGCCATGGTCACAGAGTCTACGAGAAATTGGTGTACAGTAACATAGTCAAGACAGGTCGTCTCTTTCCCTTGATAAGGAGCGGAAATGATGGCGTGGCATGCTCGGTCAAGGGAACTGCCGTACGGGTTTTGCGAAACGGAGGCCATCGCTTTTTCGTATATGGAGGCAGTTCTATCATTCTTCCTCACTTTTCTCGATGCCTCACATTGTGTAGAAAATGTTGTGGGCGTCGGTTCAAGCTAGCTGAATATGTTTTAGGTAGTCTTGCTCAAGGAAAGAACAGTTCGTCTGCAGCAACTGGACTAGAATTCATTATTCACACGAATCAAGCCGCTTTCGCTTTCACCACCAAGGTCTCTTCTTTCTTGCCGTCCCGTTCTTTCATAACCAAACGCGCAGATTATGTTTTCAGCTCATGAGTAAACCTTTGCAAACCACCTTGGTAGCCCAAGAGTTTTCTCCTTCACCAGCCTCGCCATCTACAGATTCCATTTCTTCCCGTTCTTCCCTCCTGGGCGCCATCGCACTTTCTCTCCAACCACCTGACACACTGCACATCACCAACACTTCTACATTCTCCCAACCACCACTGTCCTTTGCGAGCATGGATCCTTGTCACAGCCCGCTGCCCGAACATGCCCAGCGCAGCGGTAATGTGATGAGCGTCGGAGCCGTGATGAGCGATGAGAACGAAACGAGTGCTGACGCGGGTAGCGTGAGCAGCGAGACCATCATGAGCGCCGCATCTGCGTCTGGCGGCGATGAAGCTGAGCAGCCCCTGCCGCCCACGACCCTAGAAGAGATGCCTGAGAACCTAGCTGAATCAAGTCGCGAAAACCGACCCTCCAAACAGTCGGATGAAGACGCAGACTATGAGAAGCGCATGGAAGAGTATCGTCAACGCTACGAAGAGGATCTGCGACGCCATTTCCCCCAGCTGTCTAATGATGATGAGGAAGACGATGAGGATGATGAAGATGACCCGCTCGACCCTTTCACGCAATCTCTTCTCTCGGCATGGGACCCCGAAACCGACACCATCGACCCGCGAATCCACAACCCCGACGACCGCGACGACCCGACCCCGCTGCCGCCACAGATCGAGACCGACGAGCTGTACATGGACGACTACATCCCAACCGACTGGCAACAGGCCTACAAGCCCGGGACCTCCATCGTCCTCGTCCCCCACAAGCCCGCCAACCCGCACGGCTACGCCGCCTACGCGACCTCGGCGAACGTCAACCCGTCCGACTGGGGTTACAATGACTGGCTCCTGGCGCGATCGCGCTCCGAACACGCCCTCCACCACCGGCCGACCCCGTACACTTCCATGACCGAGAAACAGCGCAGAACCGCCGGCCTGCCCCCTCCCTTCGAAAGGGACTACTCCGAACACCCAACCGAGCCCCAAGCTTCGGTCTCCCTCAAGCTGGTGAAGTTCCTCTCAGGCGGGCCCTGGTCAGGCCCAGCGGTGTTCCTCTGCGAAGTCACGCAAGGCGCGCGCGCCTTCGCCATGCCCCAGCGCGTCGTCGCAAAGTTCCAAGACCCGATGTTCTTCCAGGCCAGCCCCCCGCCCGACCAGCTCTTCGCGGGGGTCTACCAAGAAGAGGCCATCAGCCCCGACCACATCCTCGTCGCCCCGGCCGCGCACGGCCGGGCCCGCGTCGCGATGATCCATTACCGCGACTCGTTGGTCGACTGCAAGTGAAGCCACAGAGGAAATACGATGATTTCCCCCACCCGCCGCACCCCTACACCATCTTCAAAGACGCGTACCACCTGAGTGCGCTCGAGGGATGGTTCCCTTGCCAGTGGATGGACAAGGACAACGATGAGCTTGAGGAGTGGCTGATCAAGACCTTCGACGACGACGCCTTTGGACCCTATCACCCTCTGAAAATCGGAACAAGTTACAGCGGTGGAGAAAGGAAAGCTGGAGAAGTGGTCTGAGCGGGAGGAAGAAACGCAGAAAGGAAGCAGAGGGCGCGAGCAAACATGATGCAGGCCGAAAGTGATTCTGAATTCTGTTGACGGACATCGCGGCTCCAGGTTGCGGAGAGGCTAGAGTAGCATGTTAGCTCGTTGTCTGAATCAGACTCCTCATGTTTCCTCTTGGATGATGATCGCAGTCTTGCCTGTCAAATACGATTAATAAATAACGCCTCATGGCGTGCTGAGCAGGGCAGCTAGGCCCAATACAACATTGCAAGAACATAGTCACGGACGGGTCAACTTCGTTTTCCAACAAATGTGTGCGTCTTCTCCTACAGACAACGGGTATAATAAGACACTACCTCCCGGCACTTCTGCCCATGCCAGCAGCAACACACCAAGGTGAATCAAAAACCAAAAGAACAGAAAACAGCGCATTCAAGCGAGTGTAGTGTGTTTTCCCCCATCCCAAAACACCCAAACGAGAAACACAGAGGCAGAGGGGAGGGCCGCTTCGCCCGGCTCCTTCTCCAAATGCAACCCAGCCCAAACGTGACACCTGTGTCCCAGAAATGCCGTCAACCCTGATTACGCCGTATACCCCCATTTCTCCATGAGTCGCGGCCATGCTTTCGAGACCCGCAATGTGTGCAGCAAAAGAGTCAAATACCAAATCGCAAATGTTCACGAGTAGAGTTTGTGGTGAGAGGGCTACCTGTTGCGGTCCTCTTGGGGTGGTTGGCTGGAGCGAGATGACGAGCCGAACGAGTTCGAGAGCATGTTTAGCCACCCCTCCGGTCTATTTTGGCGTCCTCTGGGTGCGGGTGAAAGGATACCCTGCTCGACATCCTCGTCTCTGTCCCGCGAGCCGGAGCCTTCGGCTTCTACTTCGTCATCGGAGTCGTCATGGTAGGCTTCGTAACGGGGACTCGAGGGGGAACCTCTGGCGAGCGAGCGCACGACGTCGCCCTTGCAGATCGGGCACGTGCGGCGGCGTGTCGTCAACCAAGGTGTACTGACAGAGGTTAGCATAGACCAAGACCGGAAAATTAGAGATACTCACATGCACTCCGCGTGAAACTCGTGGCCACAGGGGAGGCTCATCACGCGGCTGACACCATCGACGTACTCCTCCAAACAGACTACACACTCGACCTGGCGACCCATGTACTTCTTCCATTCGCTCGAGTAGCTGCCGTTGGCTTTTTCATGCTCTGGCCTCGCGGGAGATCTAGGCATTTGCAGGGCCGAGTTAACGGATAGCAGACTCTCCGACTCAGGAATGCCTGTCGTCGTTCTAGAACGGGGCCGGGGCCTGGTCGGAGTCTGCTGAAGCAGAGGCGTGGTGGGTGTAGCGCTGGTGGGCGAAGGCATCCTAGGCGAGGGGACGGGCGACGCAGCGACGGTGTGATAGGTTCGCACGGGCAGGCGCTCGACGACAGACTTGGGTGCCCTCCAGCGTCTCCTACGGATACGAGCGCGAAGGATGAGAAGGGCATACACGACGCTGAGAGTAATCAGAGGGCTGATGACAAGCACCAGCAGGGTGTCGAAGAAGGGGCTTGAGCTGCTTGACGGGGTAATCGTGACCCAGAGGCCATCGTGGCCAACTGGTTCGTCGTCGTCGGGGATGGGGTCCTCGGCCTTGGGAGGATCCTTGGCCTTCTCCTCCTTGGAGAAATCGGCGCCATCGTCGTCTCCAAAGATCTTAGACATCAAGCCTCCGTGGGAGGAAGAGTCCTTGCTAGACGAAGAGCCCTTGGCTTCAACAGGGGGCATATCAGGGTTGTACTCGCCGCTTCCTGGTGTGATGCTTCCACCTTTGGGACCGCTGACATCCTTTCCATTCTTCGGGTTTGCCTTCTTGCCGGCCTGCTCCTTGGAAGCGTCCTCCTTGTCCTTGGTCGCTGGAACGTCCACCAGATCCGGGTCGCGCCAGTCTTGAACGCCGATCTGGAAGCTGTCTTCGTTCTTACGGGACTCAGCGACCTTGCCCTTGCCCCGCTTGGCAGCCTTTCCAAGACCATCACGAATGGCTCTATCCTTCTCCTCGTTCCAATCGTCAACGAGAACCCAGTTGTGGCGGCCGCTGCTCGGGGGTTGAATGCTGCCGTCCCCAGTTGCAGAGCTGCGGCCCCAGCTGAAGAACCACCTGAACCATCCAACGCGGGGCTTGGCTTCCTCGGCTTTGGTGGAGGCCTGCTTCTTCGGGGCCTTGACCTTGGGAGGGGCTGTCGACTTGGGTGTGGGCGTGGGGGTCGCCGCAGCTGCCTTTTGCTTGGTCTTCCTGTTCTTCCGGTTCGTGCCATCGGACTTGAGGACCTTCAAGGCAGGGCGGCCGTGCTCGTCGATGGTGTCTTCGATGAAGCTGCCCGGCTGGGTGAGAGAGGACAACAGGTGGGCTGTAGTCCGTGCGGTGAAAACGGAAGGAATGGAGACGTTGGAAGTGTCGCCTCTGGCGAACATCTGGATCAGCGGACCACCTTTTTGGTTGTCGCCGACGATGAGCGCGATAGCACCGCGGCGCTGCGCCCACTTGACCTTCTCCAGGAAGCCGCAGCCGCCACGGCTGAGCAGCACAATCTTCCCGGCGATCTCCGCCGCCTCTTGTATCGACTGGATATCGGCGTGGGTCGACTCGGTGGACAGAGCGCTATCGTGGTTCGGCGGGGGCTTTCTGGCGAGGCCCTGGTGGAGGTAGTCATCGGTGCCGTCGTCGAGGGGGCGGATCTTGGACTTCAACCGCGCTCCGGGTGGAGGCACGGTATCATCGGGGACGATGTCCTTGGCGGTGGTGTCCCGCTTGTGGTGGCTCGGCTTGCCAGCAGCAGTGGCAGCCTTCGCGTCGGCCTTCGAAATGCCCTTGGCGGCAGATTTGAGGATAGCATTGGACTTGCCGTCCTCCCAGCCGGGAATATCGCTGCAGCCGAGCTCGCCTTCGCCCTCGCCTTCCTGGAGGTTATCGTCGGCGAAGCCGCTGCCAATCCATAGCTGGCCACTCAGGCCCTTGGAGGGAAGGTTCGGACCGAAGGCGGCAGGGCGGGCGACAAAGGAGGTGCTGTTGTCGTCGGTCAGGCTGATGGCGGCATTCGGTGTAAAGATTGAGAAGGGCGCTGTGAAGGAGAAGAATGTCGTAAATCGTGATTGTGGGACAGCGGCCGGAGCGATTACGGTGTTGGATCGCGCCAGCGATGTGACGGAGCGGCAGAAGAGGAAGAGGGAGGCGGCGAAGAAAAGGACGAGGATGGCGATTCTCGGAGTACGCATGATTGGTATCGTAACGGGTCGTTATAGTGTGTAAAATAAGGAAAGGAGAGTTCGAAGCTCCTGATCGTGTGTCGAGGAGGCGAGGCAACGGGGGAGTTCGGAGCACGGCGCGAGGGCCGTCCGGCAAATGGTGCAGTCGAATGTGGTGACTGTAGGTAGGAACAACGGTTGAAGTCGTCGACGGTTGAGCAGCTGCTGGCAGTGGCTCAGCGGCGGACTGCACAGGTGCCGATCATGCGCGGAATCATGTGCGATGGGAAGCCGCTGGTTGTGGTGACGATGACGAGGCTGAAGGCGATGGAAGGAGGGGAGAGACTGTCTCGCTCGAGGTTGGATGACAAAGGCGGATGCGGCCCTGTTGTCGCCGGGAAGGGTCGGGTCAAGGAAGGAGAGAGGGTAAAGGAGACGAAAAGGAGACTGGGCGTAGAAGTTGGGGGCGGGAAAAAATGGTGATGACGAAAATGTCGATCAGGATATTTTGCAGAGGCAGAAAGAAGTCAGAAGGTGTGTTCGCAAGATGCACGCAGCGCGGAGCGGTGCAGCGGCGCCATGCAGAGACAGGAACCGGAGGCAGACGCAGCAGCAGCAGCAGCAGCAGCAGATGGACGGGACGCAGCGAGGTGAAGGAAGCAGGGACAAGAACTCGGGTGACGAGTGGAGACGGGAGGGCGAGTGTGAGGTCGCAGCAGCAGCGGGTGGCGGGTGGCGGGGCAGTGTTGTTGTTTAGGTGCCGGGGCCTTCTGTCTTTTTGGGTGCTGTGACTGCCCGAGGGCAGCCGTGGAGGACGTGGTGGAGGTGAAGGAAGTCACTTTTCCTACAGATGGCCCAGCACAGTGACACACACACACACACCCGCACCACCTGGACTATACAATGACGGCCGGGCGGAGGGGGGGGGGGGGGGGGGGGGGCACCTCACGGCAGGTCAGGTACCTCATGCTGGACTTCAGGCATGGGTGGAGTCGCCTCGGGGGTTTAGGGGCCCTGTCTGGCTGAGGTCGGCGTCGGTGGGCGCATCGGGAGAGGTGAGGTCTCGGGGGTGGTACATAGGTAGACTGTGGCTGGTACGGGCCCTCCATTGTTCTTCTGGCTGTCACTGGCCCGTCCCTCGTGCGCTGTTTCCTCCTCTTCGTCTGCGGATGGCACCATCCAATTCGATCCAGCATTCCAGTCCATTCCAATAAAGCCATTCTCGGTTTTGACCGGCATTCTGACTTGCTCGGCGAGTGGGCAATGAGCTCACCAGCTCACCATGCATCAACCCAAGCAGGACTCATGAACAGAGGCCATGAATAAGGGCCCGCAACCGTCACCGTCACCGTCACTGACTGACAGATTTTTCTCTCACGACACAGGGGCACTTTTTGACTTTTCTCGTTTCCTGCCATCCTGGTCGCAACCCCGAAAAAGATCTCCCTACCGACGAATGCAGGCAAGGTACGGCAGACACAGATTCAATGGGAGCAAGCACCGGCCAACAGACGCACCCAATGGCCAGTGTCAGGATAGCAGGGGCAGGCCGTCCCTCGGCCGGCTTTGGCGGCACGCTCAAGTCGCACTTGGCCTTAAGGCAACAGCACCGTCGCCCCCAATGTTGGCTCGGCTGCGCCAATGGTGCCAGTGCCGTCTTGGTATTGTTCAGATTGCATCCAAGTCTTGGGAGGTCTTGCTTTCTGGTCTTCGGTGGGCCGGCGCGTGTATAAAAAGGGCGAGTCCACTGTCCAGGAGTGAGTAGATGGTAAGAGGTCTCCGCGGATGAGATGCAATGCCCACGCTTCCGCCAAACAAACAACCCCCCGATTCCCCACCTTGAATGCTTCACCATTCAGGGCGCGGTGAGAGATTCAGTCGCGGCCGGAGGTGTGTGGGTGCCGGTCCTGTCAGACTTGACGCCGGCCGCCACAATCGAAATGAACCGGGCGGGTGACTGGACGAGAGGGCTGTTTACAAGCACCAGTGCCGACGGCTTTTGCTCTTTGTTTCACCATATTTGATGTCCATCTTTTACTCGTATCCATTCATGGCATTTTCCAGCCTCTGCGTGTAAAAAATACGGTTTGTACGAATACGTGCATCTCACTGTCCAACAGACGGGAAATGAAGGTGACGAATCTGTGTCCCCATACTCCATCCCAAGGCAGTACGCTGAGGCTGAGCGACCTGTCTCCAACATTTCCTCCTCTGCCTCCAGGGGGGGGAAAAACACCAACCGCGCTATCAATGACCTCACATGGACGCCGGCGCATGGACAACCCCTCGTGACCAAAAGTTTCACTCGGCCAGTGTGTGTGTGTGCTACCCAAGTACCCCTCCGCGGCGCCCCCCTGTCCCCTCCGCAGCACCCTCTTAAGCCTAATCAGGCAGCTTATAGCAGCTATAGCTATAAGTGAATCTCTTATAGTAGCTACACTAAAAGTATCACTATACAAAATAAGTTATGTAATAAATAGTATATTAGTTATTTAACTACTAGAATGCTTAAAGTACTTAAAAACCCCTCTTTATAGCTTTTATAGTAGTAATAGCTTTAGTAGTAGATATAACACTTCTTTATAATATTACTATTAATTTAAAAGTTATAGAGGTAATAGATACTATTAATATAGGTATAAGCGTATTTAGGGGCGTAGTATATGCGCCTATATAGTATAAGGTTATAGAAGGGGTTGAGTTATGATAAAAGGTGATAATCCTAAGCATTTATAAGTATTTAATTATATAGATGATAATAAGGGAAGTGATGTATTATGATAATTCCTATTAATATAGTTAGCAGGTTATTTCCTAAGGTAGGGAAAAAAGAGGGGAAAGATAACTTAAAATATAACCTACTAAACTGCTAATTATATAAGGTACTTATGTAACTATACGTATTATATAATTAATATTATAGTTATAGATTATAATAAATAGAGTATTTTTATATAAGGTTTTACCTTAAAGTCTATTAGTTTATTTTATATAGAATATTTAAGTAAGTAAGTATTCTTATAAGTATTATTATTATTATAACTATAAGATGTTATATATTAATAGATACTACTAACTTAACTAGCTTAATTTAAACTAAACTTAAAGTAGTATTTAGCTATAGTTTTACAAAAGTAAAAGCTAAAATAGTAGAGATAGTAGTAAGTAGTAAAAATCAAAAAAGAGTAATAGCTACTATGAAGTAAACTATTATTATATTAATATATTAATAGTAGCCTTAATTAAAGCTTAGAGTTAAGCTATAAGAGCTTTATTAACTCTCTTTATTATTATTTTTTACTTTTTTTATAGCTATATAGTTAACACTATTCATATAGTTAATAGTATTAGAGTAAGTATTAAATTATACTCCTAAATAGAGAGTTTACGCTATATTAATATCTTATAAAGGTTAACTATTATTAAGTTTAAGCTTTAAAAAGTTTATATTAATACTATATAGAAAGTATTATTATTATTAATAATTAATATAGCTTATTAGTAGTTACGCTAAGTTAATATTATATTAAGGTTAACTAAGCTTATATATTACTTTATAAAGAGTAATAATTTTAAGCTAAAAATATATTAATTATTATTTTAACTCAAGTAGTAGATATGAATAAACTAAGGTCTAATTAAGTTATTAATAGCTATTATAATTATTATATAATAAGTAATATAATAGATCTCTTAATTTAAGCTAATTAAGAAGGTTATAATTATAAAGTAAGCCTTATTACTAGTAGAAGTTACTAATATACTTTATTAACTTCTTAATATATAATTTATTTAAAAAATAGCCTCTATAGCTTTATATTAACCTTAGATTATATTAAATATTTTTAACTAATTTAAAAAATAAGTAATTTAGTTATATTCTCTTTAAAATAAGTAGTATTAAAGTATAACTTTTTATTATTATTATAGTTATAATAATACTTCTCTTTTTTTTACTATATCAATAATAGTAGTATAGAGGCTATAGAGGTTAGAGAGGTAGTCATAGAAGTAACTCTTAAGTTTAATATAAGCTAACTTTTTATAAGAAGTAACTTTAATACTATAATTTTAAAGATTTTTAATAGTATACTTATAAACTATTAGTAGAAAGGGATATAAGTCTTTTTAAAATAGTTAAAAAGATATAACTAATCTTTAAATAGTTATCTTATAAAGTTTTACTTATTTTTTTATTAAACTTAGCCTTACTTAATATATAGTAGTATACTTTTAAGTATATAAAAAGCTATTAGTAGAATATTTAAAGTTATTATTAGTTATAGAGGATAAAAAATATAGTAGTAGTATAATATTAATATAAGTTATTAAAGTAGAGTTATTATTAAGTAAGGCGTCTAGAGGGATTAATTTAACTACTAAGTGCTTATTAGCTTTATTAGAGTAATTAAGCGTAATATTAGTTTCTAAATTAAAGCTATTAAAACTTTTAGCTTTAGTTATAATTAAATTAGATAAATTAGAAGGCTTAAATTTACTAAAGCTAAAATTATTCTAATAAGGCTATAAAGTAACCTACTTTCGATTTAACTTTGTGAATAATCCCTCTTTAAGTATACTATCTTACTTTTACTTAATATTTAATACTATTTTTTTAGTATATACTATAAGTAAATTTATTATAATATTATATTAAATATTACTTTTACTACCTTTCTAAGCACTTTATTAAAGTCTATTAATAGTACTTTAAGTAGAGTAATTAATACTACTTTTATTATTAATTTAAAGTATATTAATACTTATTTAAATATTATTATACTCTCTCTAAAAATAAAGTAAAATATAATATCAAAAGTTATATAGATAATAGTTATTCTTATAATCTAAAATAGTAATATATTAAGTTAATTAACTTATTACTTTTAGTAAGCTTTTTTCTACTATATTTAATATTAAACCTTTACTAACTTTATATATATTATTTATTATTAGAAGTTCTAAGTTTCTCTAGTTATTGTATCTTTAGGTATTATAAATATATCTAAAATATATTATTAATTTTACTTATCTTAACGCTTTTATATACTTTAGTATACTTAACGTTAAAGCTACTCTTAAGTTTATATAAAAAAAACCTATATTAATAAAAGAAGTTTATACTTCTCCTACTATAAGGTTTTCTAGAAGTTCTATTTATCTTACTTTTAAATTAATATATTTATCTCTTTTTCAATTTAGCTAATAATATCTCTTACTATTAATTTACTACTTTTTAAGAAGAACTCTACCCTCTTTTTAATAACTTTCTTACTAACCTCTAATTAACTTTAAATTTAAAAAGTATAGCTAATAATATAATATTTAGCTTTAAGTAGTAAGTAGTTATACTTACTATTAATCTTAAAGTAAATATATTTATTATTAGTTATAATAATCTAACTTAACTATTTATAGCTTATTTTAAGGTTTTAAAGTTATAATTAATAGCTTATAAAGCTTTTAGCTTATTTTTATAATTATAAATAAAATCTTACTATATTATAGTAATTTAAATATTCTTTTTTAATTTACTTTTCATTATAATATAGCTAAAACTATACTAATATTAATAGACCTTCTTAATAAGGCTATTAAAGCTAAAGTCTTGAAAAGCTATTTTAAGTAATATTAATAAATATAAAAATAGGTTTTTTAGGTTAAGATATTATATTTCTATATAGCTCTATATTTTATTCATTTTATTATAAAATACTATACTACTTTATTTCTAAGGTTAATACTAAGATATATATCTATGCCCTAACCTCTACTACTTATATAACTACGTGAAAGTGGGCAAGCTGTAGCTATATGCCCGATTAGGCTTAAGAGGGTGCCGCGGAGGGGACAGGGGGGCGCCGCGGAGGGGTACTCGTGCTACCCACTCAGTCAGTCAGTCAGTCACCTCGCCTCTACTAACGGCTTGACATGGTCTAGATCCACCCAAAGAAACATCTTTCTCTGGCTGAATGACTAACTCAACCGCCTTCACCTGCATCCCCAAACAACCAACATTGAAGCCATCTACCAGATGCACATCTGCAACCTCCCGCCCGCAACAGCCGTGTGTAAAGTGCATGCATGAGTCGCAATGCTACTCCGAGGATAAGCTTCAACGACAACAATCGTTCCCCCGTCTCACGTGTCCATGAGATCCCCAAAACCCTCCAACAATCCCACCGCACGCGACACGTCGACTATCATAGCGTCTCACCACCATTACCCCAACGTTGTGATTGTCCCCCTCACTACTACTCGCGCTCCGACACCACCAAAAACTCAATTCGCCCCCGGCGCAGTCCCCTTCCACCTCACATCTACAGCCTCGTCAACTCCGTGCCATTCTATTGGCTCCACAACAGATTTGGCATGAACGATCGCAAGCCACACAAAGCCTCGCGCGCTCAGCCTCCTCTCGACGACGTTCTGTCTGCAAGTCATGAAACAAGGAACCACCCAGAATGCACTGACGCCGACGATCACGACCCCCTCCGCCCTGCTCCAATCCGATCTCTCAAAGAATAGAAAAATCAAGAAGAGCCTCCCATTCCCAACCCCGTCTACAATCTGTGGCTTGCCTAACATCTAACCCACAAGCATTCCTGAAGTCCGCAACCAGCCTGCGTACCTGAACAGCCCACAAAGCAGCCATCCCCGTCATCGTCGCATCCAACACCAGCCTAGCGGGTCCTAAGAACCCCTGCCCGCACCTCAAGAGAGCTACCCTCTTTTGTTTCACATCAAACCACCTACCAGTCCCAAGGAGCGAAGAAAGCGCGTATGATCTGCGACCACCCCCTCCTTTGACGTTTGTTCGTGAAACAAGAGACAAGCATGCTGCCCGTTTGCAGGCATTCATTTACCCTCCCAGCCTGCCGTCTGCGGCTTGTGACCAGTGACATCTCCTCTGGACGTATCATCCATTTCAATTCAATTGGCCGGGAGAGGCGGCTCTCGCGACTACACGTGCCAAACTTCAAGCAGCCGCAGACGATGCAGGTAGACTCCGACCTTCAGCCTCATCTCAAGTCTTTCTTTTAAGCATCCGTCGATCTACGGCACCTTCGGACGAAGCCTCGTCGAAGTTGCGAGATACACTTATGGAGAGCGTCTATCTGGTTCCAGGCCTTCTCATTGGATGATCGTGCAAGTGATGTATCTCTGCTGTTGATGTCTGCCAGCCCCCGTCGTCTTCCTTCCGTCGCATATGTCCTCATCGTATATGGTCGCAGTCAGGTCTTGGCTACTCTCTCACTGTCTCCAACGCGGCTGGCCTCGTCACGTCCAATGGAGCGGGGATCTCATCCCGCAATAAAGTTCATCAAAGCCAGGAGACCTGGTGCTGCTCAGTCTTGTGTATATCCTTAATCCAGGAATACGCCAGTCTCGCCATGATAGAAATCGACTTTCCATCTTTCAGAGGTCCGAGGTATGACTCTTCGAATTGGGTCGGCGCCAAAGATGGGAGTATTCTGATGTTCTCACATGCTCGAACGGGATCGCGTTGAGTGGCTGTTGCCGTTCGTTATGGCACTATGATTCGAGATGAAATTGGGCTGGAATAACCATGAAAGATCCGGAAGGAGGATCGCCCCTATGGAAATGTGGCATGTTTATTAATGTTGCCCACGGCCGCTCACAAATTACACCAAAACTCCATGGACTCCAGCGATTCTTCAATATCGTGAGCAATGTCATCGTCTCACACGTTCAATTAGCCCTCGAACCAAGTCTATCTCAAGCACAGCTTCGCCCGCAGTGAGAACACCATCCAAGACTCCCATATCGTCGCTAGATGCCTTTTTCGACTACAAAAAATCATTAATCACAAACAAAAAGAATCATTGCAACTTGAGGCCGATCCGATATGCAAGAAATGCCGCCCTGTCATGATGTAACCAAACATGCGCCCCGCGAACACCACGCCATAGCAGAAGTACAATCCTATCCCACGTCGCAAGAGCGGCCAACCAAACGGTGCTCCCGTCAGTTGAACTCGGAAAACAGCCCGCTCATCCCGCCCTCTTTGCCGCGATCCCACTCCCTCTTCTCCCCGGCCTTGGCCCATCGCACGTCCTTCTCGTCCTTCTGCTCGCCCGTCCGCCACTTCTTGATCATGTCCTCGCCGTACCCGGCCGCCCGCATCCGCTGCTCCTGGTTCTGCCGCCACTTCTGCCTATCCCTAAAGGCCTCCACGGCGTCGTCCCAGTTCTCCGCGCCGGCGCCTGCTGTATCCTCCATCTCCACGTCCATCTTCGGGTCGTAGTCCGCTTCGAAGCGCTTGTCAATGCCGGACAACGCTGACGCTGCGCCGCGGCCGCGTGATCGTACAGGCTCCGGCGGTGCGGGGCCGATGAACTCGTCGAGTGGATCCGAGTCCGACGCAGCGGCGGAATCCTGCCTCTGCGCCGCGCGCCGGCTGCTGCCTTTGATTGAGAACTCCGTCCGCTCCCTGCTCCGTTCTCTCCTCGTGCGGTGGCTCGCCGACATCAGATCCTCGCCTTCTCCGTCTTTGCCCTTGCCGCTGCCGAGAGGAGATCTGTGACGATGCCTCCTAGACTTGTCGTCAGGCGAGCGCGACCTCCGCCGGCTGCTCTTATGCCTCCGGCGTTCCTCGCGTTCGGAGTCCGACTCGTCCCTGCTGCGGTGATGTCTCCTGCCCCCACGCTCGGGCGGCTCGCTCCTCCTGTCCCTGTGCCGTCTGCGCGGCGGCGAGCCGTCCTTCTTATGCGACCGCTCGTCCGCCCGTGCAGGTTTCTCCTTGCGCCCGCCGAGAATCGCCTTGATGTCGCCCATCTGTCGCTTGCGGATGTCCTGTGGGCCGGCGCGCTTCCGTCGCTCCTTCTCCTCGGCGTGCTCGAGGTTCTTCAGCCGTGCTTGAGACTCGGCGGCCTCCTTGGCGAGGAGGTTCTTGTTGTGCGTGTTGGTGTCCTTGATGATGTGCCGCAGGAAGCGGGTGTTTGGCTTGGGCATGCTTGCCGGTCTGTCGGGGGTTAGGACCATGCGTATGTTCAGTCGAGGGCTGGTTGGACGTACTTCTTGTCGGAGCGGAACGCCTCCATGCCCATACTCGAGTATTTCAGCGAGCAGTCGTTTGCTTCCTTTGCGAGGAGCTCGGCGACGTAATCGTCGGTGAGTACGGTATCGTTCGTCATCGCGGCGGACGTTCTTTCCAAAGCCAGTCCAGAGAGCGTGGTCTTATCCCGACCCTTCCGACTATGGCGCGATTCAGGAAGGTGGTGGTAGCATCGAGTGTATGGTGAGGTTGCAAGCGTTTAAGTAGACGGATGATGTGAGCTTGAGCCACCAGCTGCGTGCTTCCGAAGTCGGCAAGGTGTATGGGCAAACGCTGTGTTCAATGAGGCAACTGCTTGAAGTGATTCGGAATGGCTGCGGGGTTGCGTTGAGATGGAGCAAGACGTTGTCGCAAACTGTGGCGGACCTGAGATTGATCGACAGAGCAAGAGTCAATGGAGAAAGACCAGTGGGATGAGTTTCCGATGGGGGTGGCCGTGCAGGACGACAAGTGCCTTATCCGATAGCGATAACGATAAGGGACCTGGCCGGTGCGTTTCCCATTTCGGACGCAAGTAAACAAACGTCACCACACACTGGACCCTGCATCTTGTCGGACAGCGCCAGCAACCTTACGGTTTAGGAGTTCGTCCCTTCATACGCGACATACGAATTGCAAAAGAATCACAATCAATCTGAGAACTTTCACAATGGACGCGACAAAAGCGGCGCAGGTCCTGCGCAAGATCGAAGACCTCAACGAAAACCACGAAATCTCAATCATCAAGCTCAGCGAACCCATATCCAGCGCGGGCACACAAGAATCACGACAACGAACCTCGGACGCATCCAACGCCTCGCAGGATGCGACGACGCCAGACAGCCTCGACGCCGACCTGGCGCACTACAAGGAGCTCTTCGCCAAGCTGCGTTTCTCCTACGTCGAGCAGGTGACCAAAGAAAAGTTCATCCGCGCCATCGTGGGCGACCCGCCCGTGATCGTCACGCCGCAGGAAAACCTCGAGCTGGAGAAGGCGAACCTCGAGGCCAAGGCGCAGCTCAAGGCGCTCAAGGTGGAGGTGGCGGACATGGTGACGGAGCTGGAGAAGAAGGGCAAGGAGCTCGCGAAGCGGTACGAGAGCGTGCAGCTGGACACGGCGAAGCTCAAGGAGCTACCGGACAAGATTCTCGAGTTGGAGGAAAAGGTCGCGGAGTTGAAGGAGTCACAGGCGCCAGGGCAGAGTCCGCAGATGAACCTGCCATTGGCCAAGACGCTCGAGCTGGTCGACGAGAAGAAGAGGCAGCAGCAGCAGCTGGACCGCGAGTTGGAGCAGTTGCAGGCCAGGGTGCCGAGGAAGAGAAAGGAGATGGAGAGGTTGCAGGCCGAGTTGCAGCCACTAGAGGTCAAGAGGCAGAATAGCAAGGCCGCGGCGAAAGAGGCGCGGAGGAGAAAGGAGGGCGCAGGCGGTGATGAAGATGACCTTGAGGAGCGGGGTCGGTGGTTGAGAGCCAGCGAGGCGGCACTCAAGCAGATGCTGGATATTCAGGGGTGAGGAGCAGTTTTATGCATGTTTGGTTAATTGGTGGACGATGTCATGATTTTTCGTATACCCGCGAGGCAACCTGGAATGCTCGGAATGGATGGCGTTGGCTGGGGTAAAGACAATCGAATTGATTCAAGGCTCACAACCTTCATGCCTTCCACCAAATTCCCCGTGACAACACTATGCGCGTCGACGCACCTGCATTGCGGCCCGTCCAGGCGAGCCAGGCCCCCTCAAAATCATGCAGTGGCCCATGCGCCGCCCAAAAACTTGCTGATTGGCCACAACGTTCACCACCTATCGTGAAGCCCGGGTCATGTGACTCCAGCATCCACCCGAGGTTCAGCCGCCCGAGGACCGCAAAAAAGCCCCAGTCGACCAAATTGTGTGCGCTCGGCTAGGGTCTCGAAATTTTGACACCGAGAGACGCTTCTCAAGATTCCTCCGCAAACCAACTAACCGCACCAGCAACCACAGCACCACCATCGTCGACCACCGAATACCGCCAAGATGAGTACGTGACGCCCTGCGATTGCCGTCGTCGTCGTTGCAATCGGCATCGAACGAGCCAGACGACTTTTCGTGTTTATTTCGCGATGGGACGGAAATGCTAACAGTCGTCTGCAGCGAAGGGTACCTCCTCGTTTGGTAAGAGACACAACAAGACGCACGTTCTGTGCCGTCGCTGCGGTAAGTCGAAACCACCAAACTGGGGGAGAAACGCTACTCCCACGAAATCCCGGCGACATCCAAGCTGACGAGATGTTTAGGTCGCCGCTCTCTTCACGTCCAGAAGCACACCTGCGCTTCCTGCGGTTACCCCTCGGCCAAGACCCGCAAGTGTACGTTTTTTTCCCACACAAGTCCCGACGACGCCTCTCCGAAACACCACCTTCGAGATTCCCTCATTCAATCATCAACAACAAAGCAGCCCCAACTACCGAGGTCGGATATGCTGACGTAGGAACCAATGCAGACAACTGGTCCGAGAAGGCCAAGCGCAGAAAGACCAACGGTACCGGCCGCATGCGCTACATGAAGGACGTCTCCCGCCGCTTCAAGAACGGCTTCCAGTCCGGCGTCCCCAAGGGCTCTACCGTCCCCGCCTCGGCTTAAACGAAGAACCAAAAACCTTTTTTCCTCCGAGCGGTTTATTCGATGCGTTAACTTCTTCGACGATGGGAATGTAAAGGGTGTCGAGATGGGGGTATCTGTGCATTCGGGCAATCAAGGGGGGGAGCAAAAAGGCGTGAGCTGATAAAAACGGATCAATTCCCACGCACGGCACAGTTCGCAACGGGATATGGGCTTCTGGGAAACGAATTCTTTTACCAACGAGAAGAGAAAGCATCAACAATATTTTTGTCTTTTTTCACCCTCATGCGTTCTCCCCCTCGCGCTCCGCTGCTTGGTTGCCCAAGCGAAGGCCAGACAAGTTCAAGACAAAAAAGACAAATCATGAACCAAACGAGCAATTTTGGCAACGGGTGTTTGATGCGTTTGATACCTCTCGTGTGGGAGCATGGGGAAACAGGTCTTGCATGGAATATGGATCATGGAGAGTCAGCCTCTGGCTGCTTGTTGGCGTGATCCCACGCGACTACGGTCTTGCGTGATGCTAATCCCAAAGGCGTTCTCGTGTGCATGTTCCAGGTTCCCTTAAATGTGATGCTGAACCACTGTCGCGGCTTGATTCATGCTCTTCCCCCCATGTATTTGTGTTCCCTCCGGGTATGTCTGAATCTCGCAAGATCGTTGGATATCATCTTTCAACCCAGCCACCCAACCTTACTGCCCCCGTCCAAACACCTTGACGCCGCCATCACCACCCACAAAGTACAACAGCTCCGCCTCCTCAACCGTCCTCTCCCCATCCCCTCCCGCTGTAACCCTCAAAACACCACTCACGTCCCTCGCTGTCCCGGTGTCCAACAGCCTCAAACCGACCACCATCTCCGCAGCGTGCGCCAGCCCCAGCACGAAGCTCGCATGCTCCTTCTCCAACGTCGTCGCCTGCGCGCCCACGAGCGGCTCGTCCGCCGCAACGGTCACAATCGAGGCGTGCACCTTCTGCTCGCCGCGTCAGCGTGACTCATCCAGAAGACAGTGGTTGGGCCCTTACCTCTTGTAAATCGAGCAGCATGTTCTTCACCGCCAGCCCGCCGACCTCCTCCCCGGTCGCGGCGAGGAGGAAATCAGGCTGGTCGACCACCAAAACCACCTTGCCGCCGCCGCCGCTCACGTCCGCGACCGCCGCCTCGAGCTCGCGCTGGACGTCGGGTATCTTTGCGCCGCGGAGCGTCCTCCGGCCCTTGGTCGGAGGCGGCGCGGCGTTGGAGAAGAGCCCGCTCAACCCGTCGACGAAGACGAACTTCCCGCCCCGCCCGAGGGTTTCGAGGTCGAGTCCCTGTTGTGGTTTTGTATAGTTAGACTTGTTCCCTGTCCCTTCGCGGTGATATGTCAAGCATTCTGGAGAATATGAGAGGATAGGAGACGCACCAATCTGCCCGCGCCCTCTTTCCAAAAGGCAAAGTCCCGCATGAAGCTCACCAGAACCACGCGCGTGTCGTCCGCGGGCGCGTCCTCTGTCGGGCGGCGGAGGTTGGAGTAGAGGTATCGCAGGACGAGCCAGTTCGTGCTGGCGCCGAGGACGCTGGTGAGCAGGATCTGCGCGCACTCCGGCGGGAGGGCGAGGTAGGGCTCCAGGAGGTGCGGTATCCTCGTTGCCATTTTGAGGGAGCGTATGTGAGGTGAGTTACGAGATTGGATGAAGGTGTTCGTCTAAGATTTGGGATGTGAATATTAGGCTGTAAGTGAGTGATGAGTGAGTGGTGGTGTTTTGCGCTGCTGTGGCTGATGGTGGGGTCACTGGACAGCACGTTGCACTCAGTGCGCGGGGTGCGGGGCACTGTCAAAGAGGTTGAAAACTCGGACTGGACTTGCTGGTGTATGGAGAATAAGATTAGAGCTTTTGGGCATTCTATTGAGGCATTCAAAAATCAAGACAGCATCCATACACATCTTTGCTACGCAGTTTCTGCATGTCCTGGTCCCAACCTGACCGCGCTATCCGCAGTGTGAAGTACCCCGCCATGACAGGGCCCCTCCAAGCCCACGCGCCGCTCAGAAAAAAAAAGAATTTGACGATTCGCCGCCACCGGTAAAAGATTGTCCTCGGAGAGGCTCGAACTCTCGACCTTTGGATATCTCTGTCTGATCACAGAGTCATACTGAATAATATGAGACCAACGCTCTACCGACTGAGCCACGAAGACAGCTTGTTGTGATCGGCGAAGCGGTGGGTGATGTCAAGAAGCGAGGGCACATCGTGCGGACGACGGGGCCGATGAACAACGGGGCTGTGGGGTATCTTCCAGCTTGGATGGGTTTGCACTTTGGATAGCGGGAGTCGTCTGGTTGGTATGTGAGACGTCTGCATTTTCTCTCCTTCTATAGGTTATGCTGGATGAGTTCGGCATTGCTAGAGTGAAACTTTGAGGATACTGATGAGAAGAGAACGGTGCTGATGCATACATAGTTATCTCATTTGATCTCTAAAGAGATGAACTCTAACGGCAGGTTTGTTATCCCAGGACTCTAGGAAGCAATCAGGGGTTAGTGGCTGTTTAAATCCTGTGAAAGTCACACGGAGCTGCAAAGACACTGACTGGGGTGCGTGGGTGCTCATTGCGTTTGATAACAAACAGGTCGGAACTACAGTGAGGGACCAGCATGATGTCCAGAGGTGAGCTGCTCTTCAGCCCATCCCTATCCACGCTGTCAGACAACTAAGCGATGAATGCCATCCTGTGACGATATTCGTCATCATGCAATTCAACAATATCACTCCTACCTAGGGCCGCAGCTTGCATCTTCACTCCTATCTATAAAAAGGCTCTCATTTATTCACACCCACTCCACTCACCTGAAGATATGCGGAGGCAGAGGGTCTCTCCACACACAGAAAAGAGCAAAAATCCAGCTCCCGAGTCAAACCACGCCCATCCAGCGCCGCAAAATGCAAAAAGATGCGCCGAGGGGGAATCGAACCCCCGGCTCCCCGACGCTGCTGGATGGCAACGGAGAATTTTACCACTAAACCATCGGCGCGATGACTCGTGATGAGTGATGAAGATCGAGGCCGGAGAGGCAATTATGGCGGCGAGATGCTAGAGCTGCGGGGGGACGGGGCCGGTGTGGGGCTGGTCGGTCCGATGCCCGACGTCTGCGCGGCGGATAGGTGAGGCTGCAGAAGGGGGAATGACTAGGAGCTGGACTGAATGTATTGATTGGATTTTTATTTAAGTTGTTTTTACGTTTGTTTATCATAAAGTGATACAATGTGGAGGGAAGTTAGATGTTCGCGGTATGGTGTGGATGGCGTGGATGAGGGGTGTCGAAGAGATGGGACCTAATGGTTGGACTGGAAAGGCCAGCGCCACGAAGCAGTTTGCAGGTAAAACCGTTTAGGACATGAAACTTTACTGTATAAATATGAGTTCTAGTTGAAATTAATTGATGTTCGAGGTCTTGATGTATGTTTGCGATTTTTTCCCTCTACTTTATGTTTAGTTACAAATGAAATAAGCTACATGTGATCCGTCGAATATTCCACCACAACGACACTTACTACGACCAGATCTACATTGAACCTTTTAAAAACTATGCCTTATGAACTCTTGTCACAATGCCAGAACTTGACTTACATCGTTCCCTACTATCTGGCCCAATACAAGGGTTTCTCGCATCGATCTGCGTGGGCCATACACGACACACCTATGCAGCATCCCACCTCGACGCAGAACGGCAAGTTCATTTTCGACACAGTTCGCGACAAGAAGTAAAACCGGATTTCATGCCACAATGTGAAATAAAACCTCAAGCTCCAGATTTCCACCCTTCTTCTGCCAGCAAGGCACACGTCCTCGTCTTCGAGGAGACTTCCTTCTCGCCAATCCCCACAGCACGTCCTCGTCGTGACACAAGGTCTATTCCGTAAAGTTGAGTTCCTTCATACGTCCGGATCAATAATTTTTGATCACGCTGCTACATGATACCACAGATAGTGTGTACCCGTGCTCGATGCTAGAGCAGCGTCAAGCTGATGCGCCGACCAAGACATCTTTGGCCCCGCCATCTGCCCGAGACCATGCCAAGACAATCAGAATACACGTGAAGACAATTGAAAACGTTTGAGCTTCGTAATATGTGAAAATCAAGTCATTACCGTCGATGTTCATCAAATCGGGTTTACGGATGAAGGACGACACGTGATGATGAGGGTTAGCGAAGGCCGGCCGACAAGGACGACGTAGATCACGATGACAAATACACCTAGATCACAGAACACCTCTCACTGAGGCTTGAGAACTTACGGTTGGGGACATGACTTATCTCACGGTCTAGACTCCTCGTTCAACCGGTGCAGACATACAACGACAAGGACTTGTTCACTACAAAATACGTCACAAGCTGGTGATGGCAGACACGACGAAAGACCCTACAACCGATACAACTCCATGAGCTAGAGGGAATCGTGAGGGAAACGCAACTAATCTATTGGATTCATCAGGCAGAGCGGTTCTGCCTATTACCTCCATCATCTACCACCCGCGACCCTCACCGACCGGCACCCCTCCCGATTCGCCACACACCGAACACCAACCCCCACCCTCCACTCACCCCCGCCACCGCGGCCCAGTCATTCGGTATAAACAACCACACTCGCATCCAGGGATCCCAAACCAGAACCCAAAAAAACGCTTTCCTGCCCAACAAGTAAATCAATCACATCATCCTCAGCAAGTCCCCCCTCCCTAGAGAATCCCATCTTTGCAAACTCTCGTAAACCGCCACAATCGCTGAAGGAAAGGGGGAAAAAAAGCAAGACACCCATCAGGCTAAAAGCGGGAATTTCGGGCGGAGGGGTGGGGGTGTTCGCCAGGGGTCGCGGGGGTCTCGACCTTTTCCAGTGTCCTCGCTCGCAACCCGACCGCCGGAACACCGATCGGACTGGGTACCTTACCTACCTAGCTGCGCAACAACAAGCGAGAGAGAGAGGAACAGACACGGCCGTCTTCCACGCAGAAGCTCACCCACGCATCACAGAGGCTTAAATTCGCACGCTTCCCGACGTGCAAGCATGACCTAATTCAGGTACGGACTTTCGCGATAAGGCCGCCGTGAAATGTACCTACCTAAGATACCTCGGTCGGTTAGCGACAGCGGCAGCGCAGTGACCCCAAGTTCAGACGGTGCGGCGTCACCTCAGCAAACAGACTCCGCGGACCACCGGCCACCGGAGCTTTGCTCTCGCAGGAAACCCTACATGAACGGGATTCGAGCGAAGGATGAATTGGCCGCGCGGTTGAGGGTATAAGAAGGCCGTCATCGGGCGCTGGCAAACTTACTTACCTTTCAGCAGTGTGCTTGTGCATTCACCATCCCGAGCTTCCCGTGTGCCCACGAACCAGCATACTTCCCTCTCAATCACAGCCTGCAGCTCCAAATTCTGCAGCAGACCGACCGTACGACCGCATCGCACGACTGCCATTGGCGAGGACCAGAGAGCTCGGCGGTACCGCGTGGGGAAAAGAGAGCATATTCCCGACGTGCATTTAAGAGCAGCTTTCTGCGCCGCGCGTGCCCTGCCATATTCATCGTCGTCCACTTTCACTTGCCTCAACGGGCTCATCCGCAACGAAAAAAGGTGTGCTACTAGAAATCCAGTGTGAAGAGAGACGAATAATTGTTTTTGCATCGTGTGTTTGGATTCGACTTGCAAGAATCCCATCGGGGATCACAATCGTGTAGACCTGCCCTCGCTGGACAAAACAAATCCCCCCAATCCGATCCCCGCAGCCCGCACCGTTTACCCCTCGCCGTCCCCGCCTCGCGACATTCTTCCCCCGAGTGCGCTTTACGTCCGTCTCTTGCCTGCCTGCTTCCGCCTCCCCCACCTGTCACGCAGCAGCTGGAGCTTTTTGCTGCGCTGGCCTGGGCGCGGCCACGAACACACCCCGCTGATCGGCTCTAAGCAGGACACGCCCGCTCCCAGATTCGACAGGCCCGAACGCCGAAGTCCACGAGACACCAGCCAGCCCTCCGCTGAGCACATTTTCTCACGATCCTGACGAAAAACTTGTGTGTGCCTTCTTCCATTGACGAACGCATCTCACCAGTATCTCGAAAAGTTTCACCCTCCCGATTACCAGCAAGATGTGGTCCCACAAGCGCGCCTCTCCATCCGCAGGCGGCAGCTCTCCCGAGGCGGAGGCTACACCGTCGCCAGTCTCTACCAGGCAGAAGAACCCCGGCCGCCGCTTCGCCCAGATCGTGAAGCTCAAGCCCGAGTTCATTGACAAGTACAAGGAGGTTCACGCCGCCGTGTGGCCCGAGGTGCTCAAGCAGATCAAGGAATGCAACATTGTTGACTGTGCGTTTGGCCGTTTCTCTGACGTCCCCGTTGTCGGCGGCAAGCAAGCCCGGACTGACACATCCCACAGACAGCATCTTCCACGACCCCGAGTCCCGCATCCTGTTCGCGTCGTTCAAGTACGTCGGCTACGACTACGCCGGAGACATGGAGAAGATGCGCGAGAACCCCAAGGTCCGCGAGTGGTGGGCCATGACCGACGGCTGGCAGGAGTCGGTTGTCCCCGGTGCCGTGAGCAGCGAGGATGTCGACGCGCCTTCATGGTGGAAGCCTGTTGAGGAGGTGTTCTACACGCCTTGAGATTGGGATTGTGTATCGAGTTGTATTGCATTTTTAGTCAGCGACGAATGAATAGCGTTTCCGCTTCGATGACTCCTGGTCTGGTCCGTTTGACGGCATTGTGACAATCATTCGGGTTGAGGTGTGTGATGATGCCCGGCCCGAATCACTTGAAACCTCCGAACAGCCCTCCGAAGACGCCGCCGGACCCTCCGCCTCCGCGCTGGCCGTGCCGCCGTGCCTCCGTCCTAATCCACTCCTCGAGGAAAGCGCGGTCTGCGAGCTTCTTCGCGTCGTGGACCTTGGTCTGGATCTGTGCCTCCTGGTTGTCGAAGCTGAGGAGCGTGGGGATGGAGGAGATCATGTAGGTCATGCCGAGGCCGCCGCCCATGACGTCGGGCGCGTCAAACTCGACGGTGCAGTATGCGACGCCGCCCTCCGCCTCGCCGACGCCGGATTCGACGATGGATCGGATTAACGGTGCGACGACTCGACACGTTCCGCACCACGACGTGGTCCACAGGGTTATCAGCGGTGTCCGTGCAGACGAGGAGAGAAGCTGGTAGGTGTGGAAGTCGTCAGGTCGGCGGACGCTAAGGGCGGCGGTTAGCATTTTGACAAGTGCGCGGTGAGGGAGGCAGCATGGGAGGCAGCATGCAGGGGGCCCACTTACGAGGCGTAGATCTGGTTCTTGGCCGGCCTGATGGACGACGTTGAAAAAGGAGCGGCGACGGCGGCGGCAGCGGCGACGGAGTGTTTGGGGGGCGGGAAGCGGACGCCATTGGCGAGAGGGCGGTGGCAGCCCCGGAGGGCGGAGCGGGCTGGGTGTCTCAAGAGTTGCATCGCGTATCGTGGGCGAGGGTGCCTGGTCTGCTCCTATGCATGCAGTCTGCTGCTGACTGACGTCGTCGAAGACGGTGTTGTGGTGTCTCGTGATGCGGTGCAAGCAGGAAAATGGTGGTGATATGCGACAGGTTTCTCGGGAAGAGGAAGCGGGATACGAGTCGTGGTGTGCGTGTGTGTTGGTGTGATTTTGGAGGGGAAAAACAAGGCAGATGTTCCAGTGACAACGGAGCTCTGAGATGTCTGTACACTAGCGTGGAGGATTCCAGAGCAGTGGTTCAGCTATTACTGGAGCCGGAGTACGTCGTCTTGCTTTTTGGTCCTCGTCCACTTGCCCAGTCAGTTCTCCTACAACTCCAGGTCAGCCGTCATCTGCAGAATGCGATGGAGATGCGCGAGGTAGCAGCACCAGTGTTTGCTTCGCATTCCTTCGATGCGGTCACGCTTAAATCCCGGCAGTCCCCATTGGGGAAGGCGTGGTTGAAATGTGGGGAGTGAACCCCTTTCGTGCACGATGACGTTGTGGTGTTGCGCTGCTGTATGACATAAGCACATCTGGCAGGGATGTTGCCTCTTTTTCGAGCGACGGCAACTGCGGCAAGCGGGCGGTCAGAGCTGTCTCGAGGCCTCGCGAACCTTGGCGCCCAGCCGGAGGGCTGCGTGGAGGCTGCTTGGGGTCGCTTTGCGGCGCTTCAGCTTCATCTTCACTCTATCTGCCCCCAGCTACGCGAGGTAGATTGCTTTGTCTTATTCCCAGCGACATGCGCCGCATCGTGTTGAGAGACGCGGTGTCGCCGTGAAATGGCCATCACACCACCTCGTTGCGGCGACGTCGGCGCTTTCTTTTGTGCTCTGATTGTGGTTGACTTGGGATTGTTCAAAGCAGGGAGGTGAGTCAAGGCCAGCGACAGAGCAGCCCGATAATGGCCAGCCAGGGCACGAATAGACCGTGGTGTCGCCGGTCACCGCCTCGCCTCGCCACATGCTGTTTTCTGCATTCCAGTCCACAATGTGAAGAAGACTCGCCAAACAGGTGGGGAAATGAGGGCAGCCTGCAGTGCAGAACAATCGATGCACCGCAGACATGGGAGGCAAGGTCCAGGAAGAGAAACGTGGAGAAGGAGCGAGTGCGCGGTGCACCTGCCCTGCCTGCACCTGCACTCTGGACTGGACGGTGGGCCACGGGGTTTAGCCTCGCTTTTAGGGGTCCTTCCTGGATCTGGCGCCGGCATCACAAATGCAACATCAACTGCTGCCAGTCAACCTCTTCTCTCGCTGGCATGTGCCCAACCATCATCCCACGCCTTTACGACTGCAGTATCTGTACCTTGGAGTACGCTACTTGGCTATGCTACGGCAGCTGGACTGCACCACCCCAGACGACGCTACTTCCTGGAGTCTTGGACATCCATTTCGGAGCCGCCATCGAGTCACCTGCCCGTCTGCCAGTCAGTCGCACCTATCCACTGGACAAGCGTCTTTGCGATATTCCCTCCCCAAACCTGGTCATAATACCCCACGGAACCCGCCCGAGGCGCAGCGCCAACGACGCATCCAACGCTCGAGAGCACAGACACAAGCACAGAACACGGCAGAAATCCCCACCAGCCGACAGTCTCTACTGCTACTCTGGGCATCAATCCCGTATCTCTCTCCAGGTTGCCCAAGAAAAGGCAAGGGTTCAATCTGACCAGGCTCGACATTCTCAAGACACGCTTGACTCGGTGGCCGGCCAATCCTGACCTCGTCGGCCTCCTTTCTTCCTCTCGTCCCATGTCTTCTCCGCGGTCGTTCTCCAATCTCCCAGCCCCAAGCCTGGCATAACATTCAGCTCGCCGCACCCGCTTGGTTTTGCCATAAAGCCAAAGGTCCATCCTTGATCTCATGGTCGCCTGCTCCTACTTGAGACGCTAATTCCAGCCATCACTTAATCACAATCAAACGGCGCGCTGGCCATCTGACGCCATCGCTCTGCACGGCCCAAGAATAACACCATCGCTGTTGCAATCTGTCACCCCCGCCATCCAGGTCCCGTTGCTTGCGGTTAGGTTCATCTACCTTACTGCCTACTCCAGGCCCTGGTCAGTACTTCCATCACCTTGTCGGCGTCCACCGCTATTTTCATCCACGGCCTGCCTCGCTGCAACCTTACCTCAACACCATTTTATCTTCACCTCGCCGCGCTTGTGCGTCTGCTTTTTTCGCAATCCTCAACACTTCTCGAGTCCGTCGAGTCCGACCGTCCAGCCTCCTGTCATCTCCGCGGAGCCATCCAGAAATCCCATCTCCTGTTTGGTGCGGCTTTGAAAATTGCCATCTTCCGCGTCCGTGTGTTCCTGCAACCTTATCTTATCTTCCCGTGCACGTCTGAGCCGGAAGCCATGAACCGAACTTGACATCACAGCCCTACCACTTTTTGTATATCCAGCTCGCCTGTCCTCCTCTCCTACGGCCTTCCATCTTCTTCTCAAACCCATCTCTGCCACCACAGACTCACCCTAGCTTGGCCGCCTACAGACCTGACTACCGTCGCGCCTTGGCAACTTTACACATTCAGCCCAAATACGTTCACACCGCGCCAACATGGCCGGCATTCTAACATGGAAGAGCCGCTTCGGCGGGGTCTTCGGAAACAAGCCCGGTCAAACAGATGGATCTGAGGGCTCCGACGACGAGCAAGTCAACATTCCCAAATGGAGCATGGGAGTTCTCAACGACCCCAGAACCATTGAAGTCCCTGGTGAGTCAGTCCCCTTGTTCTTTGATATGAGCCACAGCTGACCATCTCAGGCTCCGTGCTTTTACTAGCCGCTCACCGAAATGAGCCCCTGGGCTTGCGCAACGCGCCCGCGAGGACGTCTCACTCGTCTATCCCCACGGGATTCCCGGAGCCGCCTGAGACGCCCACCGGGCGTCGATCATCCGCGTACTCGGCCCCACCTGCACCAGCACCGGAACCGTCAAAGAAGACGACCAAGGACGGCATCATCCTCAACCCCCAGCCCGAGGAATCGGCCAACGACCCCTTGAACTGGCCCGCGTGGCGACGTGACTGTGCTTTGCTATCTCTTGGCTTCTACTGCATGGTTGGCGGAGGCATGACGCCCATCCTTGCTGCTGGCTTCACCAACGTTGCTGAAGACTACCACATCGAGACCGAAACCGTGTCTTTGACCACAGGTCTGTACATGATGGGCATGGGCCTCGGGTCGGTCATCTTCTCGCCGACAGCCATTCTTTACGGAAAGAGGCCTGTCTACCTCTTCAGCTCCATCATCTTCATTGCTAGCTCCGTATGGGCTGCTTTGTCCCCCAACTTCGCCTCTCTTATCCTTGCTAGAATCTTCCAAGGAGTCGCAGTCAGCCCGGTCGAGTGTCTTCCCTCGGCAACAATCGCCGAGATCTTCTTCCTACACGAGCGTGCCTTCCGCATCGGCATCTACACCCTGCTGCTACTGGGTGGCAAGAACCTGATTCCTCTTGTCAGTGCCGTCATTATCCAGGGCCTGAGCTGGCGATGGGTGTTCTGGTAAGTCTCACACCTCCCTTTTTCGTACCATTGGCTCACCAAACCCAGGATCGTCGCCATGGTCGTCGCCCTTTGCGGTGTTCTCCTCTTCCTGTTCGTCCCCGAGACCTTCTGGGACAGAACTCCTGTCCCCAAGTCAAGGAAGCCGTCAAGGAGACCAAGCTTCCGACATCGTCTCTCCTCCCGCAACGATGTTCCTCAAGTTGCCAAGACCCCGACTGCCGCAGGACCGACTAGCCCCGCGCCTCTATCTCCGTCTCACCCGCACAAGGACCTCCACGTCGGCTTCGCCCCCGACCCGAGCACGGAGCGCAAGGCCGACCCCGAAAAGCACCCCGAGTCCACTGACGCTCCAGCTCCCGAGCCACGTACCTCCGGCACCTCGACTTCCCCCGCGAACTCTGATTTCTTTGCCAAAGCCCCAGCCTTGGAAGCCGAAAAGCTTCCCTCGTCAAACCTCAATTCGCCCCCGAAGGCGCTTGCCTACACCCACACCCTCCGCCACCAGCCTGCCCGCTCCTTTGGCGAGCAGCTCAAACCCTGGAACGGCCGGCTCAATCACGATAAGTGGTTCAAGGTCATGCTCCGCCCCTTTGTCCTCTTTGCCTATCCCGCAGTTCTCTGGTCCGCTGCCGTCTACTCCCTCTCCGTCGGCTGGCTCATTGTGGTGTCCGAGTCCGTCGCTCTCATCTACCGTAACCGCGCGTCCTACAACTTCGACGCCCTCCAGACGGGTCTGGTTTACCTCTCCCCCTTCATCGGCGGCGTTCTCGGCACCGCCGTCGCGGGCAAGGTTTCCGACATTATCGTCAAGGCGATGGCACGCCGCAACGGTGGCCTCTACGAGCCCGAGTTCCGTCTCGTCATGGCGATCCCCGTCCTCTTTACCACTGTCATCGGTCTGATGGGCTTCGGCTGGTCCGCGGAGGAGCGCGACCACTGGATCGTACCCACCGTCTTCTTCGGCCTCATTTCCTTCGGGTGCACCCTCGGCTCGACGACTAGCATCACCTTCTGCGTCGACAGCTACCGCCAGTACGCCGGCGAGGCCCTTGTCACGCTCAACTTTAGCAAGAACATCTTCCACGGGCTGGTCTTCAGCCTGTTTGTCACGCACTGGATCACCGCCGAAGGGACCAAGAGCGTCTTCATCTGGCTCGGCGTGATCCAGCTTATCTTCTTGCTGGCTACGATTCCCATGTTCTTGTACGGCAAACGCGCGCGCATGTGGACTGTGCGCAAGAACTTCATGGAGAAGTTTTAGAGATACTTTGCATGAATCATACTAGCATATTTGGTTCCATCATGTAGGGATTTACATTTATCTGGGCATTTGGAGCGTTTAAATTTGGAGGATCCACATCATTGGGTACATATTTTCTCGTCCGTCGTTTTAGGGAGTCAAATGGGTTCGGAGCCGGCTGTCGCCTGGGCACCGCCGGTTATGTCGTCATGATACCTCTTTTCTTTTTGGAGTATTCCGTTTGCATATTGGTAGATCATGTAGACTACAGGACAGGCATATCGCAAACATGACATTTACGATCTTTTCATCTCATCTTGACCCAAGAGAATGCACGTCTTTATGAAAACGGTTTGCCAGGGAGGTGGACGGATGTATCTAGCTTGCCGGTCGGGGTGGCATGCCGGCTTTGCCGTGCTGATCTCTGTTGTCGACCGATCCTCGGGTTATGCACCCAAGCGCTCTCGCACTCGTATCATTCTCGCTGGCCAAGATATCCACGTTGTGAGCGGCCGGGCTCCGATTCTCCGTCGCAGAAGTCTCAGCGCAACTACCCTCTCTCAGTCTCAAACCTCAGCAGCAGGCGAGGCGTCGAAAAAAGCCAGCGGCGGTCTCGCTAGTCGTCGCCTAGACGATGCAATCTGTTGAACGTCATGCCGTGGTGTCGGGCGTAGTATCTCGCGAGGATGCTGGAGGGCAGACAGTCTTCAGACGCTGATCATCTCGACCGTCGCTGCTGTGTTTCAGAGATGCAACGATGGTTCATGCTGTTGCCCTCGTCGAGTCGCGCCGACGGGGTTATGTGTACCTACGTTCTGCAACTTCGTGGAGGCTTGGGTTCCATGGTCAAAGGCGTCAGTTAGGCGGTTGAAATGAAGGAAGTTCGAGAGGATAAAGAACAGATGATTGAAGACTAACTAGGTACCTTAGTGAAAGGGGGAAAAGCAAAAAAAAAAAAGGGTTCTGCTAAATAACAAAAGGCAGGGTTGAACCCATAACCATATTATAACCCCAGCGGACGGAAGAGCCAAGGACTTCAGGGCGCAAGCACATTGGCCAGACCTGACCAACTGAGGCATCAACTCCTCCATCCGCTGTTGAGGACGGAGGGAAGGAACGGGGGTTAAGGAGGTTGAGGGTTGAGGGGTGAATACGTATTGAGGTGAGGTGAAGTTGGCGGCGGGTTGGAGTGGGGCCGCGCAAGCTTGGAGACGCTTTCACCTCCATGCGTACCTAGGTGCTGGCAAGCAATAGACGGCGTATTTTATACACGTATATCATGTTGGTAAGGGAAGGAGAACCTTAGAGGGGGGAAAGGATTCGGTATGACCTGTGCAGCGTTGACAACGGCTCCATGAAGCAACTCTCGTTACCCGCCACGTAACTGGCATCTCATAAACTTCTTGGCGATGACTAGATACACAACGACATTCATGATATTTTCCCAAATGGCTATGACTTCGACTTTGTGATCTAGAAGGTAGATACCACTAGACCCCTTTCTTTAACATCGTCTGCCTTGGAGAACAACTCATTTCTCGAGATGCGATCTAATCAAGCAGGTACAGTGCAGAGCAAATGAATGGTCATTTTAAAAGAGCTATGGTAGTCGCAGAATGGCGACTTCTATGCGCGAGGAACACAAAGAAGGAAATATCGAACGATCCTGTCGCGACAATGCATTCTTTCACATTCAAGGGAAACTCATAAAATGTGAGAAGCCCGGAACCACAAGACCGAAGATGACAAACCAAGATTTCCATTGCATTCGGAGATACCTTGACTGAGATACAAGATGTTCGCTTACGTGATGTTGAAGACCGGCGAGACGACGCAAGGTAAGCACGAAATCGCGAATGTAAGCCGGACAGGGGTTGTATGCGGCACAGCACCGCTAAAGATGTCCTCAGAAGGGCGCCAAGCGGTGGTTTATAAAGCCACCATATCGGAATATCTATACCTTAGAACTTCATAAGCTCGTCGATTTCAAAGCCAGGTGACTTGACCGGCCGACCCTGTTGAACATCCCAAGCCCCTCGCAGAACACATAAACATCAAGAACAATGACCTCCCCCCTCCCTCCAAACGCCCGCCTCGTCAACATCGGCACCCACTCCCTAGCCCTCTACGCCCACGGCCCCGAACCCAGCACTCCCACCTCCCCCGTCGTGCTCTTCGTCTCCGGTGTGGCCAGCGACGCCCTCAACTGGCAAGCCGTCGTCCGCCTCCTCCCCTCCTCGCTGCGGAGCTACACATACGACCGCTCCGGCCACCGCAACTCAGACCCCTCCCCGCTCCCCCCCACAGCCGAGAACATCGCGCTCGAGCTCGCCCTGCTAATCGAGCGCGCCCCCATCACCAACCCGCTCATCCTCGTGGGACACTCCTGGGCGGGCGTGCTCACGCACGAGTACTTCGCCCTCAAAGGGGTGAGCCAGGTCGCGGGCTTGGTGCTCGTGGACGCGAACCACGAGACGGCGCCGCTGGTCCTGGACGTCAACGACCCTGTGCTGTGGAAGGTCGCTGCCGGGGTGGATGTGTATGCCGCCTGGGGGCTGGAGGCGACGCACAAGTTGACGCGCGAGGAGTGGGACGCGTTCCGCGCGGCGGGGGCGACGGAGAAGCATAAGCTGATTGCGCAGCGGGAGGAGTCTGAGTACGCGGCGAGTTTCGAGGCGCTGCGGAGGAAGGGCCTGGCGGGCAGGCAGCCGATTCTTGGGGACCGGCCGGTGTATGTGGTTGTGGGGACGCGGAGCCGGGATTGGAGCGGGTTGTATGCGGCGGGGGTGGCGAGGGGCAACGGGACGGAGGAGGAGAGGGGATATGTGAGGGGGTTGATTGAGACGGTGGATGAGAAGTGCGAGGGGCTGATGAGGGAGTTTCTGAAGGTTTCGCGGAGGAGCGAGATTGTGTTTGCGAGGGAGAGTGGGCATTTTGTGCAGATGACGCAGCCGGATGTTGTTGTTGATGGGGTGAGGTGGGTATTGGAGAATCAGCCGGCGTCTTCTTAGAAGTGGCGAGCCTGGTATGAGTGGTTGGCGTTTGAGTATATTTGAGCAAGTGAAAGTAAAAGAAGGGACGGCCTGATTTTCCTGTGCTAGAGTGACTACCTTTCCTGTGGCTACCTTATCTTACTGTCGTCGCCGTTACTGCTATCGTCGCTACTATCGTGACTATTTTTGTTTCTATTGTTGTTACTATTATCATCCTCTGTTGTTGTCGTCTAACTTCATCGTTCAAATTATCCTTATCAAAGTTACTAAGTACACCGGAAATGTAGCCACCAAGACATAGGAAAATTAGGCGATCTCTAAAAGAAAGCTGCCAACCTCAGATATAAAGCGGCAAGAAAAACTAGATCTTGTGACGGCCACCGCTTTCGCAATTTAATAATTATGTTTTCAACCGGCAACTCTATCACGTAAGAACACGCACGCGGAAATACACACACAACCATGAAAACCGTCCGATATCCTGCTTGGAAGCTAACAAGTCGTGTGTTCTCTGTCTCCAGATCGAAGACTCGCACCTTGGACAGAGACGAGCTGCAGGAACCTTTAGCCGAAGAAATTACATAAGCGACGAGTTGACCGGTGGAATGATCTTGGCTCGTACGTCAATATGTGCGTGCTGTAGGCCGTACTCTTATCTCGCGCGTAGCCGAGGTTGCATTGACTGAGTCGTGGCGTGACTCGTGAGCTCGGCGTGCGGCACGAAGGTGGGCTTATCACGCTTGAGTTGCTCGGCACTGTTTGCCCAGACAATGGAGAGGGTCTAGAGGCATCTGTTGATATAGTGCTGCCGACCTCAATTAACCCAAATCAGTGCGCCTGGTGCCAAGACACAAGTCAGGTGCAGGCTGGGGCTTGACGCTGGCAGTCATGTTAGACACTTCCTGTGGACTTGGTGCTCACACCACGCTTTGTCGTGCGTGGTCAATCGCGCATTACAGAATCGTATCGCAGTAGTTCCTACAGTTGCTGGAGCTTGCAGTCCAGTATCTAAAAGTTTTGACAAGACAATGCTCCGATGAGACTACTTGACTCATGCCATGTCAACAATGGGAAAGCTCGTCTCTTCGCCTTCATATTTGAGGAATAATTTAACCATAGTCACGAATGAGTTCCAAGAGATCTGACTTGAATTAAATTGAGATAAAGGCCGTCTAAAATTCCAAGAGACTGCATATATGCACCCATGCCACGCTAGAAAGTCGAAGTTGCAGAACCTACTGCCTAGCGTGACAGTAATTAGTGTTGACCGTCAGATTATTCCCATTGGCATCCTGGGCACCCCCTGGTACGAAAGTGGTGATGCCTCCGTTGACATAATTGTAGACGAAGCTTGCAGACGCGTTGCCCCATGTTCCTCTCGCATTCAACTTGAACGAGACCTGGCTGGCTTGCTGAGTGACGTCGTCGATGGTGACGCCCATGCCCTCCACTTCTGTGAACAGTTTGATGTCGGTGTTGAACATGCTAAGAAGCGTTCGGATGATGAGGTCCCTCGAGTCGGAAAGCGTGATGATCCACACCACCTGGAGTGTGTCGAACCAGCCACGCTTCGCGATCGCTGCAGTAGCCTCGGGAGTGTCTCGTGGGATAGCAAGGCCGCAGCCCTTTTCTTGAACAATCCTGTGGAGGGTTTCGTTAGCAAGGTGATGGACTTGGGGCAATGGCTGGAAGGATACTACATACGATCCATCGGGCGCGGAGTACTGTAGCACGTTTGGCGTATTTGCGATGCACTGGTTCTGCGAAGGTGCGGGCGCAGCAAGCGCAACGCAGAAGATGGGGATGAGGAAGAAGTTGAAAACTTTCATATTGGTGAAGTCAACTACACAGCTGAAACAGAAAAGACCGTGGGGAGAAGCATCAACCGACAGCCCTCTAAGTGAATGACCAGAGGCGAACCTCCCGCGATATATGTACATGTATCAACGAGCAATAAGACTGTTGTCGTAAAGACGGGAAATTGCGCACGTGCGCACGATTAATGAACTCAGGAGATTTCTTTTTCTTAACGGGAACGAACGCGAAAAAACTTTATTTGCCCGCTGATCGTCGTACTGATACCCCGCGGAATCCGGACAGCCTTATGACTAGACAAATTAATAGTTTATTCAATGAGAATGAGAAGTGTAACGTGATAGAGAAACAACATTAAAGATAAATGATGACAAGAAAAGGGGGGCAGTGCTCTCGTGGAGGTATTTAATAAGGTTTGCTATTCTGGGTACAGTCAAATGTTAATCGTTCATGCACTCGGACTTGACCTATCGGCGTTGCCGGGATCACCGCTGCATCAGCAATCGTGCAGTTCGCATGGACCGAAGATATAAGTCAAAGATAACCGCATTCATACCATAAGGTCGTGTTTGACGAATCCAACTTGCTCCGATTTTGTTCGACTAGTCACTTTCGCTCCACGCTCCAAGCTGCAACAGCTGCCCACGTTCGTTTCAACATGCGTTTACAATTTTTTGCCGCGTTAATAACGCTTCTGTACGCTCTCCGCATTGCGATTCAGTGACTTTGCTGACAACAACCAGTTCTGGCGTTCTGGCAGACTCACATGACTACTGTGCCTGCCAGCAGTGGTCCAATGGTCCAGTTGACCATGTAGCAACGGCCAAGGTCGCCGCGAGAGCCTGCTTTGGCTACGTTTGGGGTGAGCCGTTTCGCGAGCCTTTCGTTGCAACTCGATAACTGACAACATGATAAGCTCCATATGAGCACCTGGCCGATTCGCAGACAACCTGGAACGCCAACAGCCCAGGACCTCGATTTGAGGGCCGATATGTAAGCTCAGCTCTTGAACCCCTGATTTCAGCCGGTCTAACAGCATCCTTAGCTACAAAATATGATCAAGAGGTGGAGGATCGATGGAGACGACTTCTACAACCGCTGTCGCGAGGCGGGAGCGGGAGACAGTACATGTTTTGGCTGCTCGGATCTCCAGGTAAATAGCGACGGAAGAGTGCAGTGCAACGAAAAATAGAGTCGTGTACAATGAATTTCAAAGCCCGAAAGCGATCAAGCAGGCGTTGCGTATATTTAGTGCTCAGCAGAGCAAAATAATTTGACACCTCAGAAGGTTGAAAACTGAATGATGATGAACTCTGATGTTTCGGCGAATGTCTTTGACTATCCAACTGAGTAGTATTAAGATAAGGCGAAGGGACGATAGGGACGATAGGGACGACAGGGACGACAGGGACGACGACGACACGGATGAGAGTACACATAGTTCAAAGACCAAGTTTGGCAAAGTACATACGAACTTGTCGGCCAAGAGCAGCTTTCATATCCTATTTCCTTTCCTGAACTGAGAGACCTCTACCTAGAGAATTTCACTAAAAACAAGATCCCAGTCTGGAGCCCATTGGAGAGCGTTGAGGTCGTCGACAAGCATGTTGTCAATAAGCAATGCGCCATCTTCAACACCAAGGCCGCTGTTCTCTAGTGTAACAGCGTTCCATGACAGATTCTTGTCCGAAAAGATCAAACCCTCAATCTCGTCCTCTATCAACGCAGCTTCATGAACAGACAGTTGATTTGCCCACGTGAAGGCAGATGAAACCTTTTGTACAAGTGGCCTCAGCTTGTCAGCACATCTCGTCGCTTCGCCCCACCGTTGCCCGATGTTGGATAGGACTTGCAGACACTGAGGAAGTAGCGTTTGCACCATGTGTTCCGCCTGATCCCTGAACGGTTGGTACTCTCGCGAAGACCATGATGCGTGTAGCGCTATCATGGCGGTTTCAAACAAGATATGTACGCCGTGCCAGGGATAGAACAGCCGCCCGCGGCGCTCTTGACTCACATAGTCCTCGATGAGTCTCTGTGTAACGTAATTATGATTAGCAGAAGTGATCTGAATTGTGATGAAGCGAGAGGTCAATAGAGCTTACCTCACAGGACTCTAGCACTATTCCCCAATCTTCAGGGAGTCTCGTTCTTAGCCTAGGTGTCGGCCGGTGAATCCGGGCCTTCAGATGGTTGAACTGCACATGCTTGAATTCAAGCATATTGTATTGCGTGTATGTTTGGGCATTAGCATACCAGGTCTCTAGCCGGCTGCTAATATCCAACATCCAGTCCCCTATGGTCGTTCCATTGAGCGCGGGGATGTCTTCTTGAAGATAAAGGACTCGATGCACCTCTGTTTCCAACGCACGATACCGATACAAATGGTTCGCGGAGGACTTCTTAATCATATCGTCCACTTTAAAATAAGCACTCGCTTCATCGGACGATGGAGCTCTCAACTATAACCGGTCAGGCACATGACATTGCAAGGATAAGGGCCATTGAGCAGGCCAGCCTACTTTGGTGGTAATGATTTCCTCAGGGAAGGAAAGTGGAAGCCTGAGATTAGTGCATAGAGATCTTTCCATTCCATAAGTGACCCAGAAAAGTTCGGATCGTAACCGCGCTTGTCCAGCATCGATTTCCTCGGAAAACTCCCGATGAAGGCCCAAACCCAAGACGATCCTGACAGCATTTGCGATACAGGTCCAGTTGTCAAGTCTCTCTGGACACATACTAGAATAGTGAGATAAGAGTAGTGAGATCTGAAGAGCTTGGATTTGGCGGCATTCTCCGATAGCTTGCAGATGTTTCAAGGCCGATTTGTAGAAAGACTCAGAGGCGGAGCGAGCTTGTTGCTCGTCCTTTGAGGTCATGGTGAGTGCCGAGATTGCTAGAACAATGGACAGGACGAAACTCTCAAAGGCATCCAAGGTCTCGGAGAGACTAGAGGTTCCATGAGTCAAGGGAGAGCCTGTGGCCTGGCCTGCTTCATCTTTTGCGCGCTCGACAATGTTTTCTAGCAGTGCCTCCGGAATACAAGGGTATTGTGGAAGGTGAGTGTTGGCATAGTTACGCAACATACGGTCGAGGGCCCAGTTTGGAATGTTTTTGAGGTTGATCAAATTGCTCGTGTAGGGGTTTGCCGGATGGATTGTACCCTCCCTGTTGGCCGGAGACTCATGGGTCTCGGTCCTTTGATCTGATCCTAGCTCTGGATCGGGGCCACGGGCGTTGGCCGAGATGGCTAACGGAGGGCATGAGGGGCGCATAAATAAATTTGGCGAAATCTTGGACAGAGGATATGAGCCAGTGATGGGCGTGCCGAAGGATATGGTTGCTTGAGCGATTTTCGAAGCCATCAATGAGGGGTATTGTTGATGCCCTGCGCGAGAAGCAAGCACTTGTGCCTCGAGCTCGGCCACAAGAGCCTCAAGAGACTTGACTAGGCTAAAGCAGAGGTCAACAAGCGCTGATTGAAAGTCGAGAAGGACTATTGCTCAAGGCCGCGGGCCCTACTTACCTTCTCGGGACAGGCTTCCGTGTTGCGGGATCGAAGCCCAGACATGGTGCGCCTGCTAATTTGCACGAGGTGCATTCCGGAAACTTGAAATCACACTAAAATTTAAGAAGAAAGTCAGAAGTGCTGTCCAAAACCCATCATTCTTGCTGCTTGTAGAGCCCAGTTGTTGTGGACACTGACCTTGGTTTTGCGTTGCCTGCACCGTGTGCAAACCTTCGTGGAACGACGGTGCGACTTCTGCATCTTCAGAGGTGCAAATTCAGCTGCATACAGGTAAAGCTCTTTTAAGATCGGGGAGCGCAACCGTGTAGATAATCTAGGTTCTTGCTCATAGATATGGGGAGCAATACGGGTCGCGTGTAGGAGCGAGATCAAGCTACCAAAATTCGAGTTGACCTCTTGTTGCGGGTGGTAAGCTATAGTAAACTAGCAACTTTGCAACAATCGCGGCAGAGAAATTGAGTTATCGAAAATTTGCTGGTCGGGGCTGTGCTGTCCGAAGCAAGCCCGGACAGATAAGGGACTGACTCCATAGAGATAGCAAGGATGACCGGTTGTTAGATAAAGGCTTCGGTTATAGCGATGCGGAGTAGGCCCTCGATATCGCAGTACCCATCCCATCAGTGACCATAGTGAAGGTATTCATTGGACACACAGTATCCTCTGACACTAGTTCATGTTGTAATAATCGGCAGCCCTTGCCATCATGCTCCAGACGTGCAATCGGTGTCGAAATCGAAGAATCAAGGTCTGTCTCCTCCCCCGGCAGCGCGTCACCATGCCTCGTCGGCACTCACCGTCTAATTAGAGTGGTTAACAAGTGTCAGTTTAGTGTGACTCTCGCCTACCAGCATGTGCTAATTGCTCAAGAAGCGATCTGGATTGCACGTTTCGAGATGATGCTCTTCAGCAAGATATCCCCAGAAGGTTTGCAGATCCATTTGCCTCAGCAGACGAGCTACGCTAAGGGCTGATTATCTTGTAGTTATATCCAAAGTTTGAATGAGAAGATCGAGAATTTGCAATCCCAACTGGCTTTGAACCGGCCTGAAAGCTTACATCAGTAGGTTGCCTCTCCAAAACTAATATCCTTCAATTGGGAGAAAAGCAACTCTTCAGTGCATCGAATAGCTACTAACGAGTTCTACAACAGAAACCCATCAGATAACGGCTCACAATCATTTCACATTTTGATACCCGCAAGGCCAGGGTCCGACATTCACCTCGACAACTCAGTTCCGTCACGCTTCGCCCGCGTCGTCTTCGAAGCGTTGCCGATGGCCGAAGCCTCGCCTAACATCGACGACATCTTTACCGAGACTGATGGCTCCTTATCGCCAAGCATTTCGTACAATGACAGGTCTCAGCTTACACCCAGCATATTGAGGTACCTTCTTGGACGCTACGAGCGCTGCATCACGCCTCAATATGCTGTATTCGTGCCTCAGCTTCTAAATCACGATGGTGCAAGTTTCAAGAAGCTGCCTGAGTCTTCGAAGTTCAAAGCCCTCATGGCATGTGGCATCGCTGCTGCTCGAGAATCTTATCGGAATCCCAGCTGGAAGCCTCTCGCGCAAACCTGTCGTGATTGGGCAAATGAATTGGTCACGCCAATAATCTCAGCCGGGAATAGTGATACTCTGACAGCTGTTCTCCTTCTTCTCATCTATGAGTTGGCCGAGCCGAGCAGGGGCGTCACCTGGGAACTACTCGACCTCGCTGCGCGCACATGCCTGCAGCTCGGCTGGCACCAAGCTCCTCTAGTTCCAATTGCGGGGCGAGCTGGACAGGATGGTGGCCAAGACAACATGAGTAGAGCCCACACTTGCGGCCCCGATGAGATCCGTCTAATGTCAGTTCTACGGAAGATCGAAGGGTGAGAAGAATGAGGCGTTCCGCAAGTGGTTGTGCTGCTGGCTAATAGTCCCAGGTCATTACAAACCATTTTTAGCAGACCCAGTATGCTGGGTGGTTCCAAATTACCTACTACGTCCGAGAGCGAGACTCTGTACAATCTGTATGCCCGGATCTCTGACCAGCTTTACGGCCGAGGTGGTGTGTACGAAGCTCAAGGATGTCCATTCGTTGGCGAGGTGGAAACACTAATGCATCTTCTCGACACCTTTCATACACAACACCCGGCCGCCAAAGAGACCTGGATTTCTTTCCTCCCGATCTGCTTTACTCATAAGCAGTGCCTGTTCTGTTTTCAAGAAGCTGATGAGGACAACGCCAAAGGCATGAAGACTCTGAGGCGTAAAGTTGTGAGCCAGGCATCCGAACTGATTTCCACCGTTCACGCCTGCGCCTCGTCGCCGCATGATTTCATCCCGCCAATCATAGCCAGCTCCAGAGCCTTCATCGCAGGATGTTCTATTGCGACGGGCATCTCAAAGAAGTGGACGCTCGCACAGTCGCACGCAAAAGATTTGATAAGATGCACCGAGATTCTTGCTCTCTTTGCGCCACACTGGAAAGGTGGTGATGACTATCTAAGCGTTTGGAGAACTATTATCAACGTGCTTGAATTGGAGTAGCAATTACAATCAGACAAGTTAGGCAAACACAACTATTCGAAACGTGAACCCTTTAGCCCCATGCCTAAGACTCGTCAAGTCACTTTTGCAGCTTGGTGGAGGAAGTCAAAGAGTTAATGCCCTGATTTCTTTCCTTATCCGCAATCACGCAATCCCTAACTTGAGAAAAGAATCGGTTGTATTGCCAATGCATTCTCGGAGTGATCGAAACTCGATTCCCAGCAGTTGGCGGGCCCTCGAGTTATCATAGCCGTATACATCTTCGGGGAAGTCATCAATCGGATTCTTAGGTAACTTGGGTGCAAGTCCCGGATGCGTGTCCCGGATAGCGTCGACAATTCGTTTGTTTGAATAATGCCCTGCGGTGATAAAAAAGCGTTTGCCTGCCGCCTCCGGAACCTCCATGGCCCTCACATGTGCCAGCCCAAGATCTCGGACGTCAGTAAATAAGAACGTGCCGGTTGGGGGGAGCTTGTCGTTTTCGATCTTTCCTTGGATGAAATCGCGAATCCTTTGGTTAGACGTATTGAGGCTATCGGAGTTCTCAAGATGATGAATGACTGGGCCATACACCATTGGCGGGTTCATTGTCACCAAGTCAAAGTTGGGATTCTCCTCTTCGACAAACTTCCATGCCGCTTCTTCTGCGAGTTTCTGTGGTTAAAATTTGTCAACTAACACCATCATATGTTTACGGTAGTTTCTGTCCGCACCTTGCTGCCTCGATACGCCAGGGAGCGTTCAGCCACGGCCTCATCCCAAGTTATAGGATTCCATGAATTTTCGTCGTATACTGAAGGTGGTGACGCACTGTTGACGATGGCTGCAAACGACGAGGTTATTATGACGCGCTTTACCTGGAGTGCGTGATTCTTGACTGCCCGAAGCAGCCCGATGGTCCCCTTGATAGCAGGATCGAGCAGGTCTGTCACGGGATCGTCAAAGTTCTCATGGAACGGCGACGCAGTGTGGATGACACAGTCAAATTGGGGATCGGATTGAACAGCCTGCACAGGTTCAGGGGAAAGTTAGCTTCCTGTTCTGATCCATTCCGCTTACACAACTGGTCGTCACAGGTCTCACATGGTCAAAAGCGCCTTCGCGGGCGATGTTGCTGACAATAACATATGACAATTTCTCTTTCGGGATGTTCTTGTACGCTGCAAGAATTTGCTCTCCCTTTTTCGTAGATCTGACGGTGGTGGTAACCGTGTGTCTACCGTGAACACAGAGATCAGCCTCTGTTTCACTCCGTACCTGGTAGTCACGAAATACCCGCGATCCAGCAGTGTTTTTAGAACATGTGCAGCAATGAAGCCACTCCCTCCTTTAAATAGTCAAAGGGTCAGAATGAGTAGTTTGGTGGTATCTTGTTTGAAAACTCACCTGTCAAGAGAACTCTACTCATTCTGGGGATTTGCGATTTTCCGTCTTGTGCTCAACGGAAGGCAGGCAATGCAATTACGCACCTATCTTGCTGATTGATGGTGTAACAATCTAGTAGTAATTTGCCGTTAAATAACGATCTTTCTGGGAAGTAAACCGCCCAGTCATGAATCGTCGCACTACGATCCCATTTGTGATCGTAATGAACTCACGGAGAATGTATCAAGCCGCTTCCCTTTCCCCAGTTGGCATCTTTACCATAGCCGAGATCTCTTCGGTGTTCCCCGTGTGTCTTGTCACTTTCCTCGTTATTCTCCGATTACCCCTGGATGCCGAATCCTCAGGGGGGCAGTTGCGGGGCAGACTTCGGCGGTCGGCGGCCGGCAAGTCTGATGCGACGCGATAAGCCATCCGGTCCGTGGCTGCGGTAACTGGCCGGGGCTAACGCCTGTGATTAATTGAGTTGATGTTCTAAGTACGTCACATCTTTTAAATCAAGTAAATCGAGTGATTCGCCGCTACATCTGACTTTGATCCTTATCATCTTATGCTCTGTAAGCTTGCCGCGGTCCCCAAATCAAATCCCTGCCGCTGTCGCAGTTTCTCACTAACACGGCCCCAGAAAGGCACGTCGTCTTAACTACTAGGTGCAAACGGCTGGTTCTCTTATCGTTTATACCACCGCCGGAAAATTGTCCAGAGTCCTCGCCTTCCACTGTTTATAATGGCACCAGCAAACAAGCACGTCGTGTTCGATGTTGTTGGTACGTGACATACCTGGTCACGATGGCTACTACATCGATATAAATGGCTGCCATCACTAATATTCTGTAGGAACACTGATCTCCTACGAGGCCTTTTTCGAAGCTATCGAGGCTCGGCTTGGTGATCGCCTGAGAGCCAAACATGTGGGGCCCCGCCTGTTTGGATACGCATGGATGGAAGCGGGCGAGAAGGAATACACCTACATGACAATCTCCGGAGCAAAGTACGCGAAGTTCTTTGACATCTTCCGGTCCATCTTCTACAGAACTCTTTGGCAGGCGGGTATACAGGAGCCGCGTAAATTCGCGACGGACGAGGACCGCGAGTTCTTGCTGGCTTCGTACCGAGCACTCAGGACCCGAGAAGGCTTAAATCAATGCTTCTCAAAGCTCCGGAAGGCAGGATTTACCGTCTGGTGTCTAACAGCCGGTGACACCGAGCGCGTGGGCGGATATCTTGCCAAGGGCGGAGAGGATTTCCCCTCCGAAAACTTCGTCTCTTGCGATACCATTGGCGTGGGCAAGCCAGCGCCGGAGACCTACGAGTACATTCTCGACAAGTTACCCAAGGAAGAACGTGAGGTCTGGTTCGGCGCCGCACATATCTGGGATACAGCCGGTGCGCGGCAATGTGGGTAAGCTCACGATCACTTCCAGCACTCGGTAGAACGTAACAGGCTAACGCCCCATTCACTACTAGTTTCAAGGGTGCGTGGGTATCTGTGTGGGAGAAGGAGTCTTGCTCCGATTTATATGGAGAAATGGAGGTAGTCGCAGACGACCTTCCTGGGCTAGCAGAGGGCATTATTAATTACTATTCCAAGTAGAATTAAAGAAGAGACAATCTAATCCTTCCGTATATGACCAGCTAAATTTCCTATGTACTTAGTGACTTTAATGGGAGACGACGATGAGAGACGACGACGTCAACAGCAACGAAAATAGCGACGACAACGCTAATAACAATAGCTAGTACATAAGAAAGATAACCGCTATGTCACAGGAGAAATAGTGGTTCTGTTAAAGAATATCGATCTATTAAACTTATCTCTAGCTAGAAGGCGCAAGTATGTCAAAGAGCTCCCCTGATAAAACCCGCGTTGGTGTATGTTTTGACGTGAAAGGAGAGACTGTTTAAAAATAGAATATGCAAGACCTTCGTTATTGAACCGTTTGGTATCGACTTTGCCATAGATATTGTCAACAGGCTAGCTTCCATGGCGGAGAAAATTACTGATTTCAATATGATTGACTATATAAGTTATGCACTCTAAGATAGCGTGATTTAGTTTTGACTACAACTTGCCCCTCACATGCTGGGCACCGTGTTCGTCTATGATGGAGTTCTTCGTGTTTTCCAGACGCTCCTTAGTGGCCTGGAATAGGGAGGGTATACCTGTCTCTGCAAAGGACTTTCCGTGGCGCAACATTTGCACCACTCCCTTGGCTGACAGCAAAATCAGTGGCATGCCGTGGCCTGAAAACCCCCCAAGGATGAACTGGCCCGGTTTTGCAGGTACCTCGCCCACGTACGGCATGAAATCAGAGCTGAAACCCATGACTGGAGCGACTCGTATTAGCTTGACTGTGCCAATCGGTAGTGTTCATCGTCCCTGAAGTTTGACTTACTACCAGTCCAGACTTTGTCAGTATAAGCACCGCTGTTCTCCCACCCACGAAATGTCCTCTGCATCAACCCGTCAAAATAAGTCTTTGCTGGCTCAATGAGCTTGCTGTCGTCGAACACATTGTACCACTGGGACCGATCGGTCCAGAAGGTCGGCTTCGCGCCGCCGACAATAATACTACCATCGTTCCTAGGTATAAGGTAGTCGTACATTGACGGTCCGTGTCGGATGCTGTAGGTCTGCGACATGAAGGGTGCTGTTTTCCCTTGAGGCACAACAATGCGACTGCAGATGCCTCGTACGGGCACGATATGGTTCTTGAACTCAGGGGCCAAGTGTGAAGTGTATCCGTTGGTAGCCAACAAAACCTTCTTAGCCTTAATACTTCCTCGGGCCGTGGAAACCTCCCAGCGGCCGTCAAGAAGGGGATTTTCTGAGATATGAGTGACAGGAGTATGAGTCTGGAGGTTTGCCCCTTTCTGTACAACGCCCTTCAGAAAGTGCATTACCATCTTATACGGCCAAATGTGGCCCGCAGTGAACGTGAAACATGACAGGGCCCCTTTTACGCCCGAAACCTGAGGCTTCTGGTCAGCATTTCTCCATTTCCCAAACTCAACAATGTGCGGGTAGGGAGTCTTTACCATTTCAGCCCGCGCCCGAGGCGTGTAATGTACATCCTTGAGATTAGCCACTCCGGATTCGACCAGCTTCGCGAACGCCTCCTCAGTTGCGGTAGCGAGACCCTCATTCAAAGTGGCGTCGCAGGTCCTGGTCAGAGTGAAGTCGCAGTCGATCTTCTCCTTCTCTACGAGTTCTTTCACTGCAAAGACCTGTGAAGCCTCGAAGTTGGCGACCTCAACCGCGGCGTCCACGCCATATTTCTCGATGTACTTGGGTATATTGAAGTAAACATCAGGCTTCAGTTGACCGCCTAGAGGTGGAGTTAGATCTTTTGTTATCGGATATTGAGAGCATTTCCCAAGTGATTTCAAGTGAGAAAAGGAGGTAGGGGTAAACTTGCCATTACGCCCTGTGGCACCTGAGCACGCCTCTCGAGCCTCGAGAATCACAACAGATGGAGGGGAAGGGTTGTCTTCGTAGATGTAGTGGGCAAGAGCAGTGCCAGCAAACCCAGCACCGATGATCAAAACATCGCACTCGGCAGGAAGATGCTCGGTGCTGCGATGACTGTCCAACTCGTGGAGCTCTGTTCTCCAGAAAGGCTCGGTCGAGTTACCGACAGGGATAGCGTCTTGGTCCTCCATATCGGTTCTGACGATGTGCATCCTTGTATCAAATGGGCGATAAGAGGGCAACGATGATAGAGTAACACACCCCTTTATTATACTCTACTACTTATGATCAGATTACTTCCGCCGGAGGCATATTCGCGTTATCTCGATAGCCAGGAAACACACGCTCCGTTATCGTTAATACTGCATGGAAATACCACCCAAGCACATCTCCGCAGAAGAAATACCCACAGCTGCTCCACCCCCGCCTTGGGGGCGGGGACTTTCGGTGATACCCGCATCTTTCGTACTTACCCACGGGAAACACCGAACTGCTCGATTGACTGGGCGATACGGATAATCTCTCAGGAAGGGAAAGTATGCATCAGTCCACCGGGCGCAGTCTGACAACCAGTCCAGGCCTTCGGTTTATCGAGAGAGATACAGAGACTGATTTCTGACTTGACGAGAATCCTGGCAACGCGGCCTCCTCTTTATCTCTAGCGCTTGGCCAGTATCAACATTTCCGAGATAACGGGTCACCGGTGGGAGCCAACAGCCCGAAATGCTTTGACTCTGGGGTGGGGCTTCGCCGCATTTAACACTCCATCCATGCTCTGTGGAATGATAATTGCAGAACTACCCACTCGATCTTGAACCACTATAACAGTCAGCAATCCATCGCCGTTGTTCTCATACAAGTGGAACCCAATGGCTTCTGCAGGTGCTTTCCCGACGTCGATGACTCGACCTGAGTCAAAGGATGGCTCCAAGGACGACGAGAAGGACCTCGGAATCGAGCCAGTGACCACCACTGAAATGGGCCATTCGGAAGGTATGACGTTTTTGGCATCGTTTGGAAGTGTAGATCGACGCTGACTTGAACTAAAGAGTACACGGAGGAGGATTACAAGAAGTTGACGCGGAAGATTGACCGATATCTCATTCCAACCATGTAAGTTAGTCCTGCTTGATGTATCACCCGTATTCATGCTAACGCCAACTCCAGGTTCTTCATGTATGGCATCCAACAGACCGACAAGACGTCCATCAGTATTCAAGCGGTATATCTTCAGCTCTTGACTCCAATGGCTTAGCCATCTCGGCCTTACTAACGCAAGGAAGCTTTTTGGCATGAACACCGAACTAGGACTGCATGGGCAGCAGTACCAGTGGTTGACAACCATGTAAGAACACCACCTCTGCATCCGAGCTGGCTTCTCACACAAGTCATTAGCTTTTACATCACGTACCTCGTCGGCGAGTTTCCGTCCACCTGGCTGCTGCAGCGGTATAACCTCGGCCGTGTTCTGACCGCGTACATGGTCGGTTGGTGTAAGAAAGATTCACCCCCCGGAAGAGAAAGTTGCTGACAAGCTGCAAGCCATTTGCCTCCTCTGCATCAGCGCATGCAACAATTGGGCCCAACTGATGGCGCTCCGCGCCCTCCAGGGCTTCTTCGAATGCAACATCTCTCCTGGCTTTCTCCTAATTACTGGCGCATGGTATCGCACGTCTGAACACGCCCAGCGCTCCCTGTTCTGGCAATCTTCCCAAGGCTTCTTCACAATAACTTGTAACCTGATCTTGTACGGAATCGCCCGACACGCTGTGGCAAAGGGCGACATTGCAGCCTGGCGCACCATTTCTCTCTTCCTCGGCGGGCTCACACTCATCGGTTCCATTTTTTGCTATTTTATCCTTGGGATGCCCCAGAATGTTCCATGGCTGACCGAAGATGAGAAGAGAATGGCGTAGGTATTCTAATATCATCATGTCTTGTGCAACACTAACGAGCGGCAGAATCGCGCGAGTCAGCCAGAACCAAATTGGAGAGGAAACCGCCAACAAAGCATGGAATTGGGATCACGTCCGGGAGTGCTTCAAGGATCCCCAGGTGTATTTCGGCTTTTTCAATACTTTTCTAGCATGCATCCCCAACGGGTAGGTTGAATAGCTTCGCTGCATTTGACGAAGCTAACAATTCAACGTCGCAGGGGCATTACCACCTTCAGCTCTCTACTCTATGTCACCTTCGGTTTCGACACATGGCAATCTATGCTTTGGGGTTTGCCCCGTAATGGTATTATTCTCCCTATTCCTATTCACTCCCCCTTTTGTTCAGAGGATGGTTACTTGGGTAGGAGAAAAAAACGAAGTTGACTCGGAACCAGCTATTTACGTTGTTGTCTTCATCCTTGTCGCCTGGTACCTCCGGAAATTCCAGAATCAACGCATGTTCATCATGATCGTCTCATGTATCTTACCTTTTGTTGGTATGCTAGTGATGTCTCTGATGCCAAACACACCCGAGCACAAATGGCTCAAATGGGGCATGTTCGACATCACTGTGGTCTTCTCTCTATCACTGTTCCTCGGATGGAGTTTAAGTAGGTCTCCTCTCCCAAATAGTCGACTTATCTGACGCCAGTTCTATCTAGTCACCTCCAACATTGCAGGGACGACGAAAAGAACAGTCGTTTCGTCCATGACACTGATTGCATACTGTGGTGGGAATATGGTCGGTGCTCAGGTTTTCCAAACCAAAGATGCCCCTCGCTATGTCGGTGGCACAATCGCGTGCTCTGCCTGCTTCGGTCTTCAAATCTTGGTCATCATCTGCTGGAGGCTTTGGTACATGAGAGAAAATAGGCGTCGAGACCGGGCTCTGGCTGAGAGTGACATCTCTGAGGAAGAACAAAAGCGGCTCGGCAGTGAGCTGGGAAAGCGGGATACGACAGATTTGAAGAATCCTTACTTCAGGTACGCTATGTGATGGGAGGAAGAGAAGGAGTTGTCGTTACAGTACAATGCGAAACCTAGGTCAGGATAATGCTGTTGTTCTTTTTCCTTTTCTTTTTGCATCCTTACGGGGCAAGCAGCAAATCGCCTGCTTGATTGTATTCATGCTCAAATCTTAAACCACCTATTCGCTCACGAAGATGACCTAGTTGAAGGCTGCCACGTGATAACGTGCTATCTGATGGCCAGGTATCAATTGAAAGTTTAATCTGAGTTGGAAGTGACGCCTTTCAGGATAAGCAACCTTCCGCCTTCAACTCGAACCACCTTTCCGTCCATGAAAGCACCTGCCTTGCTCATTAGCCAAAGCGCGCACCCGACCATATCCTCTTCGTTTCCTGCCCGCTTGGCCGGAGTCTCGCCTGCTAAGCGCAGATTGGAAGTGCCGTCGTCGGGAGTCATTCCTGAGGGAATAATCCCAGGAGACATGGCGTTGATACGAACTACAGAGTCAGCGAGGCCTTTGATGCATGGTGAGGCAGCGGTGCTCAATGTCTTACTATAGAAGTTTGCGAACTCGGCCGCCATGATTCTGACAAGATGGTCCACTGCGGCCTTGGAGGTTTGATAGCAGGGAACAAATTGGTGGTTATGCACGCTGGCCGGACTGCTGAACAAGATGACGCAGCCCCGTCCATCTCCTTGTGCGGCTGCCGAGCCCAAGAGACTGATTAATCCGGCCGTTACATAATATGGTGCAAGGACATTCAAGCGAAAGGTATGTTCCCAGCCTTTGTACGGCGCTGATAATGTCGCGGCCTCGAGTTGGCCCAGACTGTCGCCTGGAGTGTACGTAATGTCGTTCATGTATCGAACAGCGGCGCAGTGAATCAATGCATCCAACGATGTTCGCATAGATCTGATTGAATCAACAACATCTTTGACCATGTCTTCGCTGGAAAGATCACCACGAATTCTGCCAGCAGGGTCAACGGGTGCTTAGGTTGGGGCACTAGTGAGTGGGACGAACATCACCACTTCGACATCTAAGTTTGAAGATGTAGTTAAACTCTCAAGTTCGGTCTTCGTATCTGCAAGCGCCTTCTCGTTTATGTCTATGAGAATGACGTTGGCCCCATTGACAACGCATCCTCGCGCCAGCATATGTCCAATGCCAGAGGCTGACGATGTCAGTCTAAGAACCGAATCTGCCTACACGTGTGAAAAGCATGAGAGGGTTCTCACCTCCACCAGTGATTGCAACCCATCGGCCGGCGACGTCAAATAGTTCACTGATACGTAGACTCGCCATGTTGGAGAACTGGAATGCTAGCGCCGTGCAGTGCCGTTCAACCTGGCAAAGGAGAATTTGAATGCGTCTATCAATTCAAGGCAATGTCTTCTTTATACCGGCTCGCCACAAAACTTTCCCAAAGTAAGAGCAAATGTCACCCTCTAGGATCACGAGACGTCTGCGTAATTCGGGGCTGACGAGTGCGACAATGAGCCTCGGAGATAGCCGACAAAGCTGGGATAAGCGACGCGATGCGCCGATCCAGAAGGTCTTGCCCAAGACCCGAATCACCCACCCTTGTCGATACGTACGTACAGTTGACAGGCTGTTCCACAGACGGTTCTAGGCGTGCTCGCTGGGACTTGACGTGACTAGACGCATATAACACTTATCGTCATCTTTCTTCACTGGGATTCGGACACCATGAGGCCTGAATGATACGCTCGTGCAATGTATCTTCCTTTTACGACTGGCATGCACACGACCGTGGCCTTCTTCGGCCTGGCAATCGTCAGCTTTTCGGCAGCTTTGTTGTTGTATCTCAAGTTCTTTTATGTGGACTTCCCCGAAGTCAAGGGCATTCCTGAGATCCCTGGCGGGAGCTTACTGACTGGCCATCTACCTCAGTTGGGCAACGACCATGCGACCACGGCAGCGTCATGGTCTGCCAAGTATGAATGGCCTGTTTTCCAATTTAGAATGGGACGCCGACGGGCTATCATGATCAATTCATTTGAGTCAGCCCGAGAATGGCTGGTTAAGAATCAGTCAGCCACCATCGACCGGCCATGGTTCTACACATTTCACGGAGTTATTTCAAAGACATCCGGTTAGTGAAGGTCTTGAACGTATGAGCGCAGCGAGCCCAGAAGAGATGCTGACTTTAGGTCGTCAAAGCGGCAACCATTGGCACATCTCCGTGGAATGAGAGGACCAAGAAGCAGAGGCGGGTTGTTGGCTCGTTCACGACTGGGCCAGCAATGAAGAAGATGCACGGAATGCTGCATATGGAGACATGCGCCGTCGTCTCCAGGATTTACTATGACAGCCTGAAGGGGGCAGTTGATATCATGCCTCATGTGTATCAGAAGCGTCTCTCTCTCAATCTTATGATGATGCTTTGCTACGGTACTCGATTCAATTCGGTTCAAGATCCAATGCTTCTCCAGATTCTCGAAGACGCGAAAACGATTGCAAGGTAAGACCTCGGTTGAAATAGAGCTCCGGAAGAACATGAGGGTTAATCCAGTACAGCTTCCGATCCACAAACTCCAACCCTCAGGACTTTATTCCTCACTTGAGGTACCTGGGCAGCAACCAGCGCACGGTCACTGCGACGGAAGTTCGAAACCGACGAGATAATTGGCTTGCAACTATGTTCAGTAATATTCAGAAACGCCCCAACAGACTACAACCTGGTGATAAGAAATGCGTGGCTGAAATGCTTCTTGAAGACAACCATGAGGGCCTTACAAAGCGTATGTACTATTCAACGAGTAAGGTTCTGGCGAACGACTCACGCTAACGTCAATAGTTGATATCAAAACAATCCTCGGCGGTCTGATGTCTGGCGGTTTCGAAACAATCTACTCGACCGTCATCGTCACCCTTGGGGCTCTGTCAACGCCCCGGGGACAGGAGATACAGAACAAGGCATACGCAGACATGATAGGTGCGTACGGCTCATATGAGAATGCATTTGAGCAATGCCTTCTCGAAGAGAAGAGCCACTACGTCTCCAGTTTGGTGAGGGAAGCCTTGCGGTTTTACCCGCCCCATAAGATTCTTCCAGCACGACAGGTCTATAAAGACTTCACGTATGTGGGAGCCACCATTCCTCAAGGGATGCTTATCTACATCAATAACCAGGCCGTCAATTTTGGTACGATTTCTGCTTGAAAATGCGATGGGTTGTCTCCAGCTGACTAGTGACGTAGACAAAGAGACGTATGGCCCTGACGCTCACGAGTTCCGCCCGGAGCGATGGATCGAAGCAGGATGCGATATACCTCCCCCATACCATTTTGCCTATGGTGCTGGAGCCCGAATGTGTACGGCCGTCAACTTCGCGAACCGGATGCTGTACGGAGTATTTGTTCGCTTGATTCTCTCCTTCAAGATCACAGAGAGTAAGGAAATACCCCCGAATGTCCATTATATCGACTACAAGGAGGACTCAACGGCATCCAATGCCATCCCCTCATTATTCAAACTCAGATTCACTCCCAGAGACCCGGGGATGCTCGAAGAGTGCCTCAAGAATGCGCACGAGAACCTGACAGATTTTGTTACTGGAGACAACGCAGAACCCCTCTTCTTGTGAGAAAGTTACATCTAGGAACGTTGGTCTCGGGGATGTCAGCTGTCGATGGAAAAGTAGCGAAGCAAGCAAAACCACGTAGTAGCGGGATGCAAAACTTGATAGAACAATCCAATAACAAAGCATCGCCCCGTTCTATTTCTCGTCATCATTGCCATCGTCGTCCTTATCATCGTCATCGTTTAGGACCGTTTGGGAGCCCGTTATGAAAATTCCAATATGACTTCTAAATAGGTAATTGTAAAGATAGAGTTAAAGTAGGGTAGGTCGAATGTATCGTATCGGAGTGCATAAAATCAAGATTCAGATTGCAGTTCATTTCCCCTAGTGCATGTCTAGTGCTATCCCCCCTTCCTTCCACACTTTTGCATCCTTCATGACAAAGCTGACAGACCTGAGAGCCTTTGTGTTCTTCTCAGGATCCTCATCAAGTGCCACAATATCAGCTTGCAGGCCCTCTGCGAACCATCCAAATCGCCGCCCGCATAAGTCTCCTCCACATGCCTCCCAGCCCCCAACAGTACAGGAATCCAACACATCAACTAATGGTATACCAGCCTCAATCATCAACTCCAGCTCCCGAACGTTGTCGCCGTGCGGATAGGTTCCCGTGTCACCACCACAAGCTAGGCGAACTCCAAGGTCGTGCGCCCGTTTGACTTGCTTTAGTATCTGGTCAAACCGGTGGGCATGCAGCTTTTCTGCAATCGCAAGAGTAGGTACCATTATGACTCCTTTCTCAATCACTCGCATAAACATGTCATCGGTGCCAAAGTAAACATGCTCAATGGTGTTGACCCCGGCCTCGATGGCTGCCAACGCGCCCTTCAACGTGCAGCAGTGCGCTGACACTGGGGCGCCCGCTAGTTCAGCTTCTTTGACAATCATATTCATCTCTTCTTGAGAGAACACTAAGTAATCAGGGTTAGGCTCTTTGGGGGGATGCAAAACACTTGGAATGTAGGGATGCTGCTGGGCAGGGGGGGATCTCATGATTCTCCGGCGGTAATCAGCAAATAATTTGATAATATCTGCTCCCGCCGCAATCCGCCGCCGAACTGCCTGCCGACATTGCTCGACACCATCAACAGCATCCGCCCCAGCCGGTAGGCAGTGGCCGCCGGCGCTGTTCTCAGTGCGCGGCTCAAAGGAACCGGTGCTGGCAATCACCTTGGTTGCCACAAACAGGCGTGGCCCCGGGGTAAGCCCGCGAGCGATGACATCGCGCAGGTTGGCGTCACATTCTTGCATTCCCTCTGACCCAAGGTCTCTGTTGCAGAAACAAAAGCAGTCAGTATGTGTGTTCAGGGATTATTGGAGGCAATCAAAAAAAACCTCGCACCTGTAAGTCGTGTATCCTGCAAGCAAAGCCGTCCGACAATGATTGACCCCACGGACAACTCGTTCGGTCATACTCTCGTCTCTCTTTTGTTGGAGAGCACCCGCTTCACTTATAGATATTAATCAGTACACTCAAGAAGGGGCCGGATTAGGACGGATCAGCTCACTCATATGAATGCAAAAACACGTGTGTGTGTGCATCCACGAGTCCGGGCATCACAAACTTCCCCCGCAGGTCTATGTCTCGCTCCTGCAGAATTTGTGAAAATGATTGTTCGTCGTCCTTTCGCTCAAAGACACGAACGATGAGGCCAGTTGCCGAGTCCACGGTGATAGAGACATTTTGACGAACCTGCTTGACTAGAGGGTCAAACAAAGATGAGGTATGTAGTGTATATTGCGTCATGACAATGTGGTCTCGCCCAATAGTTCTAAGTGGGAGCTTTGCGAAAAGAAAGAACGTATTATCGACTATAGAGTGCACGGGGAAGAAACCAAAGCGAGCCTTCTTGATATGCTGTACCGCGCAGTGTAATATCTCTCACTAGCAAAATTAGTCTTGTGTCGGATCAGCGCGACTATTTTGGACAAACCGTCGCGCAACGCCGACCCCGCAGAGGAGCACCTCCTCGTTGCAAATACATATCAGACGACCCACTCAGGCCTTTACAGAGCCAGCATTAGAGAACGATCAATCTGAAAGTTGAGTGTACTTGAAAAAGCCCGGGGTAGATGCGGACCAAGTCCTGCGGGGACCCGGCAGGCGCGAAAAATCGCATAAACAGCCAAGGTGGAATCGTCTATCGCAGGCCTGTTCGGCCCTCTCAAGCATTTGGCGGATGTTTTTGACTGTGATCTATCAACGGGCACATGGACCAGAGTTCAGGGACAAACACCAAGTGCTAGAATGCATGATCCACGAAAAAACATCAAGCTAGCTAACATCCATCGTTTATTGAACTCATTTGCTGCCTCATGAAGTCTTACGATTTCAGGCTCAGCCGATCTTGACTGCTCTTCGAGAACAACATTCGCTTTGGGCACCAATGTGGCTCTCCAAGATTTTAATTCGCTGGGAGGTACGCTGCATGAAGCACAATTCAGCTCAAGCCTAAGTAGAGGCTCGCAAAATGTATCACATCAAACAGCTGGCGCAGAAATCTGAACGAACAAAAGAAACTACGGTTTGGAGGTCAGGGAACGGGTGGCGGTGCCAAAGACCTACATGCGTGAACGTGTTGCCTCACTAAGTCAGAAGTGTTTGCTCTCAAGTTTTGCATTGTTCAAAGAATGTAGGAGACTGCGTGAAACTGCAACGGCAATGTTTGATGCGATCTAAGTAAAGTGACAAGACTTGGGACAAACCAACTCCCGTTCGAAACCCTGGCATAGTCCGAAGATCCGCTCACACACACCGCCTGCGCTCGTGTGAATCATCAGAATAGCTCCTCGCCTGCATCCTCGACTTCGTCCGGTTCGGATCTTCTTATAATTAGGACAGCACGGTCTCTTCATACGATCAGGCATGCCTTGCCTCTGCTTCTGCCTTTTGATGTGCCTCTGCGTCTTCCCGTGCCTGTACCCATTTTCTCCGTTGTGTCCATGCCATTGTCTGTGCCAGTTTCTGTAGTTCTCGTTCTCTTCCCTCATCTTCCACTTGCTCTACCTGTGCCAACGTCGCTATGCATGCCTCCAATGCTCTTACATGTGCCCGTGCCAGGCCCAGATGACCAGATATAATTCTCGTCACCGCCCTCTTCTCACCTTCACTGTCCTTCTACTCATGTACACTCTCTTGCTTTTCCTCATCTTCATTCACCTTCTAGTCATCTTCCATCTCACTAATCTCGCTTGTCTCAGAATGCCATTCGTGATCTGATTCAGATTCATCAGAAGAGCTGTCGGCATACTCCGAGGTCGCGCCAGCCAATATCGGGTGGTCTTGAAGCATTTGGTCAACAGTCTGCTTGGCTTTCTCTTCGAAACTCGTCTGCACGAAGGACCTCAAATATGTTGCGTCATCTGGAGGTTGAATTGTAGCTGTACGAGTAGGTGCTATGGCTTGTGAATTGCCGATGATAGGTTGTCTCTGACTCGTAGTCAAGTTGATCCTGGACCGCGGTCTCAAAACCAACGTATGATGGGTGGCCAGTTGTGGGATAGGAGGAAGGGAATGGATAACAAAGTCTCGGGCTTGTTGATTCGCGATGAGACTCAAAGCCCTGAATAAACGCGAGAGGCTGACTTTCGTGCGGGGTTTGACTTCATCCCAGGAAGAGTAGCGGCGAAGGTGAAGGGGCTCGTTCAAAAGCCCAAACTGTTTCAACATCCACGCATCGAATCTGACTCTGTTCTCCGCTCGCCAATTTGTATCTTACCAGCCGTCAAAGTCCTCGAAGTCGTTGTGGGTGAACCTGTCAAATGGATGAAGGGGCCAAGTGAGCCGCTGGTATGAATCATCCGAGTTGTCGAAGAACCTTTCATCCCAACGCGCAGACCACCTATTGCCGACCAGAAGTTCAAGCATCACAGCTTGAGGCTTATCCAGTATCTCACCTCTGCGGCGGGAAACCACCAAAACGTCGGCAGCATCTACGTGCCAGTGTATACCGATATGTAACATGTTGACAGTACCGTGCATAATTTGCTTTACGATATGATTGCGGACTTCGGTACGTGTCACGTCGAGTATGTGCTCGGTTCCGTCAGCTGCAAGAATTGTGGTCGGGACAGAAGGAGCGATAAGATCACCAACTTCTTCTTTGGGTGCTGGCTCGCGGGTGCATAGCTCCTCGATGGTCCGGCCCTCCAGATGTTCCATGAGAATGATGCCGACATATCTCCTTCCCTCGGGGAATTTTTCCGCGTTGTCATTGGTCTCTAAGATCCACGTGCCGTAGTAGTCCGGATGGATGGTTCCCAGACCGGTTTTCGTGCGCTTGTGAAGTTCTTCAAGCCTGGCAACCTTGCGGCACAGATGGTTGTCGGCCCAGAATGAATCATCATCCAAGGCTGCGTCTTCGGCCACAGCCACGACGTACTGGTGCTTTTCAGCGAAGATTGGCATGCGCGAACGCCCCTCATCGGAAACCGGCGTCGCGATAGCCTTGCAGAGGGTGATTTGTCTACCATAGGCCATTCCGCCAGAAAGTGTGTCGACAACTTCAAGCACGGCCATTTCCTTGTCATCGAAACCATTGAATGTGTTTAGATTCAAATTCATAGGGTGCTTAGCAACGTAATCGTCAAATGTGCGGCCTCTTGAATTGGTTCCTTGCGGTCCGTGGCACATGCCGGTAGTATGGGGGGCGCCTGCATTCAGGAATGGTCGAAGCACCATCTGCTGACCCTTAGCATATTTTGCGAGAGCGGCAGACGCTTTGGTGTGTTCCATGTCAACGAGCCGCCGGTGGGAGAATCTGGCTGTAGAATAAAGAGATGCTCGACGAGTTGTTGAGGGAGGGGCGGTCTGGTGACGACAAGTGATGGAAGACAACCAAATATTGAGTGCAATGATAAGCGTCTTTTATGTTGAGGTGACATTTCCGAAGGAAGGGATTGGTATCCAAGCTTGATGGATAAAAAAAGGGAAAAAGAAGCCAGTTGAATATTTTCCGGGTGAAAGTTGACCATGATAGAGGACAAGGACATACATGGAGGTAAGTAAGAGCAAGATGCCAGACCGAAGCGGTGAGGGAGGCGTAATTGATATGATTCGGCCGAAAGGGTGACAAACAACTCCGATGTGGTCAATCAAGATGACTATGAATATTCATGAAAGTTCCAACTAGGAACACATATTTTAACAGCTCAAAGTGCGCAATGTTATCGTACAGAAGTTTCATTTTAGAACACTCTGGTTAGCATTGTGATTTGCCTTGCTCTTTTCCAAGCTTAGGTCTGCGCAGACTGCTGGTACATCGTGGCTGCTAAACTACTTTGAATTCACCTCGACTGCAATCAAAGCTTCAGCTTTCTGCGGCATTTTGACTTCATAATAACTAAGTGAAAGGTTGTGTCTGTCTTCTAGGACAACTAGACTATGCTATCCGAGACTTATGTCCTATGTTCTGTTCTATTTTACTAGCATTGATGATCGCAGTCGCTCCTATCATTGACGCTATCGTCATCGTCCTCATCGTCGTCATCCACCTTGTTCTCATTGCACCTATTGTTGTCCTTGTCCGCTCCCATACTCGTAAGACTCGAGAGCGATGCTTAGCATCCAAGACTTTCAACAAAATGTCAAGAACAAACTTTTGCAACCCCTACAAGTATAATGGATGCATTATCTCAAACTTGCTGCCAGATAAGCTACCCTCTTGCGCGGGGGCTCCACACGTGGCCGTAGTACCAACCCACCCCGCGCGGACGGACTAATTCAGCACTTTTGGGACGCGAAAAAGACGACTCATCCGCTGCAGTGTAATGCCGAGCCATAAAGACCCCCGAAATCATAGACGTTCGCGGCTTTGAGAGCGCGAGCGACTTTAAACCTCGGACTTCACCTTCTCGTCCATCTGTACATTCAACATCACTATCGCATCAAACATGGACAGCAACGGCTTCGTCAAGGATGATGTAAGCGGCTGCGCCCCAATTAATGCCAATCTCAGAACATCAAGGTTAAATAATTGCAAAGGGCCAATATGCCGACGCTAAGCAGCAGTTCATCTTTCTCCAGATGCCTGCCAGCAAGGTAAACCCACCTTTTTGGCAGAATGTTCCGAAATATTGACTCAATTCCACAACCCAGTATCACAAACCACATCTGGCGAAGGAGGAGCAGGAGGTCATGGATCAGCTGTACCGTGGTTGGCTGCACTACTGGAATCATGAATCCCGCGAAGACTACCATCACGGAATGCCTGGCGCGCGGCGCTTCTACGACTTTGACGACATGGTGAGCTACGACATGTTTGGAAACACGGTTCGCGGGAGCTTCAAGGAGCACTACGACTCCGTCTTCCCCTACTGGAACGATGGTCAGATGGAATACCAGGACATCGAAATCACGGCTCTGTCTGAAGAATACGCCTATTCTACGATGATCAAGCACACCTGGGGCACCGCGGGCGGCGTCCCATTTGATACAGCCTTCAGACGGACGGGCATCGCGAGGAAGAACAGCGAAGGGCAATGGAAGTGGATTCACGAGCATCTCAGCTTCCCGACAGACATGGCCACCAAACAAACTGACTTTACCAGCTCACTGGATCCCTTGAAGGCAACCAAGTTGAATTAGAGGATCCGAAGTTTGCAGAGCGAGGATGGTTATCACTATATATGTTGATAGTTATATAGTCACCTGAGACCATGCAATCATTTAAATTGTAGCATGAGGCTCCGATAGAGACTAAAGGAAGTAGCATCGTGTATGTTCAACAGAAAACGTACAGTGAGTTGAGGCAAAATTGCTAGTTCAAGTGGAGACGAAATATCAACTCTTGAGCAACACCTCGCGTCTTAAGGTGACTTATGCAACCACTTTTCGTTTTCGACAGGCAAGGTAACCTCCATCAACATTCCAGTGTGCTGCGAACAAGGTTGAAGCATGTCAGCAATTTGCATCTTACGAAACTTTGGCATCAGTCTCACCTCCAGTCACAAAGGAAGCCTCATCACTGAGAAGAAAGCAAATGACCTTTGCCACCTCGTCAGCGCGACCCATGCGGCGCATCAGCGTGTCCTTAGAGAGAGCATGCGCGTCGAAAAGTCCCTTGGCTTCGCCGTCGTGAAAGATTCTGGTGTCGATCGGCCCTCTGAAGTTCTCAAAGCTTAGTCAAGTCCTTTCACAGCTGTGAGGAACCTGGGCACAGGTGTGCCGTACTTACGGCAGTATGCTGTTGATTCTGATGCCGGCCTTGGCATACTCCCCGGCGGCCGACTCCGTCAATTCGATAACTCCGAACTTGCTGCTTGCGTATGCTGCACTATGTGGTAGACCTCGACGTCCCGACGTGCTCGAAACGTTGACGATTGACCCGCCAGGCTTGGATAAGACCGGTAACTGAGCCCGCATACAATTGAGGACCCCGTTGAGGTTGACTCCGATGGTGTGGTCCCAGTCCTCTTGTGACTATGAATGCCGCTCTATCGTCAATATATGTTGCAAAAGCTCTTGGGGTCCAAGTCAATCAGAGAGATAAATGGAATCAAAGAATCCGTACAATTGTCTCAATGACGGTATCACCGGTCCCGCCAGCCACACCGGCAACGTTTGCAGCCCCATCGAGCCTGCCAAACATGTTGTAAGTTTTCTTTGTAGAGGACCTGACCCTCATCGTCGTTCCGTACGTTGACCCTCGCGGCCATGATTTTTGTGCCGAGCTTCTCGCCTGTGCCACCCGTCGTCTCAGTTAGCCACTGCAGACATGGTACGAATGCGGAAGCAGCGCGTCGGAGCTGGCCCGCAACTAACATTCCGCGGTCGTCCTAGCGAGCCCTGTCTCATCCATATCACTGATTGCTAGAGCGGCGGCGCCTCTTTCGGCGAGAAGCATCGCGGTTGCTCTGCCAATGCCCTAACGGCCCATCCAAGTCAGCACTCACTCTTCACGACGGAATCTGCAGCCAAAACCCAGACGGCGGAACGCCAACGACCTAACAGAACTTAATGATGCAGCCCCCGTAACACAGTAAGCCCTTCTGGCAAACATGATGTGCAACGCACGTGATTACTGTACACAGATGTAATGAGTGAAGCAGCGTCTGTTGCACTGCACCCGCGACAATCAAACCGCGCATCAAACCTATAAGGCGAACTCGGTGATCGCCAGGTTGGCACCTAGGTGGGAGTGGCGTACAAGTCCCGAGGTCGCTTAATTGTGCCGTGACCACCCCGGGCGAATTACCGGGCTATCTACCCCAAACTTGGCATGAACAGTGGGAGAAAAGAGTCCGAAGATGCGTCGCTAGGTGGAATAAAATTGGGAATACTGAAAATGATGTGCCTCTTCACGGTTCGATCAGATCCTACGAACTGCGAGGGTATTTGCCTGCCGGTTTACCAGATAGAGAGCAAAAGAGGCGCGAACGAATGACGAGCTGACCGCTGTATCAATTCACACCCGTTCCCTCACCGCAGCCTTGCACTTTTCTTCATAATAAACTCAAATTTATTATATCCAAATCATTTACAATTTAAAATACAACCATGTCAGGACCACTAGCGGCTAAAGTAGCTCTAGTGACTGGGTCTTCATCAGGCAGTAAGCTATCAAATAGTATTCCACGCAAGTGATGGTGAGGCGAGCTAATCACACCCCGCACAAAGTCGGGCGAGCCATTGCCATCAAGCTGGCTTGCTTGGGCGTCAAAATAGTCTACGTCGACCTCCAGGAGCAACCTAACGCTAAGGGCTACGAGACAGACTTGGAGAAAACAACGACACAGGTCATATCGGAGTCAGGCGGCAAAGCCTTCTTCTTCAAGGCTGATATCACCGACGGCGAAGCCATTGAAGCGTTGTTTAAGAGAATACGACAGGTTAGTGGACGTCCTTGTCCCAGGAACCAACAAAAGGGGGGATTAAACCCTCCATGAGAGAAATTGGCTAATAGAATTATTAGGAATACGGCCATCTTGACATTCTGGTCAACTGTGCGGGGTACTGGGCTCCGCTCCACCTATTCATGGAAGAAACCGACGAGCTCCGGGCCAGGATGACGGCTGTCAATACCCTCGGCACGGCCAAGATGAGCCGTCACGCCATCCGCGAGTTTCTCCAACAGAACTACGACTCGAAATGGGGGAGCCGGGGGCGCATCGTCAACATCTCGTCGTGTGCCGGTGTGGTAGGCTTCCCAGGGGAAGTCGCCTACTCGGCGACCAAGGCGTCTGTCAACCACATGACACGAGCAGCGGCGCTGGACCACGCCAAAGACTTCATCAATGTTAACTGCGTGGCCCCCGGAGTCGTTGCTACCGGTTTGGCGAGGGGCAATCTAGAAGACACTGAGATACACGAATTGATGCGCAAGGCTACACCGTGGCCGAGGCTGGGGACAGCCGAGGACATCGCCGACGCCGTGGTATTCTTGTGTAAGCCTGAGTCTCAGTGGATGACAGGACAAGTGCTCGCCGTTGATGGAGGCCTGACCATTGGAGTGGCTCCGGCTACGCAACAGACCATAGGACCTTGAAAAGTAGGACATGGTCTAACAATATGCAACTATCTTTCCGTGTTACCTTTTAATGAACAAAGGTGTAAAAGACACGGGTTGAGTGATATTACTTGATTAAACAAATTGATCATACAACACTTGTCAATGGTCCTAGCCAGATAGGTCACCCATGCTTGCTCAGATCCCCAAATAGGCTGAGATGGTCCTAAAGCAAACTAAAAGTCCGCTCAACGTTCAAGAGACATAAGTCTATGGCAAGCATGTGGGAGTATATGAAGTAACTTGCGACTGCAATTTTGTGGCCAGGAGAGGGGTTTTTGTGGCGATAGTTGGTAGCTTGTGTATATAACTAACTTAAAAGCGGCAATGCTCAACGCATAAATATCTCATAGAATGCTGGACACCGTCCGCCGTTAAACTTTTGATCTCTTCTCACGCCATATTCTTCCAATATTATTCTCATGAATTCCCTCTTTTTGCTTTCACTCTCCGCTTCCCGCAATCCACTTCTATGAACCAAAGTTTGTCTTCATTTAGCCATCCCTGTCATCCGAATGTTCACATCGCATCCTTTCCTGTCATTCCCTAAGCCTCGATATGGGTATTGGATACCGACAGGTGTGTTGGTAGTTTTACTCCCTCCTCAATTCCAGGGATCATAGCTGGGAGAGCCAGGATAGCGATAACGGAGCCCAAGATGGATGCCACTGTGCCCAATGTGACTAAAGCCTCAGTTTGGATAGATGAATGAAGGCTGATGATCAGTGGCGCTCCGACCCCGATGTTCGCAGCCATGAAGGTGATGGGAAATATGAGCAACGCTCCAAAGAAGTGGTAAACGGCACGATCGGTTTTGGCGCGCAAGTTGGCGACAGCAACGCTGTAAAACATGACTTGGACGGTTTCCAGGATGCCAATGACAATAGGGTACTTGAAGATCCGGAGCACGTGGGGTCCCCAGTACTCGTATACTCCGCCGTTGATGACGACAATCTCGAAGAGACACGAGCTAGCGGGCTCTATGACGGCGTACCGAAAGAAGAGGCGACGTTTGATGCCGCTGGCAATTTTTCGGTTTAAAAAGACGGAGACAGTGCCGTGGAGAGTTGCGTAGCCACTGTACACCCACACGGGTTGCGGCACGCCCATTGAGGTGAAGGCTGTCCACTGGCCGGGGCCGTAGAAGTAGAGCATCAGCGCATTGTCGTAAATCGGCTCAAACATCCCACCAAACCCCGCAGCAAAAGCAATGATCACATAAAACCACGTCTTCTCCTTTTTTCGTAGATATAGCCCGTAAAAGAGTAAGGAGACCCAGATGGTGTAGCTGATGACAACGACAATGATCTGCATTGGGGCCGAGACCCGCTTGTCAGTTGGCGCTGCAAGCATTGTGTGAGGAGTGTGATCGACGAGGAGATGCAACAAAGCCTGTCAACAACTACTGTCGGTTGGGCATGGACTTCAAATATGTGTCCTACTCGGAGAATGAGCGATAATAGCTCGGCTAGGTACATGTAATTAGTCCGGGTGAAGGCATAGAGGAGGGATGATTGCAGTTTAAACTACATGCCATTCAGGCTATATGGAATAAAAGGTCCGTCCGGTGGCTAAATGTTCTTGAATCTCATAGCCTTCTTTCGTAATTCCTTCTTTGGCTGGAAGGCAAACGACACATAGAGGGATACCGCCTTAAGAAAAAGCCTCGTTGCATAAGACACGTCGTCATCGCAAATACCAATACATCAATGGGGCAATCAATAGGGAACTTTGATTGAGCCATCCGTTTCTTCACAAATAAATGATCTGATCTGATCAAAAGCCTCAAGCGTACTGAGCCAAGAACCTTTCGGCGTCTGTGTGCTCTCTCCTAATTGTAGCGACGTGTGCTTCACTCCTCGGCGTAATACGGGCCTTAAACTCCAAAGGCGCTTGTAGAATCCCAGGGTTATACGCATTTGCGTCCAAGGGCGTAACTTTACCCGTCTCTGGATCAAGGGGTTCCGCGAAGTCGAATGCCCACAGTAATTTAGCCGCGATGCGCCACATGTTGCGCTCAGCGAGATGAATGCCGGGACAAATCCGACGACCGGCGCCGTAGTTGTAATGGTCTCGGTTGCTCCACTCAGGGCTACCGGCATAGTCGTTGGCCAGCTTGGGGTGATTCAAGTAGCGATCTGGATTGAACGTATCATGACCGGGGTAATTTGCGTCGGTATGGTGTAGAGCCCACGTTGCGATGAAGACTGTAGAGTCTTTCGGTATGAACATGCCGTTGTACTCGTCATCTGCAATGGATTTATCGTCAACATAGTGGTTACCATGGGGAACGAAGATGCTCATAATGGTGGAAAACTACTCACTCTGGCGAGTTTTGTGCGGCAAAGCCGTCACGGCACTGTTGGCTGCGAGTAAGCCTCCTTACCAGGGAACGATGCTGACAGAAAAGACCTACACTGGGCGCCATCGCATCCCTTCCTTGACTATGCAATTGATATAGGGCATCTTTTCAAAGTCGTCCCATCGTGGGGATCGCTCACTCCCGCAAACCTCATCGATCTCGACTTGTGCCTTCTGCTGAATTTCGGGATGGAGGGCAAAGGCGAGAATCAGCGTCAGAAGCTGGGCCGCAGTGGTGTCGGCGCCGCCCTCGATGATCTCACCCATAAGATTTGTAAAAGCATGCTGGCTTATAGAGGCTGGCCAACCCTTCTGCTCGTACTCGTCGAGCAGGCCGTCGATAATGTAGTTACGTTTTTCTCCTTGAGCTCGCCGCTCTTCGACCAGCCGGCGTGCCGTTGACCAAGTTTCGTCCATTGTTTTTCCAGCGTCAATCGCGCGTCGCTTCCAGTATGCGAACGATGCGGGAATGTGTCGAAGGAAGGTGAAGACGTCCACTGGGGGATTAGCTCCCGGCTCCATGGAAGCTGTCCACTCCATTGCCAACAGGCGAGTTAGTATATTATCTCCTTATTGGGCCTAACTGTCCCCGTTTACAAAGAAGAGCACTATACCTTGGTCATGACATCGTAAACCCCCTGTGTAATGTGTCAACCCAAAGCGCCTCCGACAAATCACGAAAGATGTTAGGATCGTTTTAAACGAGCTTACATGTCCCCAGAATGATTCGAAGCTGGCCGCCCTGAAGCCGTAGGTGATGGACGTAACTACGGACGCCGTGTACCTGCGAATATGTTTGTAGAAACCATCTGGACTATCCAGGAGATTTGTCATCAAGACGGTAGCTCTTCAAGACTCAATTATCAGCTGATGATAGCCATACAATCCAGAGCAGGGGCTTCAGCTTATTCTGCCTCCTGGACTCTAAAGTGCTGCTCGTCAAGTCTCTTAGGAGAGAAATTGTGGGAGATGACCTTGCGCTTGTCCCGCCATGTACTATCCATTTGCTCGAGGGCAAGATGGTCGCCCCTCGTTAGCAACCGGCCGACATAGCTAGGAGGTCTGTCGGAGTAGACGCTGCCCTTCTCAACTAAAAGCTTGTGAATAGCCTCGCGGTCGCAAAGCACGATGATGGACGATGGACCGACTTTCAAGGAGAAAACGGATCCATATCGATCAGCCCACTCACGCATTCTGCTTAGACGTCATTAGCCAGCGTTCTCCGAGTATCCGCCAAATCACGAGATAGACGTAGGAAGATGGACATATGCTGACTGCTTGAAGAACCCAGTAACTGGTATTTGATGAGCATTTCCGAGGATCGGCATGGTCGGAGGGCCAGGTGGCATGCGTGGATTCCGCTTCCCTATCTGCAATATCTTCTGAATCGCTAAGCCTAGCAACAATGTGAAAAGTGCAAGAGCCAACATATTGCGAAACCTTTCCTTTGAGAAATGATTGATATCAATCTTGGTGTTTGAGTTAATGGAAATAGACAGCCACAGTGACGTGTGCATTTAAGTATACTATTTACTAGCGATGGGGGACTGGTCATTTCCCATGTTATGTGTATCTGGATTTATCTTTCACCTGCTCGCGCGTCACTTCAATTCGATCCGTTCCAACATGTGGTCAAGCCTCTTTGCGGCGATGAGCTAGGTCTACGCCGCAACGATGCCTTTCAACTCGAGCCCAGCAGCTGGCTTGATGTCTCTATCAGGCATGGTGCATGAAGCAGAATTCGTCCGGGCAGGGGCATGGATCATCAAGAGAAATCAGTCCGAAACTGGGGTAAGGCGGGGTGCTAGGTGCCCCGCGTTGTTGAACCAATTATGACTGCAGCAGAGTGTGGCACCGGCATCGTGCCCGGATTTAGGACAATGTTCCAGTCGATGCGAAGATCCAGAATCCCATCGAATTGAAACAGTCATCTGGTGACTTCCGCAGGAATAGGTCACTAGCTAGCGGCTACCCCGGACAGAATTACGTCGGTCTTGCATCTGCCATTGAGGGCGCAGCCAAGCCGCACCCCTTGAACATCCCTGCTCATATGGTACTGCGGGGACGGGAGTAGCAGCCCATGCTTCCGAGAAACGCGTGGGGAAAACCCACTGGTGAAGTCTAGCTGTTACTTCTCACTTTCCTGCATTCAACTTGGACTGCTGAATGTCGACCTTGTCAGGTTCTCGTATCGTTATATCTGGCATCGCACGAATCCATCATGGCATCTGATATAAGCAGCTCAAGAAATCTCAGGACCCCGTCTTGCAACCCGTACGAGGGCGAGATATCGGAGCTGAGCTGTAAATCTTGCAAGAGGTTGCGTCCTCCCAAAAACACTGGGTGAAACCTACAAGATGGACGTCGTTTGCTAACCTTTGTTGCGTCTGCTTCTAGGAGAAAGGCGAAATGGTGAGCCACTCCTTCATGAGAGTCGTTGCAGTTGACTCGACTATCTGACACTCGCCAGCGACCGCCTCCTGCCGCACTGCACACTTTGCGATAGGAACTCGCAAACATGCGTTTATCCTTCAACGCGACTGAAGCCGGGGCCTAAGACGGGTAAGTTGGTGAACCTAGGCGGCCGCTGTAGCCGGCGTGCATTCAAGCTGATGAAATTAAAGGATCCCGTAATAAAAAGCGGCGACGCTCAAGCAACATTCCTCCCGAAGAAGCCTCTCCTGATGGCCATGCCAAGACCGGAACCGATGGCCTTGCAGTCGAATCTGGGATCAACACAACAGAGTCACCCACCAGCGGCCTGCAGTCGCAGAATGATGCGAGAAGGTCGTGGGAACACCACAGTGATCTCACCATTCCGGAACTCGCGGATAACGATGAGGAGACCGATGTCTCCGAATCCTCACACATATCTGGCACCAGATTCGTGCGAGCCATCAGCTTATCTTCAATGGTCCATCCTTCACATCAGCCCAATTTGACTTCTCCGTCCCGGACCTCCTCTTCCACCGACCACGGTTTCTTTGTCAAACTAGTTGGGTCGCAGAATACCCTTATGCAGGTATGCGAGTCGTTAGATCTAACAATAGACTCGCTACAAAGGCTGTGCGTTGACTAGTCTCAACCCTATCCTCTTCCTCGGGTGGGCATTTCCATGACTGACATGTATTTCAGTACCGATACCTATTTCAACAGAATGATGGCCTTCTCTCTATTTCATGAGCCTTCCTTTGGCGACAAGATTCAGACTGTCAAGAATAGTCTTCATCTCAAAGCATTGATGGCATCGATGTTTTCCATCTCAGCGCGCTTCAATATCAGCCCCGATGACGAGTCTTCGCCGACCTCGTCGATGTCAAATTGGCCATCGCACGCTCATTTTCATCACTTAGCAAAGGGCTTTATAGATCAGGCCCTCGATGAATTTGACGATGAGCCTCCACCTATATGTGTCACGCAGGCCCTGGTGCTGTGCACATTCTATGAGCTGGCGAGGGGCGTCAGAGGCCATGCGTGGCGGCTGCTCGGTACCTGTGTAAGGGTGGCTTATGAGCAGCGGCTTCATCTTATTGACAGCATGGCACCTGGGCCTACAAAGCCACCATCAACGCTGTCGGAGCTACTCAAATGGTCTGAAATGGAGGAGAGACGACGCGTTTGGTGGGTCATTTGGCAAATGGATGCGTTCGCCTCAACGGTGCGCAAGTCGCCTGCCGCCATCGATCAGGCAATCAACGAGACTTACCTCCCGGTGTCCGACGACGCTTGGTTCCAAAATAAATACCAATCAAGCTGCTTTCTCGATCCTATACCAACTGAACGATCGAAAAAGTTGTTGAAGTCTGGTAACAACAGCGATATGGCTTGGTTCGTTGTCGTTAACTCCATTATGCGAGATGCTCAGGTGCTGGCTCGAGGAAACATAAATGGCGCCCTCTCAGATTTGATGCCCGGGGATGATGCGGGCTTTCATTCCCTCAAATACTACTTTCATGGCCACTTCAGAAAGGCTCAGTCCTCTGAAGATGGTCGGCAACTCTCTGTACTAATAAGAGCTCTCCAACAGACAGTTGCGGCGCTGCCAGGACGACTGAGCTATCAGGGAGGCTACCTTAGCTTCGGAGATGTGCCGTCCGCAGACAACCCCGCGCAGCCCCGATCCGAACCGCGGGAGGATTCAGCGCAGCACGCCGTCTTCCTAATGTCGCAGTTAGCACGATTCATGATATATCACCATCTTGCTTTTGGTGAGATACTTTTGGGTACTATTTTGTCCGAATCCGGTGGCTCCCCGTCTTTTGGATGGTCTGCTACACCAAGGAGCGAGCGGGAGAGGCTATCGAACTCCGAGGGACTTAGAAACTGCCTCGAAGCCTCCGACAATATATACGCGGTTATCAGCAGATCTTCAGAAAGGCATGTAGAGTGGACCAACCCATTCCTCGCTAGTACGGTGTGGCTCGCGGCATCTCTGCAGATACTCCGCAAGGTCTTCGCCCCGGCGACGCGCGGTGACCTCTCTGAACAGGATTCTAAGATTGACGTACTCAGTGGTGTGTGCCAAAGATACACGGACTTTTGGGACACGCCGCGTAGCTTCCTGCAGAACCTGGATACGTTAGAGGACCGACTTTTAAAGAAAAAGACGGAAATGGCTGCCATGGAAGCACAAAGTGTATCGTGCTTTGAATCGCGAAACACGGGACAACGGGGCTTTCCTGTAGTGGCGGATGTCAGCGGACGAAATCATGTGGAAAACTTCCAATTTGCAACAGGAGTGGGGCCTGAAAGCAACAACCCGCTTGCCCAGAGTCCGGTGGAGCCGCAGCCCGTGGACCGGGGTCATGGCGGAGGCCTGTCACTTTCGCCGTATACCTCGATGGGCCGCGAAGATTGGATCGATAGTCGGAGGGATATCTTGGATAATATGGAAGCAGCAAACTACCCCACTGGAAACTTGGAGATGCCATACTTTAGTCCTTCGGAGGGATTCGCTGGGGTTTCCCGAGGCTGATCAGGAGCTAAGTCTGTTCATATCTACGTTGGTAGGCTAGGGCACACCGTTTCACGTTGATATAGAAGCTCATAACGTGATGTTGCGTTTGAAACCGATTTGCTGTACCCCGGATTAATGTCATGTTCTACCCTAGAGCTCGAGTTTTGGTCTCAGGATTGGACGTTGCAATGGAATACTCCTGACGACCCGGGTAGAACAGGACGGCATGGACGACGACGACGATGGCGGCGATAACTACGAGGATAGACTCAAAATAAGTAACGGCAGTAAAGGCCTTACTGGAAATAGGTATAACGTACTGCAGTGTTTATCATTCCAGATCGTACTCGGCTCGCGTCACTCAAAGCCTTCTCCCGGATGACAAAAACCAAGCATAATTTCAGGCGATAAAATTAAAGGAATATGTACATAGGCCTTTAAAGCTTAGGGTAGCGGGTTCCCGCTCTGAGTTCTCAGACAGGCTTCGGGCGGACTGATTTCTCTGCCTCTTGTTTCTTTTGCGCCCGCTTTCGGCTCAACAATCGGACTATTCCATACGATAAGCAGAATCTGGCTGTTTCTGTTGGATCCGCTATAGTTGATCACGTAGAAGATGGATACAAAGGATAAGTTAAAATTGGAGGTTCGCAGTCATTCCAATGAGGTCTGTACAATTGAAATCTGGGTATCTCGGATCTCCCGACGACGTTCGCGAAACTTTTTCACTCTCCTTCAATGCTTTCCACCCTCTAGATACTCGTCGGTTTAGCTGTGTTCTCTCCCAAGTTTTGGCCCTGGCACCATGATGAGTTCATCCTGGTCGCACCTAGTACGCTTCGTCGCTCAGGAAGATGGCCAAGTACACCTCGGCCAGGTCGACGCCGGCGAATGGCAAGATGTCGGTCTCGCCACTCTGAAAAGCCAGCGTATTCCCGTCAAGCTAGTGAAAGGGAATGTGTTTGATGGATGCGTGACTGAGGAGGTAATGCATGTGAAAGAGGTAAATCAACGCCACCGCGCTGTGACATACCATTACCCTTGCGAATGGCTGACTTTCACTATCGGATCTCCAGCTTCTTTCGCCTCTCACAATGGAAGAAGTCCCCATAATCAGGTGTATGGGGCTGAACTATCGCGATCATGCCCTCGAGGCCAACATGGACATCCCCGAGGTTCCAGTCCTCTTCGTCAAGCCGAGGACAGCTCTAGCGGGACCATATCCTGCGCCCATCAACGTTCCTCGGTTTTCCCAGGACTCTACGAGTGACTACGAAGCAGAGCTCTCCGTAGTGCTTTCCAAGTCTGGCCGAGACATACCGGAGAGCGACGCCATGGACTACGTCCTTGGGTATACATGTAGTAATGACGTGAGCGCAAGGAAGCAACAGTTTATGAACAGCCAGTGGTGCTTTTCGAAAGGTATACAGATTCCTCGGAAGGTCAACATAGAGACCATTCAGCGAAGATAGCCATACAATCAGCTGGCTTATACTTGTTTCGTAGGACTTGACGGATCCTGTCCGATAGGACCAATTCTCGTCGCAAAGTCAGCTCTGAAAGACCCACATTCTCTGAGAATAAGAGCTATTCACAATGGCCAAACTGTTCAAGACTCAAACACGAGGTATGCACTTCTCCTTTGTACAGTTTCCAGTATGCAACTACAACTAATCACGATATCATTCCGCAAAGAGAGATGATTTTCGACATCCCCAAGATCATTGCATTTCTTTCGCAAGGCACGACGCTAGAGAAGGGCACGATAATCATGACCGGCACCGGGCCCGGCATTGGCATGGCTAGGGATCCGCCGATATTTCTGAAGGATGGAGACGATATGAGAATTGAAATTTCGGAGATAAGGACTCTCGTCAACGTCGTTAAATATGAATAGTTCTAATAGTATTATGAGAGCTAGTTGGAATGCAAATGAGCAAAAGATACTTATTGACGCGGTGCGCAGTTAAGACGGTTTCTTTTGCATTATCTGGGTCTGTTCTGCGTGATACTTACATTTTTCGAACGATCAAATGGTACCAATAACTACAGCCGGCGTTCTATCGCAGCTTTCCAGATGCGAATACCATTCTGTACCATGATAATACACGCGCGAGAATAATCACTGCATCGTTTCAATTCCCAATCATGCATGCTGTATTTTAATAATGATTCGGGCATGACTTAACAACAAGATCGTTTGGCTGAGCATTGGAGAACTACTTCGGCGGAACGAAATTCCCATGTTTCCTCACAAAGGGAACTGATACTACTGTTATGTGTCACCGGGACCCAGAATGACCCTCATTACCTCCGACAACTTCTCAACACAGCTGTCCAAGTCATTCGGTACCTCGCGCGCTCTCCAGGCTACAAAGCGGTCAGGACGGACTAACACCGCACCGGACTCCTCAACACCCCTCAGTCGATCCCAATCGAAATACACATCTTCCCAGTCCTGTCGAAAACCTACAGACCAAACCTTGATCTCACAGCCCCTTGCCGCAGCCACAGCCTTTGCCGCCTCCTTCCATAGCATACCTCCTGGCCCAGTAAGTATAGTGAAGGCTCCGTGACCGGCAAGGTCAATCGTCGACACCATTTTGCTTGGGATCGCTCTGTTGAGCCAGGCGTGCGGCAAGCGGCGGCCCGGATACGTGCTTGGATCGTAGTACGCGACATCGTCCTCGGCTGCCCTTTCTGAAGGGCAGTAGGGAAGAGGCTCATCCTTGACATAGATGCATGAGCTGGAGTAGAGCTGGTTCATTTCGATACCGAGGCCGTGAAACTCATGCGCCGTGGCTGTGATGGCTTGACGGAAGCTCTCGCGTGCCTTTCGACCCTCTCCTGTAGGGCTCAAAAGAAGCTTGAAGACGTTGCTGCGCTCTTCGACTGTTTGTTCCATCATTCCAAGGGACTTCCAAACTGCGGAGTGCTTTCGAAAGGAGTCGTTGGCTTGAGACACAATGCTGACTCCTACTGGTTGCCGCTCGGTGTTGTAGGTATCGAGCAGCGAGCGGCCTGCTAAGCCCTTTTCCACGTATGCAACTTTCCATGCCAGGTTAAAAGCGTCCTGAATGCAGGTGTTGGAACCGAGTCCATTCATTGGAGGGTGGCGGTGGACTGCGTCACCCAGGCAGAATCTGAATCCCGTCTGGTCAGCATAGAGTGACTTCAATGTGACATATACGATGTTCTTTCACCTACATATTACCCTCTGAGTATCTCTCAGCGACGATATCATTAATATACCATCTAGAAACCGAGAGGATGTCGACATTGGTGTCATCTCCGATCAACGTTTGAATGCGGCCTTTGTACGCCTCGTTTGAAATTGGGACGGATGCATCGAAGCCGGGACTGGGAAAGAGGATGAAGATCCATTCAAACCATGGCTTCACCATTCGTGCGATGCCCATCCAGCCAAACTCCGGATGATCAACATCAGGCTGCATCAGCCAGTGCAGATTCCCGCTCCGGTGTTCCATCAAATGAGAAAGGTCGGCTTTGACCAGTACGTTGATTGCGAGACCGCCCCCGGACTTGGCAATGAGTGGAATCTGAAGCGTCTTGATTGTGAGGCTGCGGGCGCCGTCAGCCCCGAAGATATACTTCGTTCGTATCGAGAAGTGGATCTTGGAAAGGTCATCCCAGACGTTGACCAAATACTTTGCGTCCGAGGGGTCATGTTTCCAGGACACAAGTTTGGTGTTAAACCTGACGACGAAGCCATGATGCGATGCAAACCGAGTCAGTACCGGCTCGAGCAGAGTTTGCGGGATGTCCACAGGATCGCAAGGACTTGCAAGTTCATAGTCGCCCTTTGATCCGAGTTAATGCCAGTTCATGTCTCGGGAATAGCGTGCACATAATGTGACGAGAAGGGCCGGGACTGTACCTTTCTTCGGGGATCGTTTCCCCAAGACGGGATGCGCGCCAGCTCTTCCCCCGCCATGCTATAACACCAGCGCGTGTGCTGCATACAGTGGCCTTTCGTTGCCATAGAGCGTATTTCCTGATCCAGTCCAATGTCACGCAGACACTCTGGGATATGAGCCCAACATTTCAGCACATTGATGCGAGAACTGCTTCAAGTAGCGTACCTAGTGCGGCCATATTGGTGATATGGGCGCGCGGTGTGTCTGCTGTCCCATGACTTGCGCTTATCATGATACCTCTCAAGCCATGCGACGCCAGGAAGCAGGCCAGCGATGCGCCTGCTGGGCCTGCTCCAACCACGAGGATATCCGTTTCGCATGAATTTTCGAGCATGTTGAAGTCGCCGTTGATGTCCTTTTGGCGGAGAAACGTGATGCGTCGAATGAGGAAGAGGGGATGCTGCTGCAACGGACGGATTCGAATCTTGGGCGGAATGAGATGGTTGGACCAATCGAAAGAAGCGAAATGAACAGCGTATCGGCAAAGCTACAAGTCAGCCGGCAACGAGATCAGTAAAAAAAGCCAAATGAATGGAATTGGAGTATCGGTCCTGGATTCGGAACACTGGCTTTGTACATGTCGACTGGACGATTGGGGCCACAGGCCACACCCCGGTGTCAGCAGTCCAACTAGGGGTCGCTGCATCGGAGTAATTTTCTCCAAATCGGTTCAATTCTCTGCCGGCACAATCACGCCTGTGTAGTTTCAACACGGCTTGGAAATTGTTCGCCAGCACTCAATAGCATGGCTTATCAACGATGATGTTGTTTCTGGATAAATGTGCAAGGCCGGAATGGGAATGAGTGTAGTAGACTTTGACATACTGCTCTGTATTCCCGAGCCAACCTGTGACCCATCTAGCACAATCTTACATCTCAGACGGTTTCATTTTCTTTGCTTGAGCCTTGGTTTGACTCGACCTCTTCGTACGAAGATGTCTGGAATCATCGCCAGCGGCTCCACCGAGGCGACTTCCGCTTCCGTACGCAAAATCAACCTCGTCCGCATCTCGCATATCTATTACACTTACAAAGACTTGCAGAGGTCGAAGGCTTTCTTCGAGGACTTCGGATTTGTCGAGGCTCAAAGAAGTAATGGCCGTGTCTATTATCGTGGCTATGGGGCAGAACCTTTCATCGCTTGTGTTTCAGTGGGCTCCGAGGACGGATTCGGTGGGGCAGCCTTTGCTGTTGAGTCCGAAGATGATCTAATTTACGCGTCCGAAACACTTCCTAGCGCTACGAAGCCTTACGACTTGACCGATGCTCCTGGGGGAGAAAGTTGCGTTTCCTTTCGAAGTTCGGTTGATGGCTTTTCCTTTCATCTTGTGTTTGGACAGAAGATGTTGAGCACGAATGCTTCATTTCCTGAACTGGACTTCAGCTTTGTACCTTCTCGGTGCTCAAAAAGTTTCGATAACTTAACAGAGGCCTAATATTCGCCCAGCCAACCAAGAAACACAGGAATGCAGGCACTTTCCAGCGTTTTGAGAAAGTTAACTCCAATCAGAAAGATCAATCTCTATGGCGAGAGTGACTGCAGAAGGCTCACTTCCTTCTAGGGCCTGCACCAGTCCACAAGCTTGGGCACTTCGGCGTTTGCGTAACTGATTTCCAGAAAACATACGAGTTTTTCACGAGTCGTTTCAATTTCATCCCTAGCGACGTGATTTTACCAGAAACTCCGCGAGGAGAGCAGCACTGACACTGGCTTTGGTTGGCTCCTATAGCTTGTACACGATCACACAGGACGCAATGTGACAGCGTTCCTTCGCTTGGACCGTGGAGAGAAACTCGTGGATCATCATTCCTTCTTCTTCTTCGAGGGCCCAAGATTCCACGTACACCATTCATCCTACGAAACTCACGATTCTGACATGCAGTTTCTCGGCCACGACTGGCTACGTCACCGAGGATACGAGAATTGCTGGGGAGTCGGACGCCATATCATGGGCAGTCAGATATTTGACTACTGGTCAGTACTGATGGAGTTGAAACGAAAATGTTATCGTAACCTGCTCATGCTGTTCCCCGCTAGGTACGATCCCAGCAAATTCATCTTCGAACACTACGTCGACGGCGACCAGATGAACAGCTCTCATCCTACAAGTGTTTCAGAAGCCTCTCCCAACGGTCTTCACATTTGGGGTATGTGCAATCTTTCGTGAAACAATAAACCGATAAATCGATGATGTCTTTGTCTAATTGTATTAATTCTAGGCCCTGATCTCCCGCCCGACTTTCTGGTATGAGTTAAGCCTGTGAGGAAGGCTATGGTGATTGGCTTGATAATCTTCAAAAAGCACAGTACGGTGCGTTGTTCCTTGGCGTACCTGCCGTTCAAGTAGACTCTCGTGCCCTCAATGAAAGATACATTTTATTTATTCATGACATGGTGGAAAGTCAACCCCATCTTCGTGCTGCCAACCGCAGCAATCGAACGTCTTAGCACTTCCGTGCCTCAATTGCCTCAGCTCGTTGACGAATTAATTGGACTATGTCATTATAGAATTAGCACCATTACGTCTTCTCAACTGGCTTATGTGATGTTCACGAATTTGAACGAGTAATCTCGTAGTGCAATCCGACTGGAAGGCCAGAGGGCATGAGCTGTAAATCATTTACTAAAATATCATTGAATATTCCGATTAAAACCAGTACACACATGTTTGATTGTTCCGCTGTTATCTCAATGTTTCCCCGTAAGCCTTCCGCTAACAAGCCTCAAAGACCTCCCAGTATCTATCACGTCCGTCTTCTAGGGTGGTATGTGGCGGCGGCTGCAGATGGAGTATTTCGACTTTCTCTCACATTTCCAAACCCTGACTAATTGAAGATATTCCATCGGGCTTCCCCGCACCGCAACCACACAATGCGGCACCGGTTTGATCATGCCCACCGGTCGGACAGATCATGTCTAGTGCTACTCCAAATCGCTCCGACAAAATTACGCCGAAAGTACGGCAACTACTTCGGCAGTTTCAGCAGCAGCTTTTGACCAGAGACCACCTTCCCTGTCAGGGGACACTTATTGGACTTTCATTGTAATACACTATACCGCTGTGAGCACTGGGCATGTCAAAAACGTCAAGTTTATCAAGCCCTATACTCCTGTACAGTCGTCACTCAGTCCCAGATTCATCGACACTCTGTCTTCGAACAATTTTACGATCATGAGCTGCCCTTTGTTCTTCGTCGTTGCTCGTGTGGTTGGTTCAGATGGGTCGCTTGAGAAGGTAAAGTGTCAGCCTGCAGTCCTCCCTTTTACGACAAACCTATTTCCTCCGTATGTTGCTGACGAATTCTGTGACCGTCCGTAGTGGAAAGAGCGACTAGTCGGTCTTTGCGGTGTATCAGCCACCGAGCCACTGGGCAACAGTTACTACTGGGGGCATGACTTGGATGGCGAGCCGGATACCTTGTGGGGCCTTGAAGGCTACACGCATCCCGCCGGTTCTTCCTTGGACATACGTCAACGGAGACTTTCAAGCACGAGATGCGTCTTGCAGATGAAGATAAGCTCTTGAAAACAGTCCAGGGTATTGGTAGTCCGGACTACGATTTGCATCATTATGACTTTGCCGGGGGTTGGCTGAAGCGCGAAGACGACGACTATAAAGATTCGAAAGACAGCGCTGTTGCCGTCGTCCACTTCTGGACATCGGAGAGAGATAGGTCTTTGGTGATCGACCGTTTGACTGATTTTGCCGCATCGCGAAGGGCGATCAATTTCAATCAAGGCTCGCTACAAAGCTGCGGCGTTCTGAAAGAGGTCATGCAACCAAACCTCACCACCTTGTGGCTTCGGTATGTCAATTCCAAGAGCTCACTTATTATTTGCCTTCTCTCCTTATTATTATTTGCCTCACAAGAAACATGACTGAACGGAGTGCGATATATCAGCACCAGGACCCAAGAGGACTTGAATTCCCATCTTGTCTCGGAAGAATACAAAGATTTACTGGCATCTGTGGAGCCTGTCCTCAGCCTTTGGGTAGAAACTCACTTATCCCAATCATTCAATGGCCACATCGACCAGAGGCCAATCACACATGATGTACAGTAGAATAAATATACCGCTACATACATACCTACACATCACTTGAACCAAGACTTTTGCACTAAAGTTCGGATTATCAATAATAATTAAAAAGACTTCGGTCAATACCACTGGTATCTAAGCGAATAGTTATGGGGAGACAGTAGCAGGAATAATGACGGAGATACCATAAACGGTGGCGACGAAGACGACGAAGACGACGATAGTAATAATAGCAATGGGGATAATAATGAAAGTAGAGTTTTTGCAGCCCAGGCGGGCATTGGCACCTCTGACAACTCAGGTGACTCCGATATATGCGATCCTTTCATCTTGCGCTAGATTGAGCCTGCATCGCTTTCGAAAACAGCATCCCGGAAACTCATCTAGCAAAGGATCAAAGTTCAGCCTGGGTTGGAGGTCTGTGATGGTATCGATTTCGTGGTTCGGATGACTTGCAGTGTGGGGTTACGATGAGCTCGCCACATGGGTCCGCAAACGCGACTGGTTGGCCCTCCGAAATTTGCTTCCTGAAATAGTGCTTATTGACAACTTGATAATTGCCATTGTCTTTACTAAGCGGCTTTCTTTGATTAGAAAGCCTTATCTGAGATTCTAAACCATCGCCAGCGCTGCGTAACATTAGCGCTTTGAAACAACATGGAGCTCGAGGAACACCGTCTTGCGACAAAATGTATCCAGTCTGTCATCCGCGTAAGTCCCGCGTAGCCATAAGACTGAGAAAATTGAATTGCGTTGCCTCAAGTTCATTTTGATGAACCATCACTGACAACATTTACGCAACGACGCATCAAGGGGTGTTCCATCGATTCCAGAGCAGTGGTACTGT